GGAAAAGTGACCAAAACCCTGCAGTCTTAAATCCATAACTTTTCTTTCAGGCATCTGATTTCAAAGTGGTATATCTCTAGCGTCTTGTGGCTTAAGCCTTTAAAAATCTGCATTTAAATTTTGTATACAAATTTTGAGTTGTAATTTTTACGATACAACTCCCTAAATTATTTCAGAAAATTCCATTACAGAAATTTGACTAAAAACCTACAGTTTTAAGTCCATAACTTTTCTTTCAAGCATCCAATTTCGAAGTGGTATATCTTCAAAGTCCTGTGGCATAGTTCTCTAAAAAACTGCGTTTAAAACATGATTTGTAATTTTGGGCCGATTTTTTCCTAATTTAATGATGTAACCCCTTTCTTAATCTCCAAACAAAATCGTCTGTGCAGAAAAGTGACCAAAACCCTGCAGTCTTAAATCCATAACTTTTCTTTCAGGCATCTGATTTCAAAGTGGTATATCTCTAGCGTCTTGTGGCTTAAGCCTTTAAAAATCTGCATTTAAATTTTGTATAAAAATTTTGAGTTGTAATTTTTACGATACAACTCCCTAAATTATTTCAGAAAATTCCATTACAGAAATTTGACTAAAAACCTACAGTTTTAAGTCCATAACTTTTCTTTCAAGCATCCAATTTCGAAGTGGTATATCTTCAAAGTCCTGTGGCATAGTTCTCTAAAAAACTGCGTTTAAAACTTGATTTGTAATTTTGGGCCGATATTTTGCTAATTTAATGATGTTACCCCTTTCTTAATATCCGATAAAATCGTCTGTGCAGAAAAGTGACCAAAAACCTGCAGTCTTAAATCCATAACTTTTCTTTCAGGCATCTGATTTCAAAGTTGTATATCTCTAGCGTCTTGTGGCTTAAGCCTTTAAAAATCTGCATTTAAATTTTGTATACAAATTTTGAGTTGTAATTTTTACGATACAACTCCCTAAATTATTTCAGAAAATTCCATTACAGAAATTTGACTAAAAACCTACAGTTTTAAGTCCATAACTTTTCTTTCAAGCATCCAATTTCGAAGTGGTATATCTTCAAAGTCCTGTGGCATAGTTCTCTAAAAAACTGCGTTTAAAACATGATTTGTAATTTTGGGCCGATTTTTTCCTAATTTAATGATGTAACCCCTTTCTTAATCTCCAAACAAAATCGTCTGTGCAGAAAAGTGACCAAAAACCTGCAGTCTTAAATCCATAACTTTTCTTTCAGGCATCTGATTTCAAAGTGGTATATCTCTAGCGCCTTGTTGCTTAAGCCTTTAAAAATCTGCATTTAAATTTTGTTTAATAATTTTGGGTTGTAATTTTTACGATACAGCTCCTAAATTATTTCAGAAAATTCCATTACAGAAATTTGACTAAAAACCTACAGTTTTAAGTCCATAACTTTTCTTTCAAGCATCCAATTTCGAAGTGGTATATCTTCAAAGTCCTGTGGCATAGTTCTCTAAAAAACTGCGTTTAAAACATGATTTGTAATTTTGGGCCGATTTTTTCCTAATTTAATGATGTAACCCCTTTCTTAATATCCGAAAAAATCGTCTGTGCAGAAAAGTGACCAAAACCCTGCAGTCTTAAATCCATAACTTTTCTTTCAGGCATCTGATTTCAAAGTGGTATATCTCTAGCGTCTTGTGGCTTAAGCCTTTAAAAATCTGCATTTAAATTTTGTATAAAAATTTTGAGTTGTAATTTTTACGATACAACTCCTAAATTATTTCAGAAAATTCCATTACAGAAATTTGACTAAAAACCATAAGTCCATAACTTTTCTTTCAAGTCCATAACTTTTCTTTCAAGCATCCAATTTCGAAGTGGTATATCTTCAAAGTCCTGTGGCATAGTTCTCTAAAAAACTGCGTTTAAAACTTGATTTGTAATTTTGGGCCGATATTTTGCTAATTTAATGATGTTACCCCTTTCTTAATATCCGAAAAAATCGTCTGTGCAGAAAAGTGACCAAAACCCTGCAGTCTTAAATCCATAACTTTTCTTTCAGGCATCTGATTTCAAAGTGGTATATCTCTAGCGTCTTGTGGCTTAAGCCTTTAAAAATCTGCATTTAAATTTTGTTTAATAATTTTGAGTTGTAATTTTTACGATACAACTCCCTAAATTATTTCAGAAAATTCCATTACAGAAATTTGACTAAAAACCTACAGTTTAAAGTCCATAACTTTTCTTTCAAGCATCCAATTTCGAAGTGGTATATCTTCAAAGTCCTGTGGCATAGTTCTCTAAAAAACTGCGTTTAAAACATGATTTGTAATTTAGGGCCGATTTTTTCCTAATTTAATGATGTAACCCTTTCTTAATCTCCAAACAAAGTCGTCTGTGCAGAAAAGTGACCAAAACCCCGCAGTCTTAAATCCATAACTTTTCTTTCAGGCATCTGATTTCAAAGTGGTATATCTCTAGCGCCTTGTTGCTTAAGCCTTTAAAAATCTGCATTTAAATTTAGTTTAATAATTTTGGGTTGTAATTTTTACGATACAACTCCCTAAATTGTTTCAGAAAATTCCATTACAGAAATTTGACTAAAAACCTATAGTTTTAAGTCCATAAATTTTCTTTCAAGCATACAATTTCGAAGTGGTATATCTTCAAAGTCCTGTGGCATAGTTCTCTAAAAAACTATGTTTAAAACTTGATTTGTAATTTTGGGCCGATATTTTGCTAATTTAATGATGTTACCCCTTTCTTAATATCCGAAAAAATCGTCTGTGCAGAAAAGTGACCAAAACCCTGCAGTCTTAAATCCATAACTTTTCTTTCAGGCATCTGATTTCAAAGTGGTATATCTCTAGCGTCTTGTGGCTTAAGCCTTTAAAAATCTGCATTTAAATTTTGTATAAAAATTTTGAGTTGTAATTTTTACGATACAACTCCTAAATTATTTCAGAAAATTCCATTACAGAAATTTGACTAAAAACCATAAGTCCATAACTTTTCTTTCAAGTCCATAACTTTTCTTTCAAGCATCCAATTTCGAAGTGGTATATCTTCAAAGTCCTGTGGCATAGTTCTCTAAAAAACTGCGTTTAAAACATGATTTGTAATTTAGGGCCGATTTTTTCCTAATTTAATGATGTAACCCCTTTCTTAATCTCCAAACAAAGTCGTCTGTGCAGAAAAGTGACCAAAACCCCGCAGTCTTAAATCCATAACTTTTCTTTCAGGCATCTGATTTCAAAGTGGTATATCTATAGCGTCTTGTGGCTTAAGCCTTTAAAAATCTGCATTTAAATTTTATATACAAATTTTGAGTTGTAATTTTTACGATACAACTCCCTAAATTTGACTAAAAACCTACAGTTTTAAGTCCATAACTTTTCTTTCAAGCATCCAATTTCGAAGTGGTATATCTTCAAAGTCCTGTGGCATAGTTCTCTAAAAAACTGCGTTTAAAACATGATTTGTAATTTTGGGCCGATTTTTTCCTAATTTAATGATGTAACCCCTTTCTTAATCTCCAAACAAAATCGTCTGTGCAGAAAAGTGACCAAAACCCCGCAGTCTTAAATCCATAACTTTTCTTTCAGGCATCTGATTTCAAAGTGGTATATCTATAGCGTCTTGTGGCTTAAGCCTTTAAAAATCTGCATTTAAATTTTATATACAAATTTTGAGTTGTAATTTTTACGATACAACTCCCTAAATTATTTCAGAAAATTCCATTACAGAAATTTGACTAAAAACCTACAGTTTTAAGTCCATAACTTTTCTTTCAAGCATCCAATTTCGAAGTGGTATATCTTCAAAGTCCTGTGGCATAGTTCTCTAAAAAACTGTGTTTAAAACTTGATTTGTAATTTTGGGCCGATATTTTGCTAATTTAATGATGTTACCCCTTTCTTAATATCCGAAAAAATCGTCTGTGCAGAAAAGTGACCAAAACCCTGCAGTCTTAAATCCATAACTTTTCTTTCAGGCATCTGATGTCAAAGTAGTATATCTCTAGCGTATTGTGGCTTAGTCCTCTAAAAATCTGCATTTAAATTTTACAACTTTTGGGTTGTAATTTTTACGATACAACTCCTTAATTTATTTCAGAAAATTTCATTACAGAAATGTGACTTAAAACCTTTTCTTCTAAGCATCCATTTTCGAAGTGTTGTATCTTTAAAGCCCTGTGGCATAGTTCTCTAAAAAACTGCGTTTAAACTTGATTTTTAATTGTGGGCCGTAATCTGATGTAATCTTAAATTTTGAAAAAAATTGTCTGTGCAGATAAGTGACCAAAAACATAGTCTTAAATCCTCAACTTTTCTTTCAGTGATAGTGGAGGTGTGGCTTAACCCTCTAAAAATCTGCATTTATATTTTGTTTGAAAATTCGAGCTTATATTTTAGAAGTTATGGGATTGCGAAGTCCTTTGCCGCCGCTCTAACGCGCCTCAGCCGCCGTTCTGCCGCTGTTCGGCCGCTGCTTGCTGGTAATCGCTGCAGTAGGGAGACAAAACAAAAGAACTGTAAGCGGGGGGTGGGAGTGCTGCACGCACTTAGCTTCTATTGTTTTTTAAGGGGAACACTTCGTTTGTAGTTTGTTGCCTGAGTAAGGGGTATCTTATAGTCGACTATAGGCGTTAACTCTTGTTTAAAATAGTTTTATAAATTCATATACATTAGCTTAATTTAAAAAGCATAAAATTAATTCAGTAGATTCTATGATAGGCGGGCTTAAATTCTTAATTTTTGATAGGACTTAACCTGTCTATTAGATTTCTATGCTTAAAAAATGTTGCAATATATGCTGCTCTATTTTGCAATACCGTGAACTAAAATTTAATGTTGATAGACGTATAATATTTAAAAGCCACAGTGCAAAGAAGGAACACAAGAACACCGAAGTATGTATACAGCTTTTAGAAAATTTGTATAGAAAATTCTTTAAATTACCGTTACAGACTTAAGTTTTTTTTTGTTTGTTGTTTTAAAAATCTGACAGTTACAAAACAAACATTTTAAACTGTCAGTACAATGAATTTAATATTCCATTCACGAGTGTTATCGTTATAGAAACCGTTTTAAATTACCATGCAGTTGCGCGATTACATACGTATTTTATTATTATTCTGCTTGCGATTTGCCATAAACTTTTTGATTCTCTACCGCCAAAAACAAAACGGCGTACCAGAAGAGCCTCAACGGCTTGGAACTGTCAGGACAGACAAAAGCTAGTTGCAGTAACAATGGCCTGAAACTATAAAGGTAGACAGGAGCTGGTTACTGTGACACCCGCACATCTGTTTTTGTTTGGCACGCTGTTTTGGTTTGGATAAGATGGAAAATTGCATTAATTGCGAGGAAAACACGCGAAAATACAAGTGCAGCAAGTGCTCGGCGCCTTAGTAAGTAGAACAAAGTGTAGTTATAGTTTAATGGGCTTAAACAAACCCCAATTGCAGCTGTTCTGTGGCCTGTTATAAGGCCCACAAGGATTCGCCGCAATGCTTGGCCAATGATTTGGTTAAAGAAAAGGAGAAATCTGCCTTCCACGAGGAACCTACGCTCCATGTTCCCTTCACTACCGACGACACTGTGCCCATGGAGAAGCTGCAGCAATTAGGTGGTTGGGTTACCCCATTAATCCGCCTTTTCTCATTGGTATACCTTTTGTTTTTCTCCACAGAAAACTGCCCTAATCTGCGAAACTTGCTCCACAATCCGCACCTGCGCTCGCTGCTCCAACAGATTGATGTGGCCATCAATGCCCAGACGGCCATGATGGCCGCCATGCAAGAGCCTCTGTTCCTGGAGTTCGCCAATGCCTGTCTGCAGGTCGTGGAACCCATGTCGGATGCGGAGCGCGCTGAATTCGAGTTGTGCTCCTAAAAATCAACCAGTATCTCAATAAAAACAGCCATATATTTTGTAATTTATACATTTGATAACTCCTTTTCAGACTCAGGCTTGACCAGCTGTGCGTTGTTGCTGCAGATGAAAACCAAAGGTTTTTAAATTATTTTAAATAAGTCAGTGCTTATAACTTACCTTTCTCCCACGACGTATTCAAAGAGATCATCTGGCATTTTGGCCCTGTCCAGTTTGTGGGCCAGACCAAAGTAGCGTCGCCTCAGCACATAAGCCATTTCCTTGGGCTGCCTGTTCCTGGTAAAGATGCCCTTTCTATTCCCACCAATCCTGTTGATAGCTAAGGATACAAATGAAACCAATGTATATTATAAACAAGGGAAAAAAGAAATACTAACACTGGGCCGTTTGGAAGTCGGCAAAGTTCCACACAAACTCCCCGATGAACCAGGAGTTTTCACGAAGCTTATCGAAGGCCCGAAAGTGCCTGGAGTACAACTGCCGCTGGAAATCGGGGGAGCCCATGAGCGAAGGCAACTTTTCAAGAAAAACGCAATCAATCAGGGGACACAACAGCGTAAGACCATGCCTTACCGATCGGTAGAACCCTAAGGAATCCGCTCCGTACTCCATTATTATCACCAGCTTGTTGGTCACGTTGCGCCAAAGCAAGGCCTCTTCAATCACAGGAGCGGTGATACTGTCCAGACTGCCAGGAGACGAGTACCAACCATTGTAACGATTGAAGCCCAGAATGTCCAGCAGTCCCGCGAGAGTTGATTGACCGATTTCATCGATTGCCGTGGCAATGGCAGCAGTCAAGGGGCGGTCATCGTGTGCTATTTGCCTGACGTACTGCACCAGATACCTGAGAAAAAACAGACCCTGATTTACTGATTTTTCTCACCAAGATAACAACCCACTTGAAGTATAGGGCAGACTGGTTGCTGAACAAACTGCTGGGTTCATTGGCCACCGACCAGGCGATGACACTGGGATGATTCCTGTCCCTGTGGATCAGCTGCTCCATCACCGACATGTGGTTGTGCAACAGGCGCGGATGAAAGCTGTACAGGTCCACCGCCGAGCACTCATCAATTATCATAATGCCCTGCTCGTCGGCAAACTGCATGGACTCCTCGGAGTACGGATAGTGCGAGGTGCGATAGGCATTCGCTCCTATCCACCTCAGCAGGTTGAAGTCGCGCAGCATCAGCGGATTGTCGTGGCTCCTCCCGCGAATCTGAAGCCAGAAGTCAGTAAGTTTCATGCACTTATGTCGTTAAACTAACGTAAAATAACCTCAGAATCCTCGTGGCGACCAAATCCTCGCAGATATAGGGATCTCCCATTCAGGAGCAGGTTGTTGCTGTCCCAACTAAGACTTCGTATTCCCACGGACAGACGGTAGACATCCAGTCGGACGTCAGCTTGCGACTCCTCCATCGCAGAATCGCCCTCGTAGAGATCTAGTTTGAGCTGGTAAAGGTAGCCTGGCTCCGGATCCATGAGATAAGGCCACCATGCTCGGGCATGGTTAACGTGCAGGCTGCCGCTAAAGGCATGTCTACTTATTTTTTGGGCCACCACTTCACCCCGTTGATTCAGCAGCCGGACATGGATGTAGTAGTTTTTCCGCATTAATTGCTCTTCTTTTCCAGCCACCCAAAGGCGGAAGTTAACGATGCCCACTTGCTTCGAGGAGTACTCCGTGGACACGGAGACATCGCTGATGTAGACGAGCGGCGTGGAGTACAGGAGCACAGTTCTATGGATGCCAGCGTAGTTGAAGAAGTCAAAAGTGTAATCTTGTTGGCTCCGGGAGTTCTCCTTTTCTTGCAGCTCCCCTTGGGGAATCGAAAAGCGATCCAGTCGGTTGTCGCACATCACGGTCAGTCGGTTCTCGGCTCCGAAATTCACAAAGTTCCCCACCTCCGCCTCAAAGGGCAGTCCGCCGGAGCTGTGATTCAGGACGGCCTGTCCGTTGATCCACACCTCGGCGCGGTAGTGGACACTTCCGAATCGCAGCCAGGTCCGAGATCGTCGATCCCAGGAGGCGGGCACAAAGAAGGTTCTCTCGTACCAAACCGGACCAACGTGGTCACGAAGCGATCGACTGACGGTGATGTCATTGTAGGATGCGGGCACCGCCATGGAGATCACACGGCGACCCGACTGGCTGAGACCCTTCTCGAACCACTTCTCCAGGTAGCCCTCCATTGGCCGACTAGAGGAGCTCTTCACCAACCGCCAGATTCCGTCCAGCGATCGCACTTCCCGAGTCTCAGAGTCTTGGGGATACAGCAAGCCTCTTGTGGAATTGGGAAGTAGTATTGTCTCTGAGTCAGCCATAGAGCCCCAAACAGAAGCTAGCAGGAAGGACACACCAATCCCCAGCCACGTTTCCAGATGCATATTTAACGACGGAATGGATCTGGGCAGCTTTCCCATACTCAAAACGTGAAGCCTTCTAGTCACACTTATTTCAATTTCACACCCAATTCGTAGCCTAACTGATTTAATTAAAGGTTACCGTCGCAACGTGAGAAAAGTAATTATCTAAGCAGTCAATTTGTTAAATACAGATTTATTCGACACAAATTCAGATAATACACTAGATAACAATTGAATATTGGCTTTGCCATTTTAAATTTCAGTAGAGTTAAAGTCAGTCAAAATAAATTGAAACTGGATCACAACCATAACTTATTTTTGGATGCTCCGTGCGAAGCTTGAAATACATATGTTCGCCATCTACCTTCCATATTATAGGTGCTGTCGGGAACTAAGAACAAAAAACATTACTACCGAATGTCAAAAATACGTTATACTTTTAAGACTTACAAATTCATCAGGATGACAGACGAGGTTTTCACCCAAATATATGTTGAGTGTTTTGTGACGTTCCTTGGCAATCTCCGTTGCTAAAAATGTGAATTCCTTAAAACCAAACTTGCAGTCACTTAGGCCTAGGATCTCAGTAGTCTTCAGACTATTTATTATTTGCTTAAAACCGAGTTCATCAAAGACAGAATCTTTAAAATAGATTTCTTTGATATTTTCAAAGTTTAACAAGCTTCTGCTTTCTCTATTTACACGGATGAGCCTTCCTACCTTCATTGTCTGTATTTGCACATTAAGGTTGAGAATCTGATCAAGCTCCTCATAGAAGTTAATATCCAGAATTCTGATATTACTCCGTTTTGCACACCTCAGCACTTCCCAGACAAAGGCGCCGTAAATTTGGCCACAAAGAAATAGCTGCTTCAAGTGGGTTAGGTGTTCCAGATTCCTCAGGAACCATACCCTCATTTCCTCACAGTCACACTGCAGCAACTCTACGTTTTTTATCCCCTCCAAGGGCAAATCGATGGATTCAAGCTGACTTGTATCAAAAACTCCCAATTTCAGACTTTTTATGTTTCTGGTTTTTAGAATGTGAATTAGGTTGCTGACTTCGAATTTGCTGCAGTACGACAACGTAAGATTCTCCAGGAACTGGAACTCGACCAAGTGCTTACCAGTGAACCTTCCATGGGGACTGAAAGTTTTCAAGTTGGGAAAACTCCTAATCATTTTTGGTAAATCCGAATCATTCAACGAAAACGAATGCGTTGAGAAGCGGAAATCGTCGAGTTTTGGAAATACATAATTCGTAAGGACATCGAAATTTGACCTTTTCTCCATCTTCAACCGGAGAGCATTGAGTGTTCTTTGGGTGCTTCCCAGGAAGAAACGGAGATCCTTGTCGCTTAAATGCAATTCGATCAGGGAGAGATTCGCAGATTTGTCCCGAGACCGCCAGACATGGGGCATTACTTCCAGGAATCGGAGATGCATGTGCGTCATTTTCAGCTGGGTTGGAAAGTCAAGATGTCCCAAAATTAGAATCAGTATATCGTCTGGCAGACATAGTAGGCCAGGCTTGGGATTCTGTGAAAAATCATGGGAAATGTTTTTGTTTTATTTCCAAAAATTAAACATACATATATAAAAACAACAATATTCCGATTTTGATGCCTTTATGTTTACCATTAGTGAAGCTATGATACTATGATACTTTAAAGGGTCTCCATCACTGAGTTGCAAACTTCTGACTGAAATTGTTTTACCCACTGCAACGGTAAAATTATTTAGTTCACTTATGATCAAAATATGTTTTTGGTATCTAGCAGAGGCACTCTCCGCAGGCAGTGGAGACACGCACCGCAGTTAGCGCAGACATGTCAGAGGTGGAATCACTTCGATATTATGTATCGGTGTTTCCCCACCCCTAGCAGCTAAATCCGCAAAAACAAACTGCGAAAAAAGAATCCTCCAATTCCAGGAGTTTTCCGTTAAAAAACAGCTAAATCCACAAAAAACCAGGATGCAGAAGTACGACAAGATGGAGAAGATCGGCGAGGGCACCTATGGCACGGTGTTCAAGGGCCGCAACCGCGACACCATGGAGATTGTGGCTCTAAAGCGGGTGCGTCTGGACGAGGATGATGAGGGAGTGCCCAGTTCCGCCCTTCGGGAGATCTGCCTGCTGAAGGTGAGTAGGAGGACTATGACCATGACCAGGATGTCCTTGTCTAATCCCGTGCCAACCCGTAGGAGCTGAAGCACAAAAACATTGTGCGCCTCATAGACGTCCTGCATTCGGACAAGAAACTCACCCTGGTGTTCGAGCACTGCGACCAAGACCTCAAAAAGTACTTCGACAGCCTCAACGGAGAGATCGACATGGCCGTGTGCCGAAGCTTCATGCTCCAGCTGCTCCGCGGACTGGCCTTCTGCCACAGGTATTTCACTAAAGTCATCTACTGGTTTTCCCGTTTTGAACAACTTTAATCCTAAAAAAAAATCAAAATCCTTGGCCCAAAATAACTTTGTAAAACCCCATTCCAGCCACAACGTCCTGCATCGCGATTTGAAGCCGCAAAACCTTCTGATCAACAAGAATGGCGAGCTGAAGCTGGCTGACTTTGGTCTGGCTCGAGCATTCGGCATTCCCGTGAAGTGCTACTCCGCAGAAGTAGTAACTCTGTGGTACAGACCTCCCGATGTCCTCTTTGGAGCCAAGCTATACACCACCAGTATCGACATGTGGTCGGCCGGATGCATCTTGGCGGAGCTGGCGGACGCTGGACGACCGCTGTTCCCCGGCTCCGATGTGCTCGACCAGCTGATGAAGATCTTTCGAGTGCTGGGCACGCCCAACGAGGACTCCTGGCCAGGGGTCTCCCACCTCTCCGACTACGTTGCGCTTCCATGTAAGAATTCGACAGCCATCATCTCTGTGCTGGTACTAAATTAACCCCCAATTAATTAACAGCCTTTCCGGCCATCACCTCGTGGAGTCAACTGGTACCCCGGCTGAACTCTAAGGGTCGCGACCTGCTGCAAAAGCTGCTCGTCTGCCGGCCAAATCAGAGGATCAGCGCTGAGGCCGCCATGCAGCATCCTTACTTCACGGACAGCAGCTCTTTGGGTCACTGATATGGAGTCGAATGGGTTGGGGTTGGAATAGGTCTTAGCCACTACTCGAGCGACTGTTTTCACGTACTTTGATTAGACTTAAGCCAAAACCCTAACCTTGTTTAGCTATGAATGTGTAGATCTTCGAAGTATATCTATGCACTAGAATATCGGTAATAGACTAGGATAAACTGTCCTTTATAACGTGTTTATTGCATTTTGTTTGTATGCAAGGTTTTAAGTTAGCAAAGCAAAAACAAAAGTGAATTTTAATTAAAGACAATCCTTAACAATGTGACACTTTATATTGCCATTGAGCTGCCAAATTAATCGTTAACGTTTTTTACGGGTTTATTTTGCCTAAAGTTCTGATTTAAAGTTCGTTGTGCTTTTCTTCTGTTTTTGTTAAGTAAATAAAGTGATATAACTAAAATCACACTTTTATACTTATTTCTTGAGCGAAAAGAAATTACTCAAAAATAATTATATTTTGTCGATTTAACAATTTAGCTTTCAGTCGTCCAACTTTTTTGCAGCGTTTAAATAATACTCAAAATATAATCATTAAGTTGTTTAATATTTTTTTTTTTTCAGTCAAACTATTAATTATTATTTACGGTACCTGCAATAAGATCGTTAAATTGAGTTATTTTTAATTTTGAACAACTAGCCAAGATTGTTGGTTTCAAACGTCGGATTAAAATGCAGAGATATGAAATGTTAAACAACTTTTTAAAACTGAAGCATTGAATAACTTAAGACCCAGAAATTTAAATGTATCCTAGCTTTGTAGATCAATAAAAAGGAACTTACCGGAGCACGACATCCCAACATTCTGATATTTTTCAAGAGGTCTGGCCGGACCACCGGAACGCAATAGGGGTTAAATTCGTTCTGCGCAGTCTCACTAAACAGGGTTAAAGAATTTGGATTCAAGAGATTGAGAGAACTTATTTATTGTGCTACAATTTTTCTCCGAATCGGTCGTGTTTTTTTACGTTGCGTTTGGTGTGCCGCGGGAGTTGTTTATATATATTTTGATACAAGTATTAATAAACAATTAAGGGGCGATCCACAGGTCGCTAAAACGCGATTTAAGCGATTAAAATTAAGCGAGAACTTCGCGAGTAAAACAATCACAAACAGCTCTTATCAACCACCGGTTGGGAAATATAGAAAAAACATTTTAAAAATGACCTGGGGATTTGTTACCTGCGGGCCAAACGAGGCCTTGGTAGTTTCCGGTAATTTTAATAATTAATTCATTAATTTAAGAATTGGATCAACGAAAATGAAATTTAATGAAATGACTGACGTCATCATCAGTGCTGCCCACTTTTGATCAGAAAAAAAGCTGTTTTTGACGGGACAAAAAAAGGCTAACAAATTTTTAAATAAAATTTTTAAATAAAATAAAAAAAACCAAAGAAGCGAACATTTTTTAAAAGATCCAGAATTCCCGCTTCACGCAATTTACAAAATTTTCCCGCAGCTGGACTTCGAAAACAACCAGATTTGACGGGAATAAAGCGGAATGGGCTCTGCTCACTATCGATTTATTGGGCGAAGAAATGAAAGGGGGAGAAGAAGCAGTCCGAAGCCATGCGCGCGCACTTGAACGGCGTTGCGATGCTGTAACTGAAATTCAAATGCCGCAATGTTTTGTAAACAAAGTGTTTTTTCGCTTTTCCACAGGATGTTGTTACATGAAGCCGCTTTTGGTGCCGGGTGGAAGGGCCTTCGTGTGGCCCACGATCCAGCAGGTGCAGCGGTGGGTATAATAATAATAATATTTAAACTTAGTTTCCCGATGTTTAATTTTGCATTATATCCCCCAGAATTTCGTTGAACACCATGACCCTCCAGGTAGAGAGTCCCTGTGTGTACACTAGCCAAGGAGTTCCGATCTCCGTGACGGGAATCGCCCAAGTGAAGGTCCAGGGACAGAACGAGGACATGTTGCTTACTGCCTGTGAGCAGTTCTTGGGAAAAACGGAGGCGGAGATCAACCATATTGCCCTGGTCACCCTGGAGGGACATCAGCGGGCCATTATGGGATCGATGACCGTGGAGGAGATCTACAAGGACCGCAAGAAGTTCAGCAAGCAGGTGTTCGAAGTGGCCTCCAGCGATCTGGCCAACATGGGAATAACTGTCGTCTCCTACACCATCAAGGATTTGCGCGATGAGGAGGTGTGTAGTTCATTCCAACGGATAATGCTCATAACCCCTGCAAAACTAACCCAATCATCAGCAGTGATGGGAATTGAATTGATATGATCTTTTTCCCACAACGATTTGACTTAAGTTAAACAATTTAACTCCTTTTCATCTTAAATAAGAAATCGATTTTTAAAGAGAGATTTTCAGAGTTATGTGTTTTGGACAATGCTTAAGCTGAGCCAACAAAAAAATCAGTCATCATACTTTGTAGGAAATGCAAAAATATATATAAATGTTATTTTGTTTTCAATTTGTTTGAACATTCTAAACTTGCCAAAGAGACAAGTGAATGCTAAGAAAATTGTTAATATAGACTTTATCTTTCTTTTATCCTAGCTAAGCATTGTAAAACAGAATTCCCATCACTGTGTACCGGCTTCAAGTCCTTTTCTCCCTAATAACCTCTTGTATATATGTGTATATATATATTTCTTGCATGTCCACATGGATCCATTTTAGGGCGACTCAAAGGTGCGTATGACCGCTCATCCGCCTGCGTGTGGAACCAATGGACTACGTGGAATCCACTTTCTGCTCCCTTAGAGACAAACGGGATACTGACTCCCCAATTTCGGTTTTCTTTTTCAGGGCTATCTGCGGTCGTTAGGTATGGCCCGTACGGCGGAGGTGAAGCGAGATGCCCGAATTGGAGAGGCTGAGGCCCGGGCTGAGGCTCACATCAAGGAGGCCATTGCTGAGGAGCAGCGCATGGCTGCCAGGTTCCTCAACGACACCGATATCGCTAAGGCTCAGCGCGACTTTGAGCTGAAGAAGGCCGCCTACGACGTGGAGGTACAGACCAAAAAGGCCGAAGCCGAGATGGCCTACGAGCTCCAGGCAGCCAAGACCAAGCAGCGCATCAAGGAGGAGCAGATGCAGGTCAAGGTGATCGAGCGCACCCAGGAGATTGCCGTGCAGGAGCAGGAGATCATGCGTCGCGAGCGGGAGCTGGAGGCCACCATTCGTCGTCCAGCTGAGGCCGAAAAGTTCCGCATGGAGAAGTTGGCCGAAGCCAACAAGCAGCGTGTGGTGATGGAGGCCGAGGCAGAGGCTGAATCGGTAAGAGACGATCTAAATTGGTGGAACAAAATAAACAAAAACTTACAGCTATCCTTCGTTTGTTACAGATCAAAATCCGTGGTGAAGCCGAAGCTTTTGCAATTGCTGCCAAGGCCAAGGCAGAGGCCGAGCAGATGGCCCAAAAGGCAGAAGCCTATCGCGAGTACCGCGAGGCTGCCATGGTGGAGATGCTTCTGGACACGTTGCCAAAGGTAAGTTCGATGACAAGTAATTATAATCTCTTTAGTGTATTGTATACTGTCATTTTGTGCCATATATCCATATCCATACTGCAGTTTACATTTAAAGTCTTTGTAACTTTTGTTTGCCACAAATGTTTGATTTTAATTAATGAAGAACGTATTAAACTAGTTCAGATTTATATTAATATTCACTAAAGAGAAATTCAATTTGTAATATTATACCAATTCTAATCAGATAAAAACAATGTAAAGAAATTTGGATTTGGTGAACTAGTGTTTTATGAAAGTATTGTTTGTTAAATCAATTTTTTTCATATACCACAGGTGGCCGCCGAGGTGGCTGCCCCGTTGTCGCAGGCCAAGAAGATCACGATGGTGTCCAGCGGAAATGGCGATATCGGTGCCGCCAAGCTGACCGGCGAGGTCCTGTCGATCGTCAACAAAGTGCCAGAGCTGGTCAAGAACATAACCGGTGTGGACATTGCTCGGGTACGTTCCAATTCTGAATTTATCTAACTTCGAAGCTCGTCGCGAAGAAGGAAGACAACGATCCTAACGAAACCCAAACCAAAACAAATGGCAATCAAAAGACTTGGTAGACAAGAGGACGCGAAATTATTTGGCTTCCTTTGTTTGATTTGAGCTTTGATTTGCGATCTTGATTCCCTGAGTTCGATTCACTTTACGTTTCCTTTTTTTCTTCATTTCAGTCTGTGCATGCTGGCTAAAAAAGATCCCAAAAGAAAACCAATTCAAAACACACAATTACTCTTCAAAAAAAGTTTATAAAAATGAACAAAAAAAAACCAAATATGCAATCTTGAACGATCGAATACTTCAAAAACTGAAATCGAACGCATTTAAACTTTGTTTATGAAATTAACGGCATATTTAATATATTTACGAATCTTTGTGCTAACCCGACAAATTTTGCAACATGTTTTACACACACACTCAGAGAGAGGAGCAGAGATATTTTGTATTCAATGTATATGTATTTATATAAGTGTATTGCACAAAGCGTGGAATAAATATTCTTCCTTGAATCAACAGATGTGGTTTTAATTTGAATTGGCCGCCCTTAGTATAGGTTCTTTTACCGGTTAGAAAAAAAAAAATAAAATCGTAGAATATAGCGATCGAATGTATTTAAAATCTAAGTTTACGGAAGTATTCAGTTGAAGAAAAAATTGAGGATAGTACCTTCGCAGGAAGTGATTGGATATTTTAATGGGTCCTTTTTTCAACTTTTGTATCAGGTGACAAAAGGCGCAGGCATGTTTTCTACTATTAGGACTTTAATGATGTGAAAGCAGCTTAAGCATTATATAATGAAGAAAAACACGTTTTAAAACTTTTAAGTAAATACTAGTTATAATAAAAATGTGAGTAAAAACGTATTTTCTGACATTTAACATAAATATTTTCATAAACTGTTGTTCTTTTGACTTGGAGTTCGGCGGTTTGGGGGCTAATGCTGCCACATGTTTCAAAACCACTCCTCAGAGCTGCCAACCTTTCCAATAGCCGAGTTACCCCACAGCAGGGCTGCCAGCCTTGTACACATCGACGCTCTGACGTTGCCACCACTGCCAAATGTCGGCACCCGATAACATCGTTGTTACTCTACCTCAAGTATTTTCAAAAATCCGAAAATGGGCACACTTTATTAGTTATTTTGGATCATCCGAAAACGGGCACATTCTTGTTTCGGTTAATAATACTATCGCCCCATCGCGGCCCCAAAATAAAAAACGGTTCGAACGTGCGACCATCGACCAAATTGGCTGCAGCCAACGCCGCCGAAAAGTGAAAGTATTTGCATACGAATAGCGACCAAATAGTCGCGGAGTGGGTCAGCAAGCAAGAAGAAGCAGCGGCGCAGAAAGAGGCAGACACAAAAAAAAGGCGAAGCGAAGCGAAAATTAGAAAAAACTGTGCACTAACAGGCCCGCAAAAATCACTGCTAAAAGGTCAATTCACGTGTTAGTTAGTTTAATTAAGTAGTACAGTACGTCCTACGTCCGTGCAATTCATACGTTAAGTACATATTTATGTGACCGAAATCGAAATCGGTGTGTTCAGTGTGCCAGAACGAGATAGCAAGACCGAGACCAAGATGGGCACAACAAAGGAGAGAAGAGAGCAGAGCGAGGGCGAGGGCGACGCCGCCACCACCCACTCAACAGCAACAACAACAACAACAGTAGCGGGGGATATTACTACGACAGCTACAACAGCAACCACGACGAATGCCGCCAAAAAGATTCGCCGCGCCTTCTCCATGCCACGCAATCCCTTTCGTTGGTCGCGTAAATTTAAAACGGCAGCAGTTTCCTCGTCGGGAGCGGAAAACGGAAGCGGCAAGGAAAACGGTGTAGGAGGACGGGGCGGCGGAGAGGGAGAGCGGCGTGGCAGCCACTCGGCCATCTCGTCCTGCGTGGGCGGTGGGCGGGGCAGGAGCGGCAGTATTGTGTCGCTTAGCAGCTACGAAGCTCACATTTCAACCAACAACAACATGGCCAACAACAATTACAACACCACCGCCAGCAATGGAAACACCAACAACAGTAGTACCAACACCAACAACAACAAACGGACACGTGCTCTTCGCCGTTCGTCCTTCAGGAAGTTTCTCAACAGGATCGCCCAACATCTGAGCTCAACGGTAAATGTCGTGGTAAGCTATACAAATCCTTTAGGAATACATATATAGTAATACATTATTATACATAGTAAAGCTAGCCAAATATTTCAAAACGTACTTTTCTACGTTATGTGCTAGCTAGTCTAAAAAGTAACTAATAGAACAGAAAATTTTATTTTCTAAAAAATTACTAGTGAATCACAATATATGGGTAATTTTTAAATATTTCATCATCTTTGAATTCTAATAATTGCCGTAAAAGTCGACACATAATAACGCTATTAACAATTGAGTAATTTATTGTATTTTACTTTATGCATGTAACAAAAAACTCGGGAATTGGGTTTATATGTTATTTCTGTATCTTGTTAGGAATGAAATTATCCCTTTATCGTAGACAGTTCAGTTTAATAAAATTATTTAAAATAGTAAAATGATGTGTTATACTTATCAACCTCCAATCCTGATTCACGATGCCTTTTAAATAGAAAAGTATTGAAACTAACATAGCACAGTGAATCGATAATAAACTAAAGGTGTTAACTATATAAATTTTTCGCACCTAACAACTTCAGTAAAGGAGACGCATATAACTTATCACTTTATTATTTCTATGTATAAATTAAAATGTTCAAAATATATAAAGATTCTTCTTTGGAAAATTATTAGTCCATGATGTGTACTCTAACGAAGTGTGTTTAAGATTAGCAAAGGCAATAGTCATTGTGTCTAAATTACTTGCAAATAATATTATATGAATTGTAGCACTGAAATGTGTCATTTACAATTGTTTATTTGTGATTAAAGTGTGCGCATAAACGTAGGGTAAACAGTTCTAGTATACCTTTCTTTATTTTCTTTGTTTAGAGTGCAGTTTCTACGCTCTTCTCTGTATGGTTAGTATTCCCCATATTCTCTATAATGTATCCCCATATTCCGTACTCTGTGCTCCGTTATGCCCCTTATCAGGGAGCCGTATATTCATGAAAGGCATCGTTTAGTGCGTTATCGGCGGCTTTGTTTTGCTCATGTCTTGGGCTGCTCTTTGCTCTTTGTCTCTGCTGTTCGTCCGACACATGGCATGGGCATCTGCATCTACATCTGAGTTTGTCTCCGATTTGGCACTATGTCTATATATTGGCAATATAATGGAGTACATCGAATGGGCACGAATCGCCCTTTGCCACGTTTCCGTTTTCGCTTTCCCAGCGCTATTTGTTTTGCTCCCCGTGTTGCTGAGTCATATTTTGCGTGACCGATGATAAGGGTGACGTTTCAACGAATAACGTATATATCAGTCCGAAAAGCGGCTTATTGGGACTTTGGCTGGCCCTCCTTCAGGGAGTTTCGGTATGGTAATCTATATGGTAGCCCCCGTCTTTGTTCACACATTCCATTCTGCGCCCCGGATAAAAAGCCTTTGTTTACACAACTATAAATACATCGGTATTCCGCTTTTTTGAAGTGTATCTCAAATGTTCTATACGCTCTTCAGCGGCAATTTACGATTACCATACGCGAGGACGGCGGCGCATGGAAATTAATTTTATTTTTAAACAATTGCTGTCTCATTATTATCATAATTTTTGTTGTGCTTTCGGGTGAATGGGCGGTCGGGGGAGGGGACTGTAACTAGGTGTAGGTAGGCGCCTTTTGTTTCGCAGACAGCAATTGTTCAAACAATTTTTGTGTAAATGTTGCCAACATTTGTTGCTCCGCGCGCGCTATTATAAACAAACAGGCAAACAAACACACAGAGAACCCGAAAAACAAGAGTTTTTCAGGTCGTGCGCTGCTGGAGCGAGACAGCAGTTAATGATGGACTGGGGGGAGCCGGGGGTCGGGAACTCTGGGCAACTTGGGGGAACGGGGGAACCCAACTCCCGACAAGGAGGCGCAAGTCGACAAATGTGTGCCACGCTTTTGTCAGAGAAGACAGCACAACAAAGTGGGGAAAGCGACAACTGAGGAGCCGAAGACAAGTGCAGGGCGCAATGACACACCCCGGTAGTCTCCAGCCGTTCCCATTCCCACTCCTCTCTAGAAAGCAATAGCAACAGCAACTCGTGTCTTCTGGAATTTAATTTGATCTAATAATACTTACATTGGGCGCACAGTGTGTGCGTATCAATTTATAAACAGTAGAACTTCAGTGTCTGGAACTTTCTGCCACTTTATGATTTACTCAAGTAAAATACTATTTAATTCCGACTGCAAAAATGTCAAGATGAAAACTTTTTCATTAGCTACTATTTTACTTTTTATACTCTCAACCGATTTCCAGAAACATATTTGAGTGCCAAAGAAATCTCTTAAGAACTTGTCTTTGGTTTTAGAAATCATTTCGTTTTAAAGATTTGATTTTGTTGTTATTTTTTTTCTTAACTTTAAAGTACTACTATAAATTTTTAGTTTAGTTGAGTGTTGAGAATCACTGAGGTAAATCTTATTTTTTAAATTTTTTATTAAAATATATTACAAATTTCTTTGTAAAATATGTAATCTCTTTGATAGAGCTAAGAAATTGCAATATGTATTCATAATGATCGATTAATAGAGGTTTTACTGTGGCTCTATAACTTTGTTTGCTATACAAGTTTGATTAATTGTAGAGGGCAAGACCTTACGAACGTAGTGCAGCTGACCTTTTAGCGGTTTGAATTCCAGAACGATAACCGCATACGAAAACAGACTTAAATTCATTCAAAGCAAGGCGGCAATGAGTAGTAAAGTGGGGGAGTTTGGGTAGGGGGTTTTTAAGGGGGTGGTGGGGGTGCAAGTGAGGGTGGAGCACGTAAAGCTCAATGAAAACTACAGTATCTATAGTTTCTGTTGTTGCTATTACAGCCATAGCCGTTTGTGATAGGAAAAAGACTGTGAAAACGGGGAAGCTGCACTTACGAGTATTGGAAAGCTCAACTGATTTGCCTGCTCCAAGCTTTAACTGTACCGTTATTGGTGTACACTGTACAGACTTTTGCCAGTTGCAGGTACATTTAGTAGCCCATAGTCTTACTTTTGTCTTTTGGCACCTTTCACCAACAAAGGCCACATAAAAGCCGAAACATTCGTTGAGCTGACCAACAAGTACTTATTACCGCTGTTGTTTGTTTGTAAGTATTTTCTTAATGACATTATGTGGCAATTGACCATTGTTGAGTGTAGTTGTTGCGCGATTACCTCATTGTAAACAATTGCCTTGATTTATGAATCATGCCGCTGGCACTTTTGCATCTCGTTTTGCGCATTTCGCATTGATTTTATTCAGAAGCTGAGTTTTAATAGATGCAGAAAAATAAAATCAAAAAAACAGTGCAAAAGCGGAAAAGCAAAATGAAACGAAATCGCAATGCTGCGAGAACTGCAAGAAAACTAAGAAAAACGGCAGCCAACAACACACCAGCAATAATTTGGCTTATTAAAGATTGCATGCCAAAAATTGCAAATGCCAATGGGTGAAGAAGGAGGGGAGGGTTTTGGGGAGACAGGGCGGTGGCATAAAAGGCAGAAGTGACACTCTGGGTGACGATCTAAACAACAACAAGTCCGCCAAAAACAACACGTGAGGTAGGGCGCACATGCTAACAAATACACAAGGGAAAATATTAACATTGTCACTAATTTAGGTTTTTTAATATACAAAATAAATATATTAATTGCTTATTTTTAAATCAGCAAATCATACAATTTGTTTTTACATTACTTGTTTTTCCTAATTGGGAGAGACCACGTTTTACCAGGACTATCGACTTTATCCATTTAATCTGGAAAAGTGTAAAACGGTTTAATCTTGAAAGAACAAAACTTGTGTAGATATACACAAACAATCTTAACTCTAAGAAGTTATACAAAAACTCAGAAATACTATTTTAAAGTAATAAGTTCTAAAAATAGTAATGCAAATCTGATAACAGGTGAATTTTTCTCCCTGTGCCTGCAACAGTTTTGTCTACTTCCGTAAGCTTTAGCTGTAGCCACCTACAAAACCGTGTCTCATGTTGTTGTTGTTGTTGTTGTTGTTGTTGTTGTTGCACTTGTTGATGGCAAGATTAGTACGTAACGCGAGTGCCTACATTACCAGCCGCCGTCTCTGTTTGTCCGCTACTATTTGCTGATTTTCTATGATATTTCAAGTGCACGAACAGAGGGGGGAGGGAAAATACCCCCCATATATGGCAGGAGAGATGGTTCAGGGGGGAAGGGGGGCCTTTCGCGTATTTCTACTCTTTGTTTTTCGTATTTCCGCCCAGTGGCTCACACGTAACTTTTGCTGTTGTACAACTGTGCGAATTATTGTCTATAGTTGTTTGTGTTCGTAGTGCGATTCCTAGTGCTACAGTTGTTGTTGCTTTCGCTGGGGTTGCCTCGCACGTTTTCCCGTCTCTCTCTTCCCCTTTCTCCCTCTCTCTCTCTCTCTCTCCCTCTCTCGAATTCTGAGTGAATTCGCTTTCAAGGTAAAATCAATTGAGATCAAACTAATTGAAAAAATGTTTTCTGAATTTTTAGCCTTTGCATTTATTTTCGTACTTCCATGGCCCGGCACGTTTATTTTCATAAACAATCATTTTAAAATAACATTACTATATTTTTATTCTTTTCAAGGAGCTTTAGTTTCCCCAGTATACTCATTGCATTGCAAAGGAATGAAGAATTATGTTTTCAGCGCTTAGGCTGTCTAATTGGCCGTTACTCTTTTCTGTTTATTTAGTTCCCAGACGGCAACGAGAAATTATCCACGTCATTCGGAGTTAATTACGCACAGCTCAGGTGACCCCAGCAATGATATATGACTATAAAGTCCCATAAAGAGCCCAAACACTGGGGCCTCCCCTTCCGTAATACGACGTTATGTACTACACTATACATATGCGACAGCAGGTCCGTCGAGTGAGAAGTGCAAATTTATCGCTGGTCGTCTGCTGTCAAGCGATTTGCCCTTGCCCGAAAAAGCTACGCTTGGGCCAGGCAAAAATAGTCGGTACAAACCGAATGCCAGATATCAGTTAAGTTGATAGAAGTCATAGGGGCTGTCCCGTAACAGTAGACAGTGCCGATCACAAGTGTAATGGGAAATGGGTCTAAATGCAGCAGATAAATCATGTCGAATAAGCAATAATAAATGTTTAATTATGGACTAAATTCTGAGTTCAGTGGTTCCTTTAACTGATTCATCGAAACACTTAAGTTTATGAAATGCCTCAGCTACGTATATGATTTAATCACTAAACGATCATGACACCAAGTTGAACAAATGTCATTAAATAATGTCAGTTGTGAAGTAGCTATCACCCCAAGAGCCTTGTGCACTCGCTCGTTGTGATATTAATATTTAATATTTAGTTTAGCTTCTCTAGTGGCTCTTTTTTTAGAAACAATCAACTCTTTGGGGTTTTACTTTATTAATGTTTTCATTTGGAGTACCCCTGCTCTAGTGACTACTACTATTTATATCGCGCACTGTATATGTAGATATGGGACCCCTGAGCACTCGTATCTGATAAGCGACGTATATGCAAGGTGGCCTGATTAGAGCCCCTTTGTAGGCGCAACCTTGACAGAGCTTCGCGTTCTCCTCCACGTAATCGAAATGGGCGTGGTGCTAAAAACTGGCATAATATACGGGATCTTATTAATTAACTGGGTGGTAAAAGAGGGATTAGGTCTGGCATAGACAGTAGAACAATAAATGCTATTTTAAAACCTCTATCTGACAAACCCGAAATCACAGCCGGGAAATGTTTCACTTCACCATAATGATTATGGTGACATTATACATTAGCTATACATTATCGCCACGTCACGTGATCGCTGGCGGGCCGAACTCATCGTTTATAGCAATCCAAAACTCGGAATAGCCGAGAATCGAATGCGATTTCGCGATTAGCCGATTGACGGATGGATGGTGATAAAGGGGGAAGACATATAGTAGAATGGGGGCAGCAACTGGGCTCTAATAATAGTCTGCTCGAGCGTTCCATTAATAAAATGCCGTCCAACCGGTAGGAGAACTCGGCTCGGCGGCGGAACTACGATCGCTCTCGATCTCGCCGAGATTCCGCTCTCTGGGGTCCAGCCCAGCCCAGCCCAAAAGCCAATTTCATTCATGCTCTGGCCAAGATCTCGTAGGTAATAACAACCTCGTGGCAAAAGCAGCAGCAGCCACATCAACAGCAATTATCTTCAATTATTTACAATTATTTAATAAAAACGCAAACGTAACTGCATAGCCAACAGATATATATCTGCATCTGGAGCGGCTTGTTGTTGGGCTTACGTAAAGACAAGACAAATACTCGAGTGCAGTGCCATATTTATAAGTTATTTGGCTATGCCCCTCTCGTTTCGCTCCCCATTCCCCTTGTCTGTCTTATCACAAGAGCTGTGGCCGCATAAACACACATTCGCTCCGGCGGAATGGAATTTTTGCTGCCTGAAACGGCAAAAAAAACCAGAAAAAACGAACTAAAAAAGCAGCAAGAATTCGAGACGCGGGCATAATAATTCGATACATCAAGTTAAACGGAATACGCAAATGTAAACAAAGCCATGGGCTGATGGACTGAGGAGGAACTCGAGGCGGACGACACTTGATATATAAAGAATAACATTTGGGGCCACTTGGCCACTCGACGGCAAACAAAACGGGAGAAATTTGCTTAAATTTATAAATAATAATGACGATGATGATAAAATTGCCGGCGCAAATTGAGACAAGTGGCCAGTGGCCAGTGGCTACTTTTATTCTATGCCTCCGCGTTTTTCTGGCTCAATTAACCCGCCAGCCAGGCAGTAGAAATGTAAAAATGGAAGTCGGGCGAATGCGGCGTATGCGCAACGTCTCGAAGTCTGCTGCTCTGCATCTCCAGCTGTGTGAGAAATGGCAACCGCGATTAGGTCAGCGGACTTAAGAACACACACGGGAATGGCATAAATATATATACATATATATATATAAATATGTATAGAAGAGAATTGGACCTGAGTTTGGGGCAGAAATTCCACTCAATTTATCCATTCAGATGGCCCTTTCTCAACCGTGGAACTGTGGACTCGGCTTACATACAGCCGGCCATTTTAATTGGGTTTGTCTAATGAGCTGAGCTGAGCTTAAATTCGGAACCCTTTCAGCTTAACGCGGCTCCACTAATTATTAAGATAATCCGCTTAGTGGAGGGGAATCCGCCGGGTGCTTCAGTCTTTAAGCGAAAAGCCCTGGGATTGGCAACTCTTAAAGTCGGCCCCGGTTCGTGCCCTTTGCAGGGCATCTTTCTTTTGTCCGGGGAGGCACTCGAGCAGCCACTTGGCCGCCGTTCAATGTGGTTACTCCCCCGCCCTAGGAAATTTCGAGAACACAATACAAATGGCATTTGTTCGATGCAGTCAACGTCAGTTCAATGTCAATTTGCCAACAACAGCAACAATTATTCACAGATGGTGGGGAAGGGGAAAGGAAAGGGGGGTGGCCAATGGTGTCAGTAAGCTTAAACGAATGAGACAACGAAATCCCGGCTAATGTCTTGTGTCTTGGGAACTTTCCTGCTTTCCTGCTGCGTGATGTGGCGGAATATCTGTGCTAACTGTCAACCAATCTCTAACCAATCTCCCCTGCTTCTCCTGCTTCTCCTGGAAATGCCGCATCTTTAAGTCGGAGGAGCACCACTCGCCTGCGAGTCGCATCGCCTTCATTGAAATCGTGCCATTCTACACCGGATGCTGGCGCAGAAAAGAGGTACCAATCTAATCAGTGGGTTATAGTATAGCCTGCTCGAAATGTCATGATCACCACCAGCCCTACACCAACGCCCATCCCACACAGAGATTTATTTCCTTTTGGCCAATCTGCCATTGGCCGCCGATTTCTTTGCCACTTTAAGTTTTGCGTGGGTTTTGCTTTCTGGAAACGGGTTTTTTATTCGATTTGCGCTTCTTTGGGTCGCTGTTTTTTGTTGTCTCTATTGAATCCATTATCCGCTGGCTTTTTGTTTCATATTTTTGTACAACACACTCGAATGATGACGTTACCAGTCTTACTCATCTTTTGTCCGGCTGTCTGCTTTCGTCAGCGGCAGCTCTTGCATTTCCCCGGGAAATCGGGAAACAAACCCACTTAGCATTGACCCCGCAACAGCCGAGTGACCTCCAAGTGCGGCTGCCAATTTCATAATCCACAAAATTTCATTGCTGAACGCAGCAAAAGCCTTTTAAAGGCACTCGGCCACATCGAAAATGCCACTGCCAAAGAGCCTCAACATCAGCCACAATTCATTCCATTGGTTTTTCAGAGCTTGTTTATTATATAGTAAATTCATATTCGGCCCATTTGAGAGGTGTTGCTTCAGTTGCACAAAAAGAAAAGATTTGCTACAAGCGATCACTTAGTTAAAGGTTAGTTGAGGCTAGTTATTGTTCGGTTTGGTTTTGCACCGCAAAGATTTCCCCCGCGCTCTTCGCTTTTTTTTGCTTTGTGAAAAGTTTTTTCAGTTCTACAAATTATCCAGACACACCTCCGCACATCCCATTAAAGCAATTTCGATTTCTTAGGTGATTAACACCGAAATTTTCCAGACGATTGCGCCCAAACACAAACACACACACCCTCCTTAGTTTACCCATCTCCTTAGATCGCATTAAACATGTACTCCTAATTGGTTCATTACATATCATATTTGCATATTAGTAGAGCGAATTCGCGGAAGCCTTTGACTTGCCAAGTGATGATTTAGTTTTATTGAAGAGTATTTACTTATTCGTTTGTGGCTGACAGGCCTTTCTTTTTTCGCCTTGTTTTCTAAATATTTCTTCATTTATCGCAAATTGATGTTGGCGCGCAGCACTAAACAATTTTTAATTGGCAACGAAATTGAAACCCAATCGCCAATTGGCCCCTGGTCCACTCCACTGCACTCCAGTGTGATCTGGAAACGGGTTTTCATTCAGTTGACCAGCCTGCAATTTGTACTCCCCAGCGACTAACACACCGCATTTTCCTCTCTCTCCAGGCGAACAAACATGCTCAGCCATCGGGAGTGGCATCCTCAGCGAGCTCGGGAGGAGGACCAGGCGGTGCGGAGCGAGTGCCGCCCATCGGAGGCTATCAGTGGCCGGCGGACCAGACTCCGGGCGTAATGGGACTGAAGAACCACGGCAACACGTGCTTCATGAACGCGGTGCTGCAGTGCCTCAGCCACACGGACATCCTGGCCGAGTACTTTGTGCTGGATCAGTACAAGGTAAATATAGAGTATACTTTCATTATAGGGTACTCTAATCCTGCAATCCTAATCCTACCTTACCACAGGCTGACCTCAAGCGGCGCAACAAGATCAACTCGAGGAAGTTCGGCACCAAGGGTGAGCTCACCGAGCAGCTGGCCAACGTGCTGAAGGCGCTGTGGACCTGCAAGAACGAGAGCGACCACAGCACCAGTTTCAAGGCAGTGGTGGATCGATATGGAACGCAGTTCCGCAGCTCCACGCAGCACGACGCCCAGGAGTTCCTCTTCTGGCTGCTGGACAAGGTGCACGAGGACCTGAACACGGCCAGCAAGCGGCGCTACAAGAGCCTCAAGGTGGGGGCAATCTCAAGTTGGCGGCTACCCCGTCCAGGGACGACGCGACTAACTCTTTCTCCTCATTGTTCACCCGCGCAGAACTCGTATGGCCGCTCGGACGAGGTGATCGCCGCCGAAACGCTGGCCAACCACATCCGGTGCAACAACAGCTTCGTCCAGGCCGTGTTCCAGGCCCAGTTCCGATCCTCGCTCACCTGCCCGCGCTGCGAGAAGCAGTCCAACACCTTCGACCCCTTCCACTGCATCTCGGTGCAGCTGCCGCAGCTCACCCAGCAGACGATCTTCGTCACGGTGGTCTACATGAAGCAGATGCCCCGCCAGGTTCGGATGGGACTGCGTGTGCCTGCCGGATCCCCGATAGTGGCTCTCCGAGAGCAGCTGCAGACGGACACGGGCATCGAGGGATCGCGCATGGTGCTGGTGGACTTGAACAGCGAGGGTTTTTCGCGGGTCTTCTACGATACACAGCCGGTGGAGACACTGGCCAGCATTGAGACCATCTACTGCATTGAGGTGCCGGAGGCGACGACGCCTGTTCCCAAGGCTGGTGCCCCGCCAGAGGCGGGGGATAAGTCCACTCCTGCGGCAGGTGCCTCTGCTCCCGCTACTGCTCCTGCAGCAGCTCAATCGCAGGCCGACCTGCTGCTCCTGGTGGCCAACGTGTACCGAGCGAAGGATGGCAAGGACATCACCCGCTTTGGAGCGCCCTTCAGCATGAAGGCACCACGCGATTGCTCCTACCAGGATCTGCAGAAAAGGATGCTGCGCGAAATGGCGCCACTGCTCAAGCCAGAGGTCTTCTCCTATGCCACGCCGCTATCTGAGATGTTTCGTATACGGCTGCAAGACCCCTCCGCCGACCCGGACACGTATTTGGAGCAGGTGGCGCACCCTCTGCTCACCGAGATGATCGACATGGCGCTTTCCGTGCTGTCCTCCGAGGCTGGACCACAGCACATCAAGCTGCTGCTGGAGTGGAGTTCCCCCGAGGAGCACTTCCTGAACAAGCAGCAGGATTCGGGGGAGGAAGTCGTTGTGGAGCACGAGAGCGTGGCGCGGCTAAGTGCCAGCAAGCCCAACGACACCGCCTCCCTCACGCTGGAGCAGTGTCTGGAGCACTACACCAAGGCGGAGACTCTGAGTGCCGAGGACGCCTGGCGCTGTCCACACTGCCAGCAGTACCTGCCCGTGGTGAAGACGCTGGGCCTGTGGTCTCTGCCCGACATCCTGGTGGTGCACTTCAAGCGCTTCCGCCAGCACCAGTCAAAGGGACCGCAGGCTGCCAAGCTGACCACCATGGTCAAGTTTCCGCTCACCGCCTTCGACATGTCGCCGCACCTGGCACGCGGCGTCCACGAGAGCGCCAGCAGCTCGCTGGGAATGGGCACGGGAATGGGGCTCGGACTGGGCCTGGGTTCAAATCCCTGGAAGCGGGTCCGTTCCGGCGACTCGCGCTCCTCCACGCTCAATTCGCGCTGCGATCCAAAGGACACGCGATACGATCTGTACGCCGTGTGCTACCACCAGGGTGACACCCTGGAAACCGGTCACTATACGGCGGCCTGCAAGAACCCGTACGACCGGCAGTGGTACAAGTTTGATGACCAGCGCGTGAGCAAGGTGCCCGAGGACGACATCGAGCAGGACATCATCAACAACGAGGCCTACATGCTATTCTACCAGCGACGCAGTGTGGACGCCGGCGAGTGCTCGGGATCCAGTTCGAATTCCGGCGATCACTGGGTATCGCGCATTGCCCCGGCGCCCTCGTCCTCCGCCTCCTCGACTTGTGGAAAAGATAAGGAGCCGGTTAAGTTGGAGGGCTCCAGTGAGTCCACCGAAACTCCGGCGGCCGCAGTGGCAGAGAAGGCTCAATCGAAGCCAGTTGACATACCCAAAATTTGCCAGGAGAGGGCGGAGGGTAAGTCAATCTTAGTCAATATTGAAGAACATATTTTAAACTCATTCATTTCACCATTTTCAGTTAACGAAGAACCCACGGCTGGTGCTCAGGAGAAGCCATCAGCAACACACGAGCTCAACATTGAAGAACTGGCGTTTGCCGATGCCGATGTGGATACCAGTGTAAGTGAGAATAGCAAGACACAGGCAGCTCTAGCAGCCGAAGATGAACCCGAGCAGAGGGTTGCAGAGGAAGCCACGCCCATATTTGCCATGGATGAAGATTGCTCCGACCTTGTGGAGGAGAAAAACGAGAATCCTGCTAACAAAGAAGCTGACATCTCCGAAGCCCCTCTAGCTACCGAACCAACCAACGCCGAAGCCAAGGTCAAGACCAACGGGGATGTGAGTTCTTCACCCAGCTCTTCATCCTCGGAGAGCTCGCTCTCGTCACGCTCCTCGCCGAGATCACTGAGTACCTCAGTGACGGCGGCCTCCACTTTGCAGAGCAAGTTCAACGGCCACATGAACGCCGCCCAGCTCTCCTCCAGCTTGCAACTATCCAGGCAGGTGCTACACAACCACAACTGGCATGGATCCAGGAGCAGCGTGTCGGTGGTGGAGAATGCCACCCATCATCACCAACATCAGCAGGCGGCGGCCAGTCTAAGCTTGCGGCACTCCTTCTCCACCAGCTCCAACTACACGGAGACTCTGTCATCACTGCTGCGGAAGTCGGCCAACACTTGCAGCAAGGACACGCTGCTGTTCATCGACCAGCAGAGTCACCATCACACAGCGGGACTGATCGAAGATGATGATGATTCATATATGGGCCGGTCCCTATGGGTACGTTAAGATAAAAAATCTAAAAGAACTCGAATTAATTTCAAGCAATCATATCTTACAGATATCCCCCGTGACGCCACACAAACTCATTACAGTTTCGCCCAAGAATTAAATGCGATATTATGATCCGTACGGACCATAGACACAAACAGAAATGGAAACCGAAACCGAAAATGAAAACGAAACCGAAACAAGAACATACACAAACGCACTATAGCCATAAGCCTAAAGTTTACTTTATATGATATTTCTAAACCGGAGCTACCGAGCGATAAGCGAAAAGCATAATGAAGATGTTATACAACTCTGTTTACTTTAAGATATGTACTCATATATACGATAGTTGCAATATTGCATTAAGTTTGAAAAGTTGGATGAAACTTGAATAGGGTCCGTAAGCCTAATTAAGTTTATTTATTCGCTGGCAATTCAAAGCCAATGGCGAGCATTAATTTTCTTTGTATTTTACCGAATTGACATTGATTTGTTTCTAATAACCTAACGACTACCAATATTTATTTAGCCAAACATTGAAGTACAATTTGATTTTATTTAGTTTCCCATTTCATCCGTATACCTTCTTCTTGTATAGTTCTCTATCGATTTCTGACGTAACGATGAAGTGCTTGGCATGCCTATATTTAGTTATTTTTTTAAATGAAACCAAGTTTCAAACTACAATCTATGCGTATAGTTATAGATCTAAGGACATGTATTCTCTTTAATTAAGATTACCTTTATTTCTATATCAATCTATTTGCTTGTCACTTTTCCACACCCATATACAATTCTGGCACAACTGCATGATTCTTTCGATTTGATGTCGGGGCTAAGTTTTGTGGGGCTTTCACAATGCGGATCTATATACAAACATATATATTACTTTATGAATAATGTATTCTACATGTAGAAGAAAGCATTACACCAAAACATTATATGATAACAAATGTTTAAGGACTCTACCACATTGTTTTTTGGAGAGAAAGAACTTTATTACGGTGTAAAATGTTCATTGTATTCATAAATAAACGTGAAGTTGTTGGATATGAAATACGATTTTGAAGCAAAATAATAAACTATAAAAATGTCTTGGCTGTCGGCCGTTATGAAAAATTAGGTAGATCCTATGGCCCAAAATTATACATTACCCGGGTTCCCTTATTTTAGCATAAAATCAAAATATGCAATATGCTGTATAAAACAGTAATTTATTTAGAATTAGACCTCAATTTCCCAAATTTCAACATAATTTAAAAAAAAAATTTGTTTTTGACAAAAAGCCCGATCGTTGTCCAAAAAACAAGGAGTATTTTGGACACAAAATTGCAAAGCCATACCTCGCTGAACTACTTATTAAGTACGCTATCGATGTGTATTCACACCTGGATATGCAATAATCCTCAATCAATTCAGTGTGGGACTATGTTTGAGAGCACTTGGTATTTGATGATCCTCTACATCGTCTTCAGCCCGAAAGTATGCAGTTGAGCTTGGAAGCCATCTCCAAGCTTGGCTCTCTCGGAACATGCTAAATTCAAGGTAAAGCTTTCTTTCTTTCCACTTTCTCGTGCTCTTGCCTGTTGACCGTCGCTTGAAAGCAGCCGGAGGTTCAACGTCTGCAGCGACATGGCCAGCGACTCAGTTCAGTTGCTGCACTTGACGCGTCTGGTTCTGTTTTTCCCCTTTGCGGATCGAAGAAAATAGAGTCGAAGAAGAAGGCCAAGTCCAAGTCCAAGAACCGAGACGACCAGAAGAAGCGATCGAGCGGAGATGGATTATCGCCTAGTGCTGGTATGTCATCATTACGGGTGTGCTAACTGGTAACTTCTTCCGGGGCTGGCAAGTCAAGTCAAGTTCGTTGCCCAAGTCTTTTGTTTTGCAATGCGCAAGCATTGGCAAGCTAAGCGATCACGTTTACTGTTACCCAGTCCCAGTCGCAGTCGCTGGGAAGCGCCCGATTCTGGAGCATGCTAATGAATTAAGCTAACTGTGGAGCAGCGTTATGTTCTAACTTCTGACTTTTCTGGCCGGGTGCCGAGCAACTTTCCCGTTAGTGGTCGTGTGGCACGCATATTTGGAACACACACTGCCAACGAGTTATATTCGTTCTGGCCAGAACAGAGAAGCCACTCTTTCAGTCTTTGGCCTCCGAAAGACGGCCAATTCGGGTCTCCAATCTGCAATTGGGCTACCCATATTTACCTATGCAAATTGGAATGGCTCCGTTTTTGTGTTGGGGAACTCTCTCGCAGGGCAAACGAGTTTCTGGCCCATTAGAAGGGAAAAAAAACAAAAGAATAAGTTGAACAGAGACTGACCCAATTTCGGATTCAAATTGCGCTGTGAACCGTGTCACGGAAGAGAGAAATTCCACAGCTTCTTGGCACTGCATCCGCCCACCAAAAGCACTGCCACTTGACCTGAATAACTCGACTCTTTACGGGGAACTTTTGGTTTCGTTGGCGATGCGATGCCAATGCCCAGAATTTCAGGGAAAGTTCAGTTCCCCTGAACAATTAAATGGTCAAGTGAGGCGAGCAGAGAGATGCAAAAGTCGCGTCTCGGTTTCAGTTTGTTTATCTTCACAGAAACAGAAACTTTCGCGCTTTCGCCAAACAACAAAACACCGAAAAGTGTCTGATCTCGACTCTTTCTCCGGACAATGCCGACCATTCACTGGCCCACCATTCTGTGGGGCCATTAATTTGACTCCAGGCAGTGAAGGCACTATGATTCCACCTCCACAGTGACCGTCTGTTGTCTTTCTGCCCCTTTGTAGAAAATTCTCAGCTTTCTGCTGTTGGCCCAATTGAGTTTCGGCCAGCCGCAGCAGCAGCAGTCGCCATCGGACTACGGCGAGGAGCAGCCACCGGAGGGCTACTACGCCTTCGTGGAGTCCCCCAATGCGGTGCCGCCGAAGGTCAGACTGCCACCCTACACCTTTGTGAATGCGGAGTGCAAGGATGTGGCTGCCGGCAAGAAATCCGCCGTGTCCGTGCACAATATCTGCGGGGATCTGAACAAGGGTCAGATACCTAAGAATCCGCTGGGACAGAATGTGCTCGGAGAGCCCTATCCCTTGTAAGTAAAGAGTTAAGTACTGGGGAATCCGAAAATCTCCAATGAAGTTATTCTCCTCCCAGTGAGCTGATTCGCAACCAGACGCTAAAGTTCCTTTCGAAGACCCTACCCGTGCTAAAGGCCGACGACACCCTGCCCAAGGTCACCCAAATTATCCGCGATGAGCCCGTGGAGCAGCTGGACAGCAATAACATTGACAGGCCATATCCCGCCGGAGGTTCCACAACCCGCATCCGACGCAGTCTGCCCGAGGGAGTGGAGTCCAACGAGTACAGCTACTTTGATCCCGCCCTGGACGAGGAGGAGCAGCATCAGCACCGCGAACGAGATCACCAGCAGCGCAGAGCCGCCGAGGAGAGGAAGCCACGAAAGTTCTGTGATGGCGGTGGAGTGTAAGTAGTTTAGTTCAAAAAAATAGAAATGGGGGTAATAGGAATAATACTCTTAGTGGCAATTTAATGCTAACGTATAAACCGGTCTTTATAGGATAGTTATTATAAGCACTATCTTAGCTCAAAGAAAAAATTTATGGAGAATTCGAGTTATAGAAATAAAAAAACCTATTCATGACAATAGCAGGGATTTGGAATGATCAAACTCGAATTTTCGAATTTTTTTAAATTGCTTGTACTTTTAAAAGAAGTATATAAACCTATTAAATTCATTTATTATAAGTTGGAAAAAACGAGAACTGAAAGATATCACAGCTATTAATCAATAATTATCATAAACACAACTCTAAAAAAAAGTATTCGATGGAATTTAGGTTCACTTTCCATAACATATAAATATTTATATGGGTAAACAACAAAACTAGAATTTGCATAGGTGGAATTTTAGGAAAAAAGGTTCGCAATTTAAAATTCTCTTCTCAATCCACTCTATCATAAAATCTTAACTTTTTCTACAGATTCTGCACCTTGTACAGGGCCATCCAGGGCGACACCGGAGGAGCTGCACCTGCCACGCCCACAGCGGAGCGACGCGAGGAGGTGGGCCCCATCCGGTACGAGGGTCCGCCCACTCCCTGCCCCGCCAAGGTGGAGTACGCCACGCCCGTCTTTGCCAAGAACTACCAGGGCGCCTGGCGCTACGTGGTCCAGATTCCCTACGAGGGCTACTTCACCCAGACGGTGGAGGTGACGCGCTGCATCCAGGCTCGCTGTCACTACCTGGACGGCGGCTGCCTGTCCTCGCCTCGCTGGGTGAGCCTACTGGTCGCGGAGATCTTCTACCCGAACGCAGAGGACACGGTGCCCACCAGCTCGACCACCACGCAGGCGCCCTCGGTTCAGGACTTCCAGGCCTACCAGCAGTATCTGCAGAAGCGAGCCGGCGTGGCCACCGCCTCGGACGGCACATCTTCCGGAGCATCCGGCTCCGCGGCGCCCTCGGATGCCCACTGCGATGGACACGACGAGCTGGGCTGCTTCCAGGTGCGACTCTACTACGACTGGTTCCTCATCCCCGGCTCCTGCAAGTGCTGGCGTCCGGACTACTTTGCCAAGTACGTGCGACGGAAGTCGGTGGCCGACTTGTGAGCACTGTGAAAGCTGGACAGGATTCCTCACGTCGAGATCCTTGGAATACGTTTAAGCCCTAGTACTTAATAGAATACAACTTTGAGGTGAACGGCTCATTCTAGTGATCCATTCCAGCTCCATTGGATCACGCAGAGTTTGCAGTTCAGATACATCTACCAGATACATTATTAACCTAGGCGATTAGCTCCCTCTTTCGACTGATTAAGCCAAGCGCATTGCATTTCTACTAATAAATATGTTTCTACCTAAATTGAGAGAGATCTCTATGGGGTTTTTGGACCCGCTTTTGGCCTAGGCCGTGTGTGTGTGTGTTTGTGTGTTTTTATGTGAATTGGGTTGGCCTCCTGGCGCTCTCCCGCTCTTAGAGATTCACCGAAAAACAGAAAAACCACAGAAACCAGTCGCGCAAGTTGCGCATGCGTGCGAGACTGAGACTCAGGCCCCAAAACAAAACCTCTAGTGTGCAGTCAATATAACCAGTTGGTTGGGTTTGGGCGCTTCGTTCGGGGAACCGAGCCAAGCTGCATTACATATACACAGAATAGGTGCAGAGCTTGCGCAGAAGCCTTGACGAACGGCCTCAAAAGGCTGCCAGAGGAGCCGCACGGAAGAACTGGATTGCAATTTGATTTCGACTTGGACCTCAGGAGGCAGCGTTTCCGCATAGCTTGGGTAAGTCAGCAAATTGGACGGCAGACTCTTTGTTTATAAACAAAACAAACAATCGAAGTGGATTTACAAACACATTTCGGAAACTGCAAAGCAAAGTGGTTTGTTCAAAAAGATTTTAGACTCTTAACTAAGAATTCCCTTTAAAAGTTGTATTAAAAAATACCATTACCATTTGAAATATGAAAACTAAGAATCTGGGTTAAATTTAGTCAATCAATTAGTTTGTTAATTTGTTTATAAACAATGAGTAAATTGCGAAAAGAATCGATCGGGCTCATGGCCTGAGTCTTTCGTTTGGCACAATTCAATTAAATTTTACGAGATTCGAAGCGTTCAAAATCTACAAACATTCCATTTTGACTTACCCATGCAAATGAGCTCCCATGAATATTCAGTTATGCATTGGGAGCAAGCGTGGGACGATCCGTAATGCCAGCCCACTACTTTCCATTTTGCACCACCCGCAGACGAAGATGCTCCGCCAGAACACCAGCATCAGTCTGCTGAACCTCAGCATTGGCGACGGAGGAGGGAGCAATGGCAATGGCAATGGCAATACTGGTCAGGCACAGTGCCAATCCCTGGACATGGATGCACTGCCCAAGCAGTTTGTGCTGTCCATGAAGAAGCTCTTCGACATTCTGGACGACAAGCAGAGCGGCTACGTGCGCTACACGGACATCGAAAAGGGCTGGCAGGACGACGGCTCCAAGGGACTGCCCCGCGGAGTGCTGGACTCACTGCGTCGGGTCACTCCCAGCAGTGGGCTGCTCTCCTTCGAGCGCTTCTGCGCGGGACTAAAGTTGTGCCTGCTCCGAAATCAGCAGCAGGCCCTGGCAGAAGTGAAGATGCGGCCCCGTTCCCAGGCGAACTTGACTCCGGAGGTGGACTACAGTTCTCCGGCTCCACCGCCCAAGCCGCCACGTCAGGTGGCCACATCGCCGCCTGCCCTGGGTAAGGCAGACATACGCCATGCCCTGCAAAATTGGCAGCTCAATCTAATGGCGGATGCAGGAAAGTCCAAGGTGCCGCAGACAAGGGAGCAGTTTGAGCACCGGGGATCCGCGGATGGCGGCTCCTCCTCCACCTCCGCCTCGGCCACCGATTGGAGCCTGGCCGCCCTTCCCGCCTTGCCCAAGAAGTCAAGCAGCAAGCGCCGGGAGTCGCGAAGGCACACGCTTCAACATGGGATCGATTACAACATGCTTAAGCGAATGAAGCAGCTGGAGGAGCAACGGGAACTGCTCCTGTTTGGCCTGGATGGCGTGGAGAAGGCGCGCGACTGGTACATGCAGCAAGTGCTTAATGTCCAGGAGCAGATCAAGTATTTCGGTCGCTCGGGAACCAGATTTGTAAGTTTAAGGCACCATCCGTTTTTGAATCAATAGTTAACCTTATTGGTTTGCCCACAGGAGCAGTGGTCTGAGCTGCAGCAGGAGCGACTCAACTTCCAGCGTGGTCGTGTTCTGGAGGCCAACCGCAGTCTCCAGATCCTGGCGGACACCTGGGAGCACGGCGGCTACCCACTGCACATCAACCTGGCCCTGCCGACGGCCGCCGTACCGAAACCCCGGCAGATGTCCGATCTTCTGAGCCGCGTCCGCGAGAAGCCGCCGCTCCTGTCGGATCTGTACGAGCCACAGCACTCCCATCCGCACCCGCACCCGCATCCGCAGTTCCTGCGTGCCATGTCCAACTTTGTGCTCAGCCAGCCCTCGCCCGTCAGCCAATCCTCCGCCGGACTTGGTGACGCCGATGTGGTCTACTGAGGAACCAAGATAGCTTACTTTGTAAATAGTGTATTATTAAACGACTCAATCTCTAAGCTAGAGGGGATTTGGGTAGCGGCGCATATACTTGTTAAGCTGTTTGTAGTTGAGGTTGCTTCCGGGTTGCACAATGCCCTGATTCACGGTCTTCTTGGCCTCGAACTTGCGGTCCATGTAGCACTTGTAGCAGTTTTGAAACTGGCTGATCTCTTTGTGGCAGTACTTCTCCACGAACTCGTTGTCCTTCAGGCAAGCAAAAAGGACGCCCATCTCCTGGAGGCAGGCCACATCATTTCCTGAGTCGGCCTTCCCACTCACGGTGTTCTTTAAACGGAGCGGTAGAATTTCCTGGAAGGGCACGTCCTTCTCGCTTTGCGGCGCTCGGCCACGGGCGGCGAACAGGGCACTGGGTACTCGCATCTGGAACACTTTGGATTAGTAACTCCTGCTTTTTCACTCATTATATACAATTTTAGTTTACCTCGTAATTTCCAAAGTCTCCTGGTCGAACAGCTGATTGGGGTTACGTCACGAACGCTGCTCAACACTGGACCCGCGGCATCCTTCGCTGTGAATGGCTTTTCTGCACGCTCTGCCGTTTACCAACCCTAGTCGCCGAACAACAAAACTGAATTGAGGAAATTACAGACAAAAGGTAAATAAGCAACCTGCGGGCACGCCTGGAGAGTCCCTCAAGGATCACCGAACACCACGCCACCGGCCCCATGGAAGCCGCCGAGGAGCGCCCCCTCTGCGGGCATCCACGAGCAGCTGCAGCCGCAGCCGAGCAAGCCGCCGACCAGGAAGATCTGGATCTGGATCTGCACGGTGACCGGGAACGGGAACGGCCAATGGGGCTGTGGGAGGGCGTCACATCCCTAAGCAGTCGCAAGCGCCAGTTGAGTCGCTTCCATCCCTACCACGGATCCAACATTCAGCTGGGCGACGACGCCACCGTTGCCTACCGGAGAGCAAGCTTTGCCGACGCCCTGACCTTCTCGGAGCGCCCACTGGCCCCCGGCGACATCTTCCTGGTGGAGATTGAGAAGATAGAGCGCGGCTGGTCGGGCCACATGCGCCTGGGACTCACCGAACTGGCGCCCAATGTGATTCGGACCAGCAGCGAGGGTTTGCCCCACTTCGCACTGCCCGACCTGGCCAACCTGGGCAACAGCTGGATCTACCCGATATCCAAGTTCGAGATGAACCAGCGCCAGGAGGCCAACGACATCATCGAGCCGGAGACGGACGACGAGCCCCACAGTACGTACTGACTGACTAAATGGAACTGTTAACTCTACATATACGATTATTCGTTGCCAGGAAATCTTCTGGGCGACGCCACGCACGTGAGGACTCCTCGAGGGCTGCTACCAAAGAGACTTCTGCGCCCGGCGATGGGCAACGGCAACGACTCGGACATCTTGCTCACGGACAGAGGCTCCCGCATCGGGATCATCTACGTGCCCACGGTGCACAGCGCCTCCAAGGGAGAGCTGCACTTCATCATCAACGGTGTGGACCGTGGCCCCGTCTCGCGAGACATTCCGCTTAACAGAGCACCCCTGTTCGTCGTGATCGACGTCTACGGTACGACCAAGCAGATCAGGATTATCCAGCTGGAGGGCAGTAAGTGGAATCGTTTGTTGGTAGCCTTCTGCAGCTTATTTAATCCTTTGTTCTCGCAGTTTTGTCCCTGCAGAGCGCCTGCCGCAACGTCATCCTGGAGAACTTCACAGAGGACGCGATCACCGAGCTGCCGCTGCCGGAAAGCATCAAAAGATTCCTGCTGCGCCGCGACTAGAGCCTCCGGACCATGAGCTCTATGCAATAGGGCCCAGTGTGTGTGAATGATAGATGCGTGTGTGAGGGAGAGTGCATGAGCCTGGGTCGTGATAGTATGTTTACCCATATATATATTTTATACGCCTGCAGCGCTGCCGTTCATTGACCCCCAACTCCCGGCGGGATTGGGATTGGGATTGGCCGATCCCCGCTAGAAGGCGCTTATATATTTGTACTTTCTGTAGATATATTTTGTAATTTGGTTGGAGTTACCAGTTTAATACACACCTCGCCCTGGACGATCCTATGTTGTGAAACATAATCTTCGCCAGCGTTTGTGTATGTATAGCTCACCGAGCGTTAAATGGAGGTCTCCTGGCCGCCCTGCCTTTTAGCGTTTCGGTCCCGATCCCGAAGGCGATTTCCGTTTCCATTACCTCCTAAGTATATTGTTGCTAAATGTAAGTTAAGTCCACTTAATAAATGATCGATAAAAGATCTTCGAACTATAGACGTTTATTCAAACTGGATATGCATATAGAGTGTGTGGTTACAGAATAAAAACGGGAGAGATCCGCCCCCGCCGACTACTTGCCGCGGTTCTCCGCCAACTTGGCCTTAAAGATGGCCTTCAGCTCATCGGCTCCATCGCCGTTCACCTCCTGGTAGTAGGGCAACTCTGCCAGGCGCTTCAGCCAGCCGTGCACTTTTGGAAACTTGAACTCATCGATGGGAGCGGCATCGTTGACCGATGCCACAGTGGCCACGGCGCAGAAGTCTGCGATGGTCAGTTCGCTGCCGCACAGGTACTCGTCCTCCTTGAGGAAGCCCTCCAGGATCTCCCAGCACTTCTGGATGTACGCGATCTTGTCGATGGAGCAGTCCGTGGACCCGTGGTACAGGATCGGCTCGTAGAGGAACCGCAGGCGGGCGAACAGGTGGCCAGAGTCCAGATGGAGACGGGCATCCACGTTGGCGCGTTGCACCAGGTCCTTGGGGTACAGCTGCTGCTGCTCCTTGCCGTACTTCTCCACCAGGTAGGCGCATATGGCATGTGAGTCAATGATCGTGGCTTCGCCATCGATCAGCGTCGGAATCGTGTGTTGGGGATTCATCTTGAGGAATTCCGGCGTCAAATGCTCACCCTTCAGCAGGTTAATTGGCCTGGGTACGGACGGAGCGGAGGCACTTGTTAATTGAGTTAAGTGGCGTGGTGTATGGGAACCTACCTTAGTTCAAGGTCGAGTCCGATCGCCTTGGCCGTGAGCAGGACGGCGCGGGATGGGGGGCTTAGTGTGGCGTAATACAGAGCTGGCTTCGACATGGTGGACTCACTGGATGGGGGGATATCTCGACATTAGTACAGTGAGTCAGGCTTACAGTTCGTATTATTCCTAAAGTCTATATATGGTATTCCGGATCGAAAGAGTCAGTCACTGTCCCAGAGAACCAATGTTGTGGGAGTCTTGTGGGGGTAGTCCGGCCATTGCATTTAAGGACTCCTGGAGCAACCCTCGCAGTGGGCAGTGTGTCAACAAGCGATCTGATCAGATACCAGAGCTCTGCTAACCGCACTCACACCACCTCAATAACCACCACCCATACAAGTATACCAGTACCGAATCCGTATCGCACCCACAGCAATATCAGATAACCCCCGGATCTGTAGCACGGTAACTGGCGACTTATCAGAGCACTTAGCACGACAACCACACAGCGAAGGAAAATTACTGGGGCTATCGACGACCCTGTCCCTCCCCATTTAGGCCGCCTTCCCTTTTTTGCTACTGGGAATTAAGTTTACAAAACAAATGTAATTAGCAGCACGCACACACACATGTAGATCGCGCCCCCACTGCTCGTATGCACAGGCAATCGCCGGCGAATTGTTGTTCTAGTCAAATAGCCAATGCAGCAATTTGTGCGCGTGTGTGTGGGTTTGTTTTTATAGGGGGGCTGATTTTGCGCATTGGTTTGCACACACTCGCAACTCACACTTTTCTATGAACACTATAATGTATGTATATACTAGAAAGTATAAAGCTGGCAAACGAACGTCTCCTCCGAAGTCCAAACGCGATCTGAATCGCGAACGAGAAACTATATAGAGGCTCCACTAGCTCTGCCATTAGCGCTGCTGAGAACCCATTTGCCGTGGTGTAGGTGAGATTGGGAGTGGAGTCCTCTCTTCACGTTCTCTATCTCACTGCCTCTCTTAAGCTCTCTCTCTTCCATGTTATTTCATAGGTTTATTCATAAGGTTTTGGTACAGGTTAAATCGTAATATGTTTAGGCTCTACGAGTATGTGATTAAGCGAATTTTTATATATGTAACTCTATATAGCATGTAGCTTGTAATACCAGCTGCGGCTCCGTTGGAATTCTCTATTCGCCGGGATCCTTGAGCACGAGGAGTACGGGTTAAAAACCATGGGAAATATGGATATACATAGACCCATGGCGTCTTGATCGAAACGGAAACGAAGCACTAGCACTAAAGATCGGATCGAGTGCAACGAATAGAGAGAACATTGCATGTGTCATTGGAGATTTCGCGTGGAACTCAATCACATTCAACTGTATCTGCTTGCACTATCCTCTTATCTAGTTGTCCAGCACGCTGCGCTTGAGGGCTTCCTCCAGATCTGCGTCGAAGCTCTCCGGCTTTGAGTAGTCCGCCGCGAACTTGTCCTTGGCCAGCGGCTTCTTGTCGGGATCCATCTTGGCCTTGACCTGCCCGTTCTGCTTCTCCTTGCCCGTGGCCTCAAAGGAGGTGCTTCCAAAGTCGCTGGAGAAGTTGTGTGACTCGAACTGGGCAAAGTTGTGGCCCATCTTGAAGTGGTCCTCGAAGTTGTCGTTGAAGGCGTCGAAGGCCTTGGCAGTGGCCTTTTGTTCATTGGGCTTGCTGGTCAAGCCAGTGGTCACCGATGAGTTTTGGCCCACACCGAAGTTGTCGTTAAATGCATCAAAGAAGGAATCATTGAGTTTTGTATTACTAGTGGTTGTGGCCGCGATCGTCTTTCCGGAGCCAGGTCCAGACCCCGATCCTGCATTGGTGGCCAGGGTGGCAGGGAAGTCATCGAAATCAGCGAATGCGTCCAGCGCCGTCTGGGACTTCTGGGGATTCGGCGTGGAGTTGGAGTGATGCGAGGTGGTCGAGTGGTACGATGGAGCCGGACTCGAGTTCAGGTTGAAGGCGTCGAACTGCTGGAGCAGATCGTGGTTGAGGGGCGTGGCCGCCTTGGGCTTGCCATTATTGTTGTTTAACATGTTGCTCAGATTTTTAGCCGCTGCTCCCATCTCGTCTGAAGGATTAGGGATAGAGTTAGAGGGGATTTACCAGGTTATATATATAAGTGACCTACCCTCCGAACTGAAGTCCTCGGCAAAGTTATTTTTTTTCTTCTCATCAGTCCCCTTGGGTTTCACCTCCTCCTCATCGTCTGCGAAGGGATCCTTGATGCTAAAGGGATCCTCGTAGCGGTAGTCCTTGAAGGGATCGTCCTTGAAGTCGGTGGGTCCAGTGATGAGGCCTGAAGTCGGAGACTTCTGGCTGACAACCGCTCCTCCGAAGGCATCAAACACACTGGCTCCCAATCCCGGTGCCGTCGTGCTCCGATTCTGCAGCGGTGTATTGGAACGCGACAAATGCTGGTTATTTGGGCTGGGGGCGGTGGTGATGGTGGTGGTGCTACTTAGGGGAACTCCTCCCACTCCCGCTCCCGCTACCAATCCCGCTGGTGATGCTGATACAGATGCTAATACCGGGGATGGGGCTGCTGGTGTGGATACCGGTGTCGAGAGCAGGGGATGTAAGGTGGTGGTGGGTGTGGGATTGGGCGTGCTGGCCGCCTGGCTGCGGATCTGGCCGGGATCGTCAAACAGGGAAAAACTGTCCAGCAACGACGATCCGCTAGAGATCGAAGCCGGAATAGGGGGCGGAAGCGGGAGTGGGGGCAGGGAAAGAGGCGTGGCCGTGGGCGTGCTTGGAATGTTGTGGAGCTGTGTTGTGTGGGTGCGTCATGTCGTGTGGTATCGTGGGGGGAATAGAAGTGAAATGAAACAAAATTAAATTAAAATTAAACCAAATTAAGCGGAATCAAAAAGATAACACAACTAAGGGGGAACTGAAATCAAACAAGGTCAACGAAAGCGTTCAAGCAGCCACGTAGGGTGTTGTAGTTTCTCTAGGATCATGACCAGAACCCAGAGAAGTGAGAAGGATTTGGGGCTCCTTCCTCCAAAAGAACTTCGACGGACGTACGTTGAATGATGTCGAACATAGATATCTTTTTATTAATAATGCAAAACGTTGTGTCTGTTACATTTTTGTATCGGTTAGGCTGGGGTTTCTCTAAAAGTTCTCTCTATAATTATGTTTTTATGCACGGAATATGTATTCACGGTAAATCAATGCACGGAAGCTTGTTAGTTTCGGTGTGGGTGTTCGTACATGTGTGGCTATAATAATCAAGATCTGACAAATATATATATATAAGTACTTTGATATAATTGAGTGGGGACCAGTCCCCTCTAAACGGCTCTATAAGCTGACTGGAAATGGATTTTCGGTAAATAGTAGTGGGCACTCCGATTCCGGCCTCCGATTGCCCTCGCTTGCCCCGTAAAATTCGAACTTTCGCGGCAGTTACATCAATATCTGAATATCTGAATGCTTGTGAGGCTCGTGTGTAAAATGCTTTAATATAGAGTATGGCTGTATAATTGCTTTAGACTTTAGTATTCGCATATGCAGAAACAACAAACAACTTGCATTAAATTCCTTTTAGAGTTCTCTCCCCACAAAAAAAGTAACCGGGATTATACACTGTCCTCCAAACGATTTAAAGGGGAATGGGACCCATAATAGTAATAATAGTAAGCTAATACATTGCTGCACAACATTGGGAGAACGATTAGAACGATTGAACGAACTCTAGGGCTTCCATCCGTCTGCTGTTTTTCTTTGCTTTTGGTTTTGGTTTTGTGACTACATTTATAACACGACGATACATAACGCTTGAAATTGGTTTGAGTTGTGGTTGAGTTTCGATTGAATTGATTTAGTACATTTAGCTAATTAGGCATGAACGATAATGCTGCGTCCTCTAGATATTATACCATGCACCGTGACTGATATATGTACGTTAACGTTAATATGCGGCTGCAAATAGCTTTGTACGCTCAAATTGATTTGTTTCGTTATGCTGCTAGAGGAGGCCATTCATTAACTGAGTATGTGTGTTAGTACTGGTATATATCGTATATTGAATGGGTTATCTTAAGATGTTCACTGAAAATAGAGAATTGCAGAGATGAGAGACCAAACGGTTAGTTTTAATACGGGCAGCACCAAGGCCAAAGCTACGGAATGTGTGACACTGGGCGGTGAAATTGGTGATCTGGCGGTGAGGGATTTATCCGGCAGTGATTTGTACCTACTACTAATGGCAAACCAAAACAGCTACAAATCAAAAATCATAAGTAATCAATTCTACTTTTTAAAAACGTTGCATAAAAGTGGTTTATTTCTACAGAACTTAGGAAATGTTAGTGATAATAAACGAAAGAACCAAGGATTAGAGCCATATACAACATACTGGAAGGGTGCGGGTGCGGGGCGCATGCATTACCACCGATCCCAGCGGACACTGAACTGTGGAGTACCAACCTTATTGTCAAAGTCGTCGAAGTCGGCGAAACCTCCTCCGCCGACGCCTCCAAAACCACTCGTGGGCTGTCAAAGATATCCAATTAGGACGCTTCTATGGAAGAGAACCTCCAAGTCGGCTTACCTGTGCAGCCCGTGGGGGCGCTGGTCGCGGGGGCGGCACCTTGGACTTCTTTGGCGGCAATGCTGGACTAGGGGACTCCGGTCTGGGCGGCGGACCTGACTTCTGCGTGTTGGGGCTGAGCACCTGACCCTGGCCAGTTGGAGCATGCAGAGCGGCAAACGGATCACTGCCAAAGTCGTCTTTTCCCGGCTGTTATGTTGATATGCACCAATGAGTAAGTTTAGAATTCGATTGACTACTACCCAATCTTACCTCTGGAGTGATGGCGTTGCTCTTGTTGGCCGCAAAGGCGTCCGAACCGAAGGGATCGCGCTGGGTCGTTTGACCAAATGCTGAGCCCGCTCCGCTCTGGCCAAAGGCATCGAAGCCACTGTCGAAGCCCGAGCTCATGTTGAAGCTGTCATCGAAGCCGGTGGAAATCGAGGGCTTGCTGGCCGGGTGACCGGAGAAGGGGTCGGTGCCAAAACCATTGGTGGCCTGATTGGCGGCGCCACTGTTGTTCTCCTCGAAGGGATCGTCCTTGGGCATTTGCACCTCTTTGGTCAGCGTCTTGCGCGCCTCGTCAAAGTCAGGCTCGATCTTCAACTGGTACTCGGAGACGAGCTCGGCGTTCTGGCTCTCCATAGCCGCTCGACAGATGAGCAGGGCATCGGTCATCTGGCGCTGCGTCTCTAACAGCTGGGTGACCATCGAGCGAACCTTCGAAACGGATTGATTCGTTATTCGTTGTTATGAGAGATGGTCTAGCTAAACTTACCGAGCTGATCTGCAGTTGTGTGGCTTGCAGGTGGTTGGTCAACTTCGAGAGCTCGCGGTTGTTGTCGTCGTACTCCTTCTGAAGCGACGTCTCCTCGTCCTTAAGCTTCTGCAGTTCCGAGCGTTTGGCGTTTAGCTCGCCCTCCTGCTCGTTAATGGTCTCCTCCTGCATGTGGCACTGGTCGCGAATCTTGGTCACCTGCAAGCAAGCGGATTTCGAGTTTAATAAAGGGGTCATTTAAACCAAGGACTTTGCACAACACTTGGGCCAAAACATAAATCACATGAACGAAAGTACGGACACAAAGCAAATATATATACAGAAATCATGAGGAACTAAAACAAACCTGATCGTTGGTGCGCGATATGTCAAGACTTACGTTGGCCAGCACGGCCGTATTGTGGCTAACCTTAAGTGATCGTAATTGTAAGTGTAAGTGCATTCACCAGTTTAGTATGGGTTTAGCCAATTGTTAACAGAGTGTCGGAGGGAACATGATAAAGAAAGGAAACCAAAGTTGGAATTTAAATTTCAAATAAAAAGTAAGCCCAATAGCAAGCAAAAGGCAAGCAGTGGCGCAGGAGCACCCGAAAGCACCCGCATAAGCATGCAAATAACTACTTGAGCCTGTAGATCGTCCAGTCGTTTCTGGGCCTCTCCTCGCTGGTTCTCCAGCTGCTTCAGTGTGGCGGTAAGAGTGTCCAATTCGCTCTGTACAGGGAGATTTCAATTATAATGGGTGAAGAACATAAATACTTCACTAAACTCACCTGCAGACTGCGCACTTCGCCGTTCTTGATGCGCACATCCGCCTCCTTCTGGGCAATCTCCGTCTCCAGGACTCGCCGCTCGCGGGCCAACTCCTCGATCTCCTTCGAGATCATCTCCAGCTCTGGGTTCGAGTAAGTTGGCTTCACCTCCTGCGGCTGCATATCCACTCCAGACACTGTGGCCCGCATCGAAGGCGGCACCATGTTGGCGTTGAGCACATGCGGCGGATCCACGCCGCGCTGCTTCCGCTCCACGAACCACATGGCCAAGGCGAACTGCTCCACAGTTAGCTTGCCGGATTGATTGGTGTCACAGAGCGCCCTGAAACGGTACGACGGGTTAAAAGGGATACCCTAATCTCGAAAGATATGTATATTTACCAGATGTCCGCCAGACTGCGCTGCGGTATACCCGACTTGATGAAGATGTCTTTCACCTCCAGGCCGGAGACTAGGCCATCCTTGTCCAGATCCGACTGCCGGAAGATGTCCTCAAAGCGCTTTAGCTCCGCCGGGGTGACCACCCAGTCGGCGTTTGCCGTAACCGAGGGTGGAGCCCCGATGGGTATCAGCGGATCCGTCTGGATCAGCGGCTGTGAACTCACAGCGCCCACCGGCGGAATGCGCGTCATGGGCGGCACAGCCACCGGCAATGGCGGAATGGCCGCCGGGGGGGCGATGTCCTTGGGGAAGTTGGCCACGAAGCCACCATCTCCGAATCCCTCGCCACTGGGAGCACGCGGCATGGCAGCAGCCGCCGGTGGTGGGGGCATGGCAGGTTTGGGTGGCGGACCTGCACCTCCGGGCTTCCGAAGTTCGGGCGGCAGCACACTGGGAATAGTGCGCTTCTGCAGCGTCTGGTAGACCAGGTGCATTGCCACCACAAACTCGTGCTTGTCCAGATTGCCGTCCTTGTCCTGGTCGGCCAAATCCCAGATTGTGCCCAGAATGCCCATGGGCAGCTTGGAGTCCATCAGCACGCCCTTGACCTTGTTGCCCGGCAGCATGCCGTTGTAGGGACCCAGCGACTCGAAGAGCTGCTCGTACTTAAGCCGGTCGATCACACCGATGGACCAGTCTCCGTTGGCCACTCCGCCGCTGGACACGGGCACCGTCTGGATGCGTGATGGCATAGTTTTTGGTATTTCACCCTGTCAAATTGGTATTATTAGTTTAAAAAACTCGTTTTACCTACACTTTTTTCGTATATCTACGTATAGCAGCAAACAAAAAACCTAGCCATACTTAGCGTCGCCAAACTTTTGCTTTAATCTATTTTTATATATATTATTTTTAAGTATCCATCTAACTGAAGCCCCTGCTAAGTTAAGAACTCTCAAGCTTGCACTTAGCTAAGAGCATCGTAATTTATGGGCCAAATAAAGTTCGCTTTGTTTAACAAGTTCATTCGTTTTTTGGTTAATATATGCACTTTTTGCTATAGAGGAAAAAACGATTTGCATTGCCGAAAGAAAAATTATACTTAAATTACATAGCCCTCAATGTAATTCAAGAATAATAGTGGCCAGAATACCATTCAAAGAGGCATTACAAATAATGTATTGAGAAAAGTAATAATCAACAGGCTTATCGCAAGGCGGGAACCAAAAATATACACACAAAACAGAACTCACCACTAACTTTAAAAGCTATGGACAGTAATTCATCTTGGAATAACAAACTACTGCTATTTTTTGCGGTGTTTAAAAAAAACTCTAGTTCCATAATTATATGAAAAATATTACAATAAGAACTAGTGTTATAGTTTGAACAAATATTTGATTGGCCTTGCTTAATATTAGCGTGATATATAATATATGCTATACTCATAGATATGCAACCAAGCTTATTTCGAGCCTCGTTACTCACCACCTTCGGCGGATTGGCAGTGTCCAGGTAGATGTTGTTCATATTGGCCACCTGGCCCGCCTGCGACAGCGACACCAGCTTCAGGGCCACGAAGAATCCAGGCTTGTCCAGGAAGCCCTTGCCGTTGGGGTCGGACAAATCCCAGATCCTGCTCAGCACCACGTCGCTGAGGCCCGACTTCTTGAGAAACTTGGCCGCCGTCATGGCCTCGATTGCTCCGGTGGCTTTGGGGTCAATCTGCAAAAATCAATAGGGGGTGGGTACGAGTTGTGGGCTGTGGACTGGCGTTTGTAGGTGGATAGCCTGGGCCAGGAGGCGTGGCGCGGCGCTTACCTGTTTGTAGTAGGCCTCGTAGACGCCTATGTGCTTGCTGCACACCTTCGCAAAGTCCACGTTCATGGCGCGGGATTGGGACTGGAATCCACCACTCGACTCCGACTAGCAGTGCGAAAACGCGTAAGCCTGTTATCACAAAATCGATTTTTCTCCCCACTGGCGGGGCGGATGTGCCTGGTATTGGGTTCCTGATCAGCACTTGGGCGGAATTCCGCGCTGCCTCGCACCTGTTCACCTACGATGACGCTTGCGAAAGCCACTTAGAGGCGAACTGGGCGCATTGTGACCCCGAATTTAGCTACTCTCGAATTTTAAAACGCCTAAAATTGCTTTTATGCACGGGTTAGAGGTGGAAACATCGATAGTAACAACGATGTCATCGATGCCGTCAAAATATCGGTTCTATCAATGTTTTGCAGGAGTTATCGATGTTTGTCGAGTCGGGAGCATGTCTCAGCTAACTGACCATAAACGTGCCATCTCTAGTATTGAGTCCATCCAATTTAAAAAAATTATATTTGCTAAAATAAATATAACTGTCCACATTCACAGGCCTTGGAGGAAGCACGCGGAATTCAAGTCAGGTAAAACAAAACAGATTTGGACCAAGCTGCGACAGAAGAGGCACATTAAATTAGTTTTAAGTCTAACGGACTTGCGAAAGGCAAGAATATACATTTTATCAACACCTGACTACCCTATTTTACAGTTAGCATAGATTCATATAATTTAAAGCCTGGCGCTTGTTGCTGATCAACCCTAGGAAGTTTGTGTAGTTAAATACATTTGAAATGAATAATCAACCCGATCTGAGCTAATCTATTCAAAATAAGTGATACTCGTTGGTTATTTCGTTGGTAATAACGATAAAAGAGCACTTGAAAAAGTCATGCCTTGCCGCTCCAAGAACTCGACGACTTGGAAAGTTTCCTGCTTTCCAATTAGGACACTTTCTCAGTGGGCCTACAGAAAACTACTTAAACTAATTGTGCGTTCTTAAATTATTTTGATTTTCAGTTCCCAAGCCAAGGACTCATGGCTTGATGTGGCGGTGATCACCGACCAGACCAAATTTTTAATTCAACGAAATTTTTATGGGCGTTAGAATTTGGATATGTGGCACCCAAACAATTATTACTGGCAGCATCAGAGGGCCGATGTCCGTCGCAACTTTCATCAATATCCCAATATGAGCGCCTGCAACTACAGCATGCAGGTGTTCTACAGGATTTTCCCACAACGGCGGCCATATTATTTCTACCAGCAGCCGGTTAACTATTATAACTACCAGCACCAGGCTTTTCAATACAACTTCCAGGAGCAGTGTTTTACAACACCAATGCAGATTAACCCACATAACTACCCACAACTTAACGAAATATCTAACCACTGCAGTATTCCGCAGATCAGACCAAGCTATTGTTCCTATGCGAGCAAGCAGGGAAATTGCAACCGGTGCCGTTCTCCGAAAAATAGATTATGTAATTGTTCTTGTCCGAGTCAACAGGACAATTCGTCTCAACAACCAAAAATAGCCGCCAATGAAATGGTGGCATCTTTGGAAATCGCTTCAGTTGAGAATAGTGCTGACCTAGGGGGTAGTGGAGAAAACGATTATTCTGGGGCCCTCTCACAACCCGTTGTAAATGAAGATTTATCTAAAAAAGAAGTGTCAGATTGTGCCGTAAGTATGATAGTATACACTAAACTTTACCCTTTTTATATTGATTTCTCATTCCCGCAGAACTATTCACGATCGAAACCAAAGGATGAGCAAGAAATCAGAAATAATCTGTCGGACGATGAGGAAAGGAAAAGCTCTGAGAAAGTAAGCCCAACGCATGTGGAATATAACGAAGCACAGGCACTCAAAAGTGCAGTTGAAACTTTAGATTTTTCTGAGGAAGACAAAAAAGTTTTTTCTGTAAATATGATATTATTAACCCAGCCTGAAAATATTCATTATACGTATTCGACAGAATTATCCACAAAAGCGCAAAAACTCGGAGGATACTAATCCTACTTATTACCTCGACGATCAAGAAATCCGAACAAATGTATTAGATGATGAGGAATCGAAAAGCTCTGAGAAAAAAAACGAATCATCTGTGGAACGTGTGTCAGATGATACGGGATGGATAAATTCTGGGAAAGAAACCGCATCGCCTGTGGAAAATAATGAGCCACAGGCACTTGAATTTGATTTTTATCAGGAAGACGAAATAGTTTCTTCTGTACGTATATTGATATTTGACCAGGATTTACCACATTCAGTAAGCCTATTCTTCTCGACAGAACTTTTCGCAAGTCAAACCGAAATTGCAAAAGCCACAGGATTCTTATCCCATTATTTACCCAGATGATCGCAAAATCGAAACGAATGGATCCGAAGATAAGGAATGGATAAGCCTTAAAAAGGAAAACCCATCGTCAATTCAAAATGTAAATGAGTCAGTAGCGCTTGGGAGTCGTGAAAATGCCAGCCCAGCTAGCGATGTGGTACTGTTAACTTGAAAATTATGGCCTACATATTTACTCAAGATATTTCTTTTTCGGTCAGGACGGTCAATGTATATATCCTGAGGACTCTGTTTGCTTGGATTTCCAATTGCCGGCTCGCGATATTAAGGCTACGCTGAACTTAAAGGAGCGCTTTGAAATGCAGTTGGTGAAGGTGTGCAGTCCACACAACTTCAAAATCTGGATATATGACGAAAAGATTCATGACTATTGGGTCTTGTCCTGTAACATGCAGTAAGCCTAATATTTATTAAACTATTTAAATAATCTTGGTTTGAATTGGAAACCAACATCTATTTAATATATTTTTTATATACAATTTGTTACTTATATTTTTATCCTTTTTTTTCTGTAGAACGTTTTACGAAAGTCAAGACATGAAAACGTACACTATTCCCGAGAGTTTAATTGCCTTGAATCACTTGTGCGTGGTGCGATCATGCAATTCGGGGGTGTGGGAAAGAGCCAAAGTGGTGCGACACCAACCAACTAACATAATGAAGACCATAGATGTGAAACTCCTAGACACCGGGGACATAATGTGTGTGTCCTACGGAGATGTTAAGTTTTTGAAGAAGGAGTTCGCTGTGTTGCCGCCGCTATGTTTGCACGGTCGCCTGGCCTATATAGTTCCCTGGAAAGGCTCGACATGGTCATCGAGTGTCAGTGCCTACTTTTTCAGTCTGATTCGCTATCGTAGACTTCTCGCTAAAATCGAAGCTATCAAGGTATGCTGATATACACAACTACATTAGAATCGGATATTAATTGATAACTCTTTAAATTTAACAGGATAACGTTGCCTACCTGGTACTAGTGGATCCGTTAATTAATTCGCCTATAAAGAACATAAACAAGATGCTTATACACTCTGGTTGGGCGCGTCGCTGCTTCACACCCTAGCTTTTCTCTTAATTTAATTACTGAATTCAAATTTCAACCATAATGCTTAAGTAAAATAATGAACTTTTCCTTTCATCCTATGGAACGTTTATACAATTGGTTTTTTCTATTATGATCTTGATAAACTCGATTATGTTATATTTCAAGTTAACTTGAATAAAGCGTTTATAAAACACAGTATCTTTATGAAATTAATGTTTATGAATCATCTGTTTTATTTTTTTTTAACGGTGTTTAAACGTTGGTTTCTAATTTTGGATCCAATTTTCAGAAATTTTAAAGATCTAAAATTCAAACGTTGGTTTTATATTTTGGATCGATGTTCTTTGCATTTTAATGATGTAATTCATTTCAGTGCTAGCCCCTATTTATTTAAAAAAAAACAAGATTTATGGTACACAAAAACAAAAATTTTTTTTATTTTACAATTAACACGACTTGCAAAAACAAGTCAACGTATACAAAACACCTGAATATATTTGACCTGATTTACAATAAAACCTTTTAAAGGCACGTGAACATGAAGGTGCGAAACAAAAAAATTAGCTTTTAAAGAACAATGGCTCATTTTCTATACAGGAGTCCGTTTGCAACCAAATCGATTATTCCCAGTTTCTGGGAAGTCCAATATAGAAGACCAAAAATTATAATGGTTTTGCAAGTACGATCCAGGACATACATGCTGCAATCAAAAGAGTTAAGTAAAAAGTAAAGTATCCAAATACTACATACAATTTTAGCTGTATGCGGGACTTAGGCAACGAGGTCAAGGGTTCCTTCATCACATACTGACGTCCACCCAAAATGCTGAGTTTCATGTACTCATGGTCGTCTACATCGTTGGTATTGATCTTAAATCTTTTCAAAACAACATTTTTGTGAACAACTTCAAAATAGACAATAATAGCGGCGAAGCTTACATCTTCCTATCGATTGCGCCCAGTTCCTTGTAGATCTGCTCAAAGTGTGAAGACTTGAAGTCCCAGCTGCGCGTTGTAAAGAACTGCAAAACCTCCAGACCCACAGCGACTTTTGTTTGTACCCGAATCATGCTAAAATGAAAGGAAATAAGGCGATCATTGTCTCAGCTCCTGTCAACTTCTCATAAACAGCATACAAGCGACGTTGTCCGAAGATTAGTAGTAGAAAGTCGATACAGTATGCCGGCAGCCACATAAACAGGACAGTGCAGATGGTGTGATAGAGTTTGCTGGAGGTCATATTACCATCGGGATACCAGAGTCCAACTTCGAAGGGGTACTTAATTCCCAAGTCGCGACCTACATCCATTATCCACTTCCATGTGCGTTTCTTGGCATCGTCCACGGTCAAATTGTATACAGGTATCTGGAGAGCTCTGCAACGACGGATTTACATCATATTTATATGGATGGCATAGCAGAACCTACCTCTTCTCAGCAAGACTGTTGTGGTAAGGTATTAAAATCAAACCGTTAATGGCGATGTCCACGGGTATGACTTCAGACTTAAGTTCACCATTGCAGATCATGGATCGGATGACCCCTTTGCCGGCGCCAATCAGGACTCCCGTAGGCCCGTTCATATTGTCCACCCAACCTGGCAGGGGCTCAGCAATAGCTGGAGTTACTGGGGGAACAAAGATCATGTCAGGCAAGCCCGTAAATTAGACTCTTGACGAGTGTGTAGGGGGAGTAAAACACGGGTCAGTGGCGATATACTCAACAACCTAAGATGATTTTTATTTGGGCTCAAAACCTCGAATATTTGTAACTAGAGCTAAGCTAAGTGACTAATTTATTGCCTGTGACCACCAAACCAACAAGATTCAATCGGGAACTGGACTCAGAATATGGCCAGCACCCCCGTCCACTTCAGGAGGTAGTAGAAGAACAGTCCCACGATGAGTGTCTTGCATACGATATCCACGACCCATTGGCTGGAATAGAACAATGATCCATGTAAGTTTGCTGCCAGCAGAGCTTTTTACCTATCTCACATCTTCATATGCACGCGCGCCCTGGGAATATCCTGTTCCTTCTCTTTGAGAATGAACTTGCGAGCTCCTTTGGCGCACTCAATCATGTACTCCTCCTCGGTGTCCTTGGTGTTCATGTTCATGTTAAAGCTAAACGATAGAAATTGCTTAAGTCCCTGTAAATGTTAAATAAATTAACAAAAATTACATAGCCTTGTCTTCCTCGTTAAGTTTGTTCCACAACGAGGCGTAATTGTCAGAGCGGAAGCACCACGCATTGAGCGTAAAGAACTGCAGGACGCCCAGACCCGTCGAGATCTTCTCTTGCACCCTCAGCATGCTAAATAAATTTAAGAATGACAACTCTTTTCCAGCAAGTTCAAGGCGCCACAACTTACAATCTCTTTTGGCCAAGGATCAGCATCAGGAAGTCCAGGAAGTAAGCGGGCAGCCAGTGGAACAGGGCCACGTTGAAGTTGTGGTAGTACTGGTTGGTCGTGACGCAGGGGTCCGGGTACCACAGGCCGGCGTCGAAGGGGATCTGCTTGTTGATGCGCTTGCTCATCTCCACCACGGTGCCCATGCACATCTTTCTGTGGTCCGCATTGGTAATGTTGTAGACGGGCACGTTGTCAGGACGCTTGGCCTGCTTGTTGAACTCGTAGGGGATGACGATCAGTCCGTTGATGGCGTAGTCCACGGGAATGACCTCGGCCTTGTTCTTCTGGTTCACCAGCACGGACCGGATCACGCCCTTGCCGCATCCGATCATCAGGCCAGTCGGTCCGTTAAGGTTGTCCACCCACCCGGGGAGCGGCTCGTATGCGGCCGGGGAGACTAGAAGGCGGAGAGAAGAGTGGCTTACTAGGAGAGGTCCGATAGGTACTCCAGCTGAAACCATTCTACATACCACGAGCCAAAGGATGATGGTCCCCGAAGCCGTATTAAGTGTGTTAATGTGTGTGTGGGTGTGGGTGTGGGTGTGAGTGTAAGTGGTATGGTGGAGATTAGGTCAAGGATTAGCCAAGGATGAGTGTGCGACTTTAGAATTTGTAAGGTAAAGGTAAAGTAAAGTTGTGTAATAGTTGTGTGGTTCTGTTTATGTTGTTAGTGTTGTCTCGCGAGCGGTTGCTCCTCTGCACTGGATCAACACTTGGACACTTGAAGCACAGACACATAAGCTCAGTACACAATCTTTTTATTTTCACATGAAACATAGATAATCACTTAAAGTAGATATGTAAACCTGATCCGAGGCCTCTCGTCGAGAGGCCCGAAATTGAGCCCCAAAGCGAACCTAAGCGGAGTTTATTTGAGAAATGCGCGCTAATGAAATGGGAATGGTCCGGGTCACCAGGCAGATCACTTAGACGCCCAGGAGACGTGCCACCAAACCGTAGGTCCAGTAGCACAGCGAGCCCACGATCAGCGTCTTGCACATACGGTCCAAGAAGTACATTCTAAAATTGAAAGGAACGAAGGTGGAGAGCTCAGAGATTGAGATCGGGGATCAGGGATCAGGGATCAGGGATCGGGGATCTGTGAGGCGGGGCTCGCTTACAGCTTCAGCTGGAGCCGGGCGCGCGGCAGACTGTCAGGCGACTCCTTCATCAGGTACTGCCGCCCTCCCTGGACGCACGACTCAATGTACATCGGAATGGTCTCCTCGGGATCCATGTCCATATTAAAGCTTTTGGGCGGGAACGATTGGTTTTAGGGTTGTCAACTCAGTAACACTCAGTAACACTACTCTCGCGGTACGTACTTTTTCCTATCCGCCTCGTTGAGCATGTCCCAGAGGGAGGAGTAGGCGTCCGACTTAAAGAACCAGGCGCGCATCGTGAAGAACTGCAGCACCTCCAGGCCCACAGAGATACGGTTTTGGACGCGGATCATGCTAAGGAGAAACGGTCAGGATCTAGGCCCACGAGCCGCCACAGCCGCAACTTACAATCGCTTCTGGCCGAGCAGCAGCAAGATGAAGTCGATGAAGTAGGCGGGGAGCCAGTGGAAAAGTACCACGTTAATGTTGTGGTGCAACTTGTTCGTGGTGATGCACCCGTCCGGATACCAGAGACCCGCCTCCATGGGGTACCGGTAGCCAATCTCCTTGCTCATCTCGATCACCTCGCCCCACTGCATCTTGCGGTGATCGGCGCACGTGATGTTGTACACTGGCACCTCTGCCGGCCGTTCCGTCAGTTGGGCGAACTGGTAGGGGATCACGCACAGCCCGTTGATGGCGTAGTCCACGGGGATCACCTCGGACAGGTGGCGCGTGTCGATCAGCATAGAGCGTATGACGCCCTTGCCGGCACCCACCATAAGGCCGGTGGGTCCGTTCAGGTTGTCAACCCATCCCGGCACGGGCTCGTATGCCGAAGGCGACACTGGGCGGACGGGATTTGAGTTCAGGCTGGCGGGGATTGGGATTCGATTCCCCGTCCAGCAGTTCCGGGGATCAGGCGGATGCGGGGGCGGGGGTAAGCGGGGGGCTGGTTGGCGTTGCTGTCTTCTTCTGTTTTCATTGCATGCTCATTGAACTTTTTGGTCAATGACGACGGCGTTTGTGTGCAGTGGTTGATGTAGTTTGTAGTTGGTAGTTGGTAGTTTGTTGTTTTAAGCAATGTTTTTACATGCCGAGCCATGTAATCGGACTTTTTCTTTTCAAGCACTGTGGTTGTTGTGGTGGTGGTTGGTTGCTTTTAGCTTGGCCAGATATGTTTTGCCTCTGCTGTGGTTCATGTGCGGTGTTTGTATTAAGAAGCGCGGCAAGCGGGTGAGCCCGCCACACAGAGTAGGACGCGGGATCAAACCGGTGGCGATGTCATAAAACACTCGGAAAGCGTAAAACACTTGACAAATTAGCGAAAAGCGTCAAGAAGCGGCTTAAAACTGGCACCAAAGCATCCCACTCCCTCATGTAGCCATTCATAAACATCTGCTAAATCTGCTTAGTTTCGCGAACTTAGCGGGACTTTGTTAGCCAGTTAACGAACGAAAACGCAACCCGTGCCTATATTGACTGTATTTATTGATTATTTGCCGAGCAAAGCGGGTCACCACTGCCTTGAACCTACAACTGCTACAAACGAGACAGTTAGCTGCTTCTCCCGACTCGTCATTCTCATCATTCAGCTAGCCTATCTTAAGATAAGTTCGGAGGGAACTGTCAGCGGAACGACCTATTTGCTGAGAATCTTAATCGGGTCTTTGAACTAATTTCAGTTTCACTTATTTTAACAAGCTATACTAGTACACTCACAACAAATATAATCTGCGGCATGTACTGTATAAAACAGACTTATTTATTTAGCTACCCTTCTATTTTAAAACATTTTTCTTCACTTTTTATTTATTGTTTCTTTTACATGTTCAGAGAGATAGGAATGTTTGACTGAGTATAACTGTTATGTAAGATACCCATTATTTCCCAAAAATACTATTAAATTACCCCAAAGCTTTAATTAACAATTGAATAGCTTTAACAGGTTTCTGGCTAATAGTTTCTCTATTTCCTATAAATAACGACCTTTCAGGTTGGCCGAAAATAGCTAATAGAAAAGTTTAATTGACTGCCAGCCCAGACAGACGTTTCGGCGGAGACACTTAAACGACGCCAGGTGGCCGAAAAGAAATAAATAATAAGCAAGCAAAGATATAGCCATAGACACAGCCACAAGGCAAGATAAGCGGAGGCGCACGATTAGTTAGCAGAGGGGACTGGCGGCAATTGCAGTCTCCATTTCGACGCGAAGCAAGCAAGCAAACCCCCAAATAAGAAACATGGGGAGTTAATGACTCAAATAATTCATTCGAATCGGCCGCAGGCCAAGCAACATGGAAAGGAAACACTGGGGCCGGGGGTCAAAAGGTCACTTACCGATGCTGGGACGGGCGATGATGACGGGCATGGACTCGTAGTGGTCGCGCACCAGGAGCTCGGCCAGTCGCTTGGAGTAGGTGTAGGTGTTTGGGTGCGGCTTTAGCAGGTCCGGCGTGATGGCGTCCAGGGTCTTCACGTCCATCCACTCGGCCAGGCGCATGAGGTCCTCGGGCTTGTGCGGGAACTCGTACACCTTCTCGTACATTACCTCTTGGTCGCAGTTGCAGAAGGCCGTGGACAGGTGGATGAAGGCTTCGAGCTGCTTCATCTCCTTGGCCACGTTGAGGGCGCGTCGGGTGCCCAGCAGGTTCATGTCGATGGCGTCTCGAAGGTTGCCCTCCAGCTTGAGTGTGGCCGCCATGTGGAACACAATGTTGGTGTTCGCGGTGACATGCTTCAAGCTCTCGCCGCTGAGGCCCAACTCTGGAAAAACGGTGGACGGAAGATGCTGCTGCCTTCAGAGGGAACGGCAATGAACTTTTCGGTACTTACGGTCAAAGGTCACGTCGCCCTGGTAGATGGTCACCTTCTTGAGCATCTCCGGACGCTCGTCCTTGATGCGTTGGAAGATGGGCAGCTTGAACATCTCCTCCAGACGCGTTTCGGGGGCCTTTCCGCGCTTCGGGCGGCAGATGATGATCACCTCCTTCAGCGAGTGGCAGGAGTAGAGCAGCTTTTCCAGCAGCACCTTGCCCATGAACCCGGACGCTCCAGTGATGAAGATCGTCTTGTCCTTGTAGTACTCCTGCACGGGTGATAGATCCGCCGTCATATTGGCTGCAAAGAGAGAGGGGTCAGAGTGAGTTAGCACACCTTCGACGGATTGGGAATGGAAACGGCAACGGAGTGGCGCAAAAAGCATTCCGGGAAAACGATAACCAGTCAAAGAAAAAACTAGTGGTTGTGGCAACAAGTGGCGCAAGCTGTGCTAGAAAACTGGAGCTCATTCTGGCCACGCGTGCCCCTCTTGCCACATATGGAGTCCAACTTTAGCAAGCTGCAACCTGCCGCAAACTGGTTTCCAGTTGGACTTTCGGTTTCTATTTGGATTTTCGATTGCGCCTGTGGATTCGCATTTCTTTGCTTTGCTGACTTATGCAACGGCCCGGGGTAGCTGGCATCGAACCCGTCTAGCATGCCAGGTTGGCTTTATATCGCCCCCTCCTCCGAGTCGGAGATTGTTGCAAGTATTTGTTGCTCAATCTGCATGCGGCTGGCCTGGCCTGGCTTGGATTGGATTGCAGCCCCGTTTCACTTGGCCACATCTGCGCGGCAGTTTCCAATTGTGCCTTGCACTTTGGCCATGTCATGACATTTCACGCAAGACTGAGCCATTATTATTTGTTTACCTACATATTGATTCTGCGGCTCGACTGTGTGTCACACCCACCGCAAGCATAACCGAATCCATGACTGTATCTTTATCCGCAAATGTTTACCTCCTCCAGCATAGCAGAGCTGGCGATTATAGAAATTGCTAGGAGGCATGACGCGGCAGCTCCACCCGCACCTTGAACTACAAGCTCTAGATTACCTGGGCAACTTTTGGGGTTCACATTACTTGGCCAACTGGCGTAATCCCTCATCTCTTGGTGCCCACCTTTTGGGGCTCGTTACTTAGCCCCAGTTTCGGGCTTTATGGCCAATTAAACCGCGTCCGCCATATGTGTGAAAAAGGCAAGAGCAGCGCCATAGCCCGAGAAACAACTTAAGATCGCTTGCACTTATGCAAGGCTCGGAATACACACATTGAGCCAAATTTTGAGAGCCGGGTCGGCCAAGCTGTCAAACCCGAAGCCATGAACATAGCACACACACACACACACCCAACTCCGCTGAAACTGAACTAAAACAACGAAGCTTCATTTGGTTGGATGCAAACGAAAGACTTAGGCAACGAACTTGATCCATTTAAAAACGGAAGAGGAGAAAGCTGAAGGGGAACTTAGCTAACTTAGCTTAACTAACACTAAGCGCTAATAGCAACTTAAAAGATTTATCAAATTCTAATCGCTATTTTCAATAAAGTGTGTCCCTTTATACCTTTAATAGGAAACAAAAATGTAGCTATTAAGAATAATTCATACACTTCATCTGAAAGAGTTATACGATTAATAAGCATCAAATAAGATGCTTTGTCATTTTAAAAATTCACATTTTGAATTTACCTTTCCCGTAATTGTTAAGTTCCTGTTATTTTTCAAAATCTCCTAAGTTATTGCGCAATGGCAAAAAATGACCCTATTCAAAACGACAAGACTTTATTTTATGTTATTTGTTTTCCTCCTCCGTTTTGTCATATTTTATTAGAGCCCAAACCGGTATGTCAGTTGTAAGTAGAAACATTTTCGAATCTTTAATTAGCTTGAATGTAGCTGTGTTTATCGACGGTGTGTTTCTCTTGTTTATATATTGCCATTTTTTGTTGTTGCAACTCGATTGCGACCTCAGAACTGGCTAACGATGATGGGGGACCATTAAAATTTTCCAATGCAAAGTGCAACCCCAATCTGTCTACCGTTAATAGAGCCAATGCAATGTGATCGACGGACTGCCCCAATCTGTCTACCGTTAATAGAGCCAATGCAATGTGATCGACGGACTGCCGACGAATCACTGACCCCTTTTCTAAGTGATCACTACGGTGATGTAAGATGGAGAAGAGCCGTGGCTGTGTGGAGGATCATTAAGAAAGCCACTTGAGGCTGAGACATTAAACCATGAAATCGAACAAATTTTAAATGTTTGGCAATTCTTCCATTCCATTGCCCATTTGGCCTTTGGTCGCGCAGTCTCACGAAAAATTTAAATAAAAACAAAAAACCCCCCTCAATATGTAAATAGCTTTTGTATTGGATCAACATTGATACAAATGAGATTTAGCCAAGACACATAAAATTAACAGTGAGCCGAGGCTCAAATATATGCAAAGGGCCAAGCCAAATGACCGAACTCGAAGCGGAAATTGTAAAATATCGGAATACCCAAATATCAGATTCATCTTTTTGCCAGCCTGTGCGACAGGTCATGGCACAACCCTGACATGGAAGCGGGTTCACGAGCGTATCTCAGACGCAGTCTCAGTAGGGCAACCACTTGATTACGGCACGATATGAATCTAGAGGGGCATGCCTTTACAATCCCCAATTAAATGCTTCGCTGGGCAGGTAAATGCCTCGAATTGCAGCCTAATTGCCCCGTAAAGTGAACAGCCAAAGACAATGCGGCAATCATAAACAGAACCACTGGTCGATCTTGTAGAGAAGATGTTTTGACTCCAGCGCCGTCAAGTGCTTTAATTACCTCGAGTATTTGGGATTCTCTTCAACTAAAACGTTTGCAGTATTTTTATCGAACTCGTCACACGCGCACGCGAATATATGCGAGACTATAGCGGACTGGATCGGCTCGAATTGAAATTGAATCGTATCGAGATAGTGGAGGAATCGACCCGATGTGCACGACGCTCGAAAGAAGACTGAACGCGGCCAGCCAAGTGCTTGTCAATATGAATGGATTTCGGAGTGGGCCAGCCGCGCTCTGGGATGTGGTAAACCGAGCCGAAACGAAGTTATATCCACTAGGTGTTGGTACAGACATAAATATCTATTAGCTTGGCTAATCTAGGCGGAACTGTCTGGCCCAAGAGGCTGAGACTGGGCCGAGTACTGGGCCAAATAGTTGTCTTTTAGGCACTTGGCAAGCCCGGGACGAAACAAAGTGCGAGTCCCAGGAACACCTTAAACCTATTTGGGGGACAATTAGCTCCGCCATTTGAACAACTTGTTTTGGCTCTGGCTCTTTGTCCCGGGTTTGATATATTGGCATCATAATGGATGCAAAATTAGCCACGGTTGGACTTGGTTTTCATTACACAATGGTCCAGCTTCGCATTCGAAGCCATCGCTACAATTTCCATTTTGCTTGACTTAATTAGGTGGTTATCAATCTCCTATGCAAATAATACGTTGCCCAATGTCGCGAATACTGGTAATCAATGCAAAGTCTTTACTGTGATTTTTGCAAACGCTTAATTATGCACATTGCCAATGTTGTTGCAAAAAATTAATTTCTTTGAATCAGGTCTGTTATTAATGTAATTTTAAAAAGTCCGCCAACAAAATCGATAACGATAAGGATTCGATACCGACAAGATATCGACGGGTTATTTGTAAAGACATTGGAGAAGCATTCCGTCCAACCAACAAACGGAAAGGTATTCAATTAAATATGTGTCGATTGTACTTACAAAAATGTATACAATAAAAATTTGTTGCGATGCTGCAGCCCTGCACGCCTATCGATATACTCGCAGCCCTGGAACAAAAGGCGTGCAGAGTTGTTCTCCAAATTTCCTGTCGCGAATCTTTATTCATTTATAATTAATTGCAAGCCATGGCCGAACTGGACGATTTCTTCGCGAAAAAGGACAAGAAGAAGTCCAAGAAAACGACCAAGTTCGTGACCGCCGACGAGCTGGTGAAGAGCCTGGAGGACGGCAGCAAGCGCGAGGTGGTCAAGCCAAAAAAACCCGAGCCAGTCGCTGGCGGCGTGGCAGTGGTGGGCGAAAACGAGAACAGCGGCGGCACCAATGTGCCAGAGTCCGCCCCGGTGAGTCTGGTGAAATTAGCTGTCGATGTCGATGTCCGTGTGCCACTTATTTACAAGCCCACTCTCACTAATTGCAGCCCGTCGAGGAGGAGTGGAAGGAGTTCGAGGAGGAGCAGCGCAAGGACTACAGCGGCCTGAAGATCGGCCAGCTGAGCACCATGTGAGTTTTCGTCGAATGCCCGAATGCCGTTCAAAGAGCGCGAACAAAGGCCACTTTCAGTTGTTGAACTTTTGATTTCACCCCCCGCATATGTTGCGCAAACCCGCTCTATAAAGCTCTTCGGCCCATTCCAGAACCGCCCAGGAATCCGAAGAGGCGCGTGCCGCTCGGGTGCCCTCCTCCGCTCCGGACGGCGGCAGCTACGACGACGATGACGAGGACAGCAATGGGTACGACAACGCGGACCCAAGCAAGGAACGCGTCGGGCACGGACCCTGGAAGAAGGTGATCCCGGCCGAGGAGGTGATGCAGATCCCTGTGCCGGTGGAGGTGGAGAAGCCCTCGTCCAAGACCTACGTTTCACCCGCGCTACGCTACAGCGTAAGTAAAGAGATGTACCCGATTACAAGCAGAATCAGTCTAACCCTTGAATCATTTGCAGCAGCAGGCCGGAAGCGGACTGGGAGGCGGCTCTATTGGCGGCGCCATGCGTCCACGACGCGCCGCCCCCGACATTACCAACACCGAGTTCTTCCCCACGCTCAGTGCGGCGCGTCCGGAGGAACAGCGCAAGAAGAAAAACGAACCCGCCTTCGAAGAAGTCCGTCACGGTGGCCGCTTCCAGCGCGTGCAGGAGTCCACGACTGCCCCTGTGGCGGCCTCCAACCGATTCCAGTCGCTCGACGACGAGGCCAGCTAGGTCCTGCCCCTGCCAACGGTGCTGCTGCTGGCCACGAGGTTCTACCACGCTTTCTACCACAGTGTCCGCTGCCGAGCTCAAGTCATCCACGGGTTCTGGCTCTGCGCCAGCACATTCAGATTTTCTAGGCTTTTTGATTCATCATACCTCCGTCACTGCTACTCTTACCCTAAACCACAAACTACTATTGTTCATTTCGTTCTGCATTTTTGAAGTATGGAATCAATGTAATAGAATACGAATAATAGCCATGCGTTGAAATCCGTTTATAAACGTTACTTTTTTATAAGCTCTCGTGTCCCGCGTCTCACTCATCCGTGGCCAAGTCCTCTGGGCTGCTGTTCAGGTAGCTGTAAGATCAGGAGGAATCTGCGTCAGTAAGAGAGATCTTCTCTGGCCGGAATTGTGCGCACTGACTTCTCGCTGTACGGCTGTTCCGGCGTGTTGTGGTACGAGGCTATCAGCTTCTTGGCCAGCATCTTCTCCGGGAAGTTGCGGATGAGATATACCCAACACTGGATGTTCCTACAAAGAAAGCACTCCTTTTGATTAACGCTCCATCTGGCAGCAATGCCCGCCCCCTCATACTCATTCTGTTCCGTCAATATGGCCTGTTCCTCGCGATCGTAGTACTGTGGGTAGTCTTCCAGCTGGTCCAATTTGCCAAACATGGCCACGTCCACCTCGTAAATCTCGCCTTCTATGTGGTTCCCCTCGCCCGGGCGGGCCAGCAGGAAAGGAATGTTGTAGCGGGTGCCCACCACCAGGGGAAACTTGGCCGCCGTCTTGCCCCTTCCCAGAAACCGGGCCTGGCCGTTCTCCTTTTTGGTGAGCCAGTGGTGGTTGGGCTCCCCGCGCTTCAGCGTGCCGTACACAAAGACCCTCGACGCCATTCTCAGCATAACCACTGCACTTCCCGCCGTCGGGCTTATCAGTTTCGATAAGTATAGTGCTTCTTAATCTGCCCTGAAGATTGCCCAGTCGACGTAACCCGCCCGCTCTGCTTCTTGCTGCCATTCGCACCGAATCTTGCTTCTGTACACCGCGAGAAACATAAAACACTCGATGGTGGAAAAGTACCAGACAGTAGCTTGATATTCCCATGCTTATGTAAGAGATCCGAACCGCCAGTTACTATGAATTGCTTCAGTTTATTGGCTTTGTTTGTCGAAAACTATGAAATTACAAACTACACTCGCTAAAACCTAAATAATGCGTATGGTACATATCAGTGTTCATATATCACTGCCAATATATGCGCGTATATATGGATCAGTACAGCTGCATCTGCAGGTACGGTCTAGAAATGCAACTACGGTAACATAAGAATAGTGGCCGGGCTGGGCTGTCCAGAGCACATCCAAACATTTAAGGAAACGGGGAGCCACAGCTTAGGCTTTTAGTTCTGGGCCTCGTAGGTGAGATCGTCCTGGGCCGGGTGCTTGTGGGTGCGGCGGTGGCGCATGATGTACGGATGGGTTGTGGAGTTCTCGTATCCGGACAAATAGCGTAGGCTGAGCAGGTTCTCCGGGTACTTCTGCAGCAGGTACACCCAGCAGGGAACGGTTCTGAAACAAAAAGAAAAATTATCAGATCAGTTCGTCATATGAGATGGCGTCAGCTCCCACAAGCAATGCCTACCCCTCGCCCACTCCAATGTTCATGTCGTGCATTTCCCGCGTGTAGATCTCCTCGCAATCCTCCAGGTTGTCTAGGGAATTGAGCATGCGGTCGTCCACCTCGTAGATCTCCCCGGTTACGTAATAGCCCACTCCGGGCTTGTTGAGCAGGAATGGAATGTTGTAGCGGGTGGCGATCACCAGCGGCAGCTTTTGGGTGGTAGTGGCCTTGCACCAGAATTTGGCGTATCCATTGCCGGAGCTGGCCAGGATGGAGTTGCTAGGCTGTCCGTACTTAAGGGCGCCGTACACGAAGAGTTTGCTCAGGGCGGATGAGACTTTCTACGGAGAGAAAGGTGTGGTTAGTTAAGAAATCTGATAAAGGCGTTCAAACAGGCGGTATCTGATGTCTGCCACATTAGTATCAATCAATTGCCTAGCTTATCAGGCATCTGAATATTTTGCACTGGCAAAGCCCCCCGCAAAGTTCTTGATAAGGCGACTCAGTTTGTGATTATAGAGGTTCTCAGCGTTTATTTATAAAATCCGAACTGCTTTCTGGGTACAGATGGGATGGTCCTAACCGGTTCCCTGCATTAACACTTGTTTTCTTTTTGTATGGCTGTTTCGGTTATTGTTGCTAATAAAGCGTTTTTGGGGCTGTCGTGCGTTCCTCACAAACTGCGCATCAGCTACGCCTCCATCAGGTACACATGTATTTACATATAAATCGAGGAGTATGTGCGCGTGATTAAGTGCACACATAAATAATTGCTTAAATCGGTCTAATCATTGCAGTAAATGGAGAACACACGCAAGGCGGCCTGTAATCAATGTCATCACAACTAATAGACAAGCGGTTGCACCGAAGCATCTTGACAAATCCGCTTACATAACCCCCAGAACAGGCGGCAACACAAAGATGTGTGTACACATGTATGTACATATGTTCGTACGCGTTCTACCATAAAAACTATATAAATTATCTGTCTGATTTGCAGTATGTTTTAACTTCCTTTTTTTAATGATGAACTAGATTTCCCACGCTTTCCATTCGGGGTTGCCCACTTGCCAAGGACGAGGGAAAAAAGGATGCACACGTACATATATGTATGCGCAGACACACACACGGCGGTGCACTCCCGATTTCGCTTACCTTTGCTTGGCCCATTTTTTCCTGTTTCTTTTATTTTCTGGTCGAACCGCCTTGCAGATAATTAAAATTGCAAATTGCTGCAGTTAGCAAAAGAGAAAGAGTACTGCGGTATTGGGATGGGTGCGCAGGAGCTCCAGCGAAAGACACAACCGCGCCGATGGACAGCAAAACTCCAACTGAAACGCGATGGAGAACAATCGGACACGGACACGGGTGCTGTCGCTGTTGCTGCTGTCGGGCACAGTGGAACTCATCTTTAGAACTTGGGTTGGGAAAAATGTTTGATAAATTTGTAATATGGTCATATTCATTTACTTAAGCTCGTTAGATATTAAGAAACATATATTATAAATTGATTTCTTTAGACTTTGCTAATAAAACAAATCGGGAATCATAAGATTATATAAAACAGTTCTCCGAATAATAAATAACAATATAAATAAAATATTGTTATTTATTTAACCTCTCTTTCTCCTTAATGGAGAGTTATTGGTCAGATGTTCTAGGGAAAATAAAAAAAATATTTCCAAAAACAAATTTCTACCTGCCCACTGTGAGACGTTGCCAACACCAAGAGGCCCGCCTCCCATGGAACAACAAAATTTAAAACAAAAACACGCCACACGCGCAAAGCTAAAAATGCCGCCTCTGTCGGCGTCGACTGCGCTGCCGCTGCCTTTCTTTGCTCTAGCTTTATCTAAGACATACCCTCTACAGCGGGGTGTGGTGAGGGTCAGTTGAAATACCCCAATTTTGATAGGCCCCGCAAACATAAATACTACAAAATTCGTGGCTTATCGGAGAAGCAGCTGAAAACTGAGAGGAGCCCTTGTGGGGAAACACCCTCTTTAAGGCCAAGCTCCCCTTTTGAGAACCCTCGAGGCATTTGTTTTCGATGGCGACGCCTCTGGGGAACACGTACGCATTTTTTGCCTTCTTCGATTAGCTTTTTTGCTTCGCGAATCTGATGACGATCGGATATTCATATATCTGTGGATAATTTATTTAAACTAATAGCGACGGGCCTTCTATGCGACCGATCTGTTATAAACAATAACAAAGTCGCTATGTAAGTCAACAACAAAACCAGTTGGCCAGCTCTCTTCCGCTCTTAAAGACTTTTCAGTGCTCTTCCACTATTCCCCTACAGAGGTAAGGCACATCTGTTTCCGCAAACAGTTGAGACTGGAAAAAATTCAACATCTACATCAATTAACCACATTAAATCCATTTTAAATATTTAGTGGGTCGATGTTTTTTTCATGCTTATTTATAAAAGTTATTATTTTAAGCATCTATTTATCTGCTGTTAATGGAAAATGTATTTTGTTTAAGTATTTTTTATGTATCCACAGGTCTACAGATAAATATTGGTTTCTTTTTTTTCGCACGTTTTACCAATGTAAGCAAAAACTATGAGTTGGTACATTTATAACAATTAAACAGTTTTCAAATTTATATTTGATGTCTCCATTAATTTATAGTTTAATTTGTTTACTTTTTTTGCACGTTTTACTAACGTGAAGAAATTGGTTGGTGCATTTATTAAAGTTGTTCTTTCTATAATCAAATCTTATACTATCAACGTAAACTCGAGTTACAGGACCCTCTTACGTTACCTCAATCCTTACAATGATTTTACATTGGCAGATTAAATGAAAAGATAACTGAGCTTCGAAAAGAGTTCAGTTAGTCTTTATCTCTCAACTTATGTCGTGTATGTAGCCTGAGATCTACATAAATACAATAAATTAATCAAAAACTATTCATAGTTTTTATAACGAATCCTATTTTAAACAAACCTCAGGCCATTTAACCGAAACATCAGCTTGTCCTAAAACAGCCCCTCTGGCTTGCAGATGGCCTTACAAGGTCAATAGTCCCTGGAGCAGATTCCTTTGCGAGCATAATGGTGGTGTTTGTGACGGCAGGCGCACAAGTTGGGAGCGAAGCAGTAGGCTTGGGGTCCGCAATTGCTGGGAGGAAAATTGTATGATAAGACCGGCGAAGTATCAACGAGCAAACTTACTTACTGATCACAGATGGGCATACATTGATGTCCGTGGAGCAGACTGGCCCTTAATTCGTAGCCCTGGGCACAGATACACTGGCCGTCGGAGGAGCAGCTGCCATGGGTGCAGCGCCTGCGGTTGACACCGGATATTTACATCTTTATCCATGGTCCCACATAGCTCCTACTCACCCGAGACATGGGTCCAGCAGTCGGGCCGCCCTGTGACGGCACTTTTGGGACAGGGGATCGAAGTAATAGTGCCTGTCATTACGGCACACACACAGGTCGGGGGCAGCGCAGTAGCCACCGGCTTCACGACATCCAGGGAGGCACTCGGCGGCACAGACCAGTCCGTCCGGATTCCCGGCCATATACTGATCGGCACAAGGACAGGGTCCGTCCTCGAAGCAGACCCCATCCCGGCACACTATGTTGCAGCGCCTCACGCACTGGTGGGTGTTGACTACCAGCATCTCGTAGTCCGAACACAACGGCGGAGGCTCGTTGATCTCCCAGTAGCCATAGTCGTAGTAGTAGTGGCCCTGCACCAGAATGCACAGCATCAGCAGCTGCAGAAAGACCATCCGACGCGGCATCTTGGTCAATGGCATATGATCTGCACGGCGGATTCTGTCCCGCCAACGAGAGTGAGAGTGAAAGTGCTTTTTTTCGCAGGCGGAGCAATTTGTGTGCGGATCTCATTACGGCCTCGATCACGATCGCTGTGTACAAACAGAGTGCGGATGACGCAATGGACCCCAGCGGACGCGGCCAACTGATAACCGCTCGACCGGCGATCGTCTAGATCGCAATTACACATGATCAGGGCATTTGCATCGATCCAATCGGTCCGACGTTGCATTACTCACGAATTCGTGGGAGGGGTGGCGCTTTGAGTCTGGTGGGGACTTTTTCGATCGGCGATCGCATCCAACTCAAACGTGTGTGCAGAGAGCCAGGGAGAGCACTTTTGGGGACCGATTCTGGAATGTCTGGATTTCCACGCTCTCTATGTTGCGGCGACGACGACCACACTGCAAAAAGTAAGTTTGAATATTTTTCATTAAAGACCAAAATTGTTGCCCATTCCTAAAGGTAAACTTTGATTACCATTTGTTTGTTTAAAAACAGGTTATGCTAGGGCCGAAAAAAGTTGAAAAAAATAATACTGGATATTTAATTGGTTTTACTATATTTAGTATAGTTCTACAAAGTAATGTTATTTCACTACGCAGTAGTTCCGAGATATAAATTTAAAATATATTAAAGCACAATGATACGTACCTGATATCTGTATTGACAAAGAATTGCAAGTCTTTCTTAAAAAAATGTAAATAAATAAATTATTATTATTAATATGATTATTCAAATTACTTTGCAAATATTAAGAAGTTATACTTATAAGATTTAATTCAATATATATTTAGCGCTTTAAGTCATTTTTACTTTTTAAAATACGTAATACAATCACTCAAGGTTACAAACGTCTCTCCAACCCAATTCTTCCAGTGCTGCGATCGGGGCCTGGCTCTGTCTGCGTCTGGAACTGCAGCTGGCTTTAATGGGCCGCCCCATTCATTCAGTCGGTCGATGTCGGCGAGAGATGACGCAGTGGGGTAACGGCAGCGGACACGGCGACGCCTGCGCGAACGGAAATCCAGATCCAGAGAGTGGCACAAAGTTGCCAAATATTCGCTTGGGGGACTAGCGAAAACGCCATCGAGGCAGAGTTCTATCTTCGCGGTTCTCTTTCTTCGCTTCCACGGCGTCTACGAATTGAGTACTTAACTGCCAACCGCGAACTGGGCGGTCTACGCCCTCCTCCCGCCTCGCCCCGCTCTCCCTCATTTCCCCCAGCCACCATCACCCTCCGTGCGCGTGTGAGTGGGGTGAATAACATAAAACAGACGGCAGAAGGCAAACGGCAAACGGCGAGCGCATAACAGCGAACGGCGAAAGCATAAAATAAACAATTCCATTTCGGGCTGGTCAGCTGGGAGGAAGTTCTGGCCCCCGCGCTGCTGGTGGTGGCAAGCGGTGCAGTGGAGTAGCGGTAGCGGTAGTGGTGGGTGTGGGATGTGCGTGCCCAGACAGATCCGCAGCGCTTAGAGTCTATTATCTATCCGGCCAGTGCTGACGCGTTGCGACTCCCAATCGACGGATTGCTGAATCTTTGAACTCTGGCAAATCTCAAGCATCGAAATGTGCTACGTTATCATCACCAGTGCCAGTCTGGTGTGGTTCCTCTGCTCCCTGGTGTCGGACATGCTCGTCGCAGTGGCCCTGGTCACGCCCAAGTGGCTGGTGGGCCCCGCCCAAGCCATCAACTCCAGCTCTAACCCCCATCGCCAGTCCTCGGTGGGCATTTACACGCGCTGCAAGGTAATGCAGGAGGGGGGACTATATCATTGCGGACGCTTCGACTTGGACGGACTGGCCACGGATAGCAACGTTTACCCCGGAGAGTGGAAGGCAGCCATGTTCTTCGCCTCGCTGGGATGTAGCCTGCTGTCGGTCACAGTGCTGCTGACTTTGCTTACCTGTTGTCGCCAGTCGGCCTTTGGGAAGAGCATCCACAACATGACGGCCTGCGCCCAGGTGGTGGCAGGTAAGAGCCTAACGAATCCGTTCACACCGTCGGCACTGCAGTTATACTTGCAAATTCCAGCAATAAGCGTGATGCTGGCCCTCTTCCTGCATCCGATAGGCTGGGGGGCGCCCCGAGTTCAACGGCTGTGCGGTCCAGATGCAGAGCCTTTCTATCCCGCCGACTGCAGCATAGGTACTTGAGTGAAACTCCCTGTTGAAGCGAACTAAATCTAACCCCCACAGGAATCTCCTTCTACTGCGGAGTCATCGGCGTACTCCTCACATTCGCCGCCGCCGGCATCAGCCTCAAGGCGGAGTCTTCCAACATGCGCACACGCGTTTGCAGACGAGTAGAGGCGGGCAGCAAACTGGTCTGCATTCCGTAGCTGGCTCCAGATGCATTGAGCACAACCTCCGACTTAGAGCGAGCATACTTAACTTCATTCTTGAATTAACTTTAACATTAGCATAAATAAACGACTAACATTTTACAATAGTAATATAGGGTGTGGCTGGATTTTCCTTTGGATCTACTTGTTCCGCTTGCCCTTGGATTTGCCCGGAGGCTTGCCCTCGACATCTGGCTTGGCCTTGGGTATGTAGACGCCGTGGTTCGTCTTCTTGAGGTGCGCAAACAGCTTGTTCTTAGAGTCAAAAATTAGCCGGCAGGTGACGCAGGTGTGTTGCGGCTTGGTGGGATCGAGATCTTCATCTCCGCTCTTAGAAGCACTCGTGGGAATCGCTTTGGACTCGTTTGGAATTGGTTCCGGAGCCGTTTGATCTGCCGGTTTTGCCTTGCTAGCAGCCGCCTTTTTGCTTTTGCTTTTCCTGGCACCCTTTTTGCCTTTACTCCAGTCTTCATCCTCTGATTCGCTAATGGCTGCCTTGAGGTCTATGGGTTCTTCAGGTCCATCGCTGGCTTCTTCCTCCACTTGCTTGGCAGCTGATTTCCTTGATTTTTTGTTCTTTTTGTTGCGCTTGCTTAGCGTAGATACCTCTTCGCTGGACAACTGTGCCTCATCAACTTGCAATTCACCCAGCGACTCCTCCACTCCATTTAAGCTGTCTTCGTGAGATGCATCGTTGAACGCCTCCTCCTCTTCCTCCATCTCCTGACATAGTCGCTCTACATTATCCCTGTGCTTCTTGCTCTCCTCGTGATTGGCCCGTGCCTTGGCGTTTTTAAATGTCTTGTTGCACGCCACGCAGTACAGATCGTCCACGTATTCCACCTCGAATTTATCGGCCTCCGGATCAATGTCATCCTCTGAGTCCTCGCCAACCTCTGCGTCCTCGTCTTCATCTGTGTAGTCGTCCGAATCGCTGCCGTACTGCTGCTCCAACTGCTTCAGCTGCTCTTCGTAGCCCTCATTAAACACTTTGTTTTCCCTGACGGCCGCCAGTGCCTCCTGGCGCTTTCTCAGCTGCTCCTTGCGCTTCTCCTCCTGTTTCAGGCGATTGGCCTCAGCCCGCTCCTCCAGAACTCGCCTGTAGGCCTGCACTCTGCGATCCCGCTTCCGCACAAAGTTTACCAAGTTTCGAACCTAAGAAAAAGTAGGGAAAAATTAGGGCTACTAAAAGCGAGTTTTTAAAATTTAAAAGGTTAATAAACTGTTTTAAGATTAAAAACTATATTTTAAGAAGTTGTTTATTTTTGGGGATCAAATCTCACCTCTTCGTTGCGCTCCTTACGAGCAGCCTGGACGATCTTCTTCATCTCCTTCTCCACTTTACGCAGGATAAAGCGTTCCTTGATCTCGCGCACATCGTAAGGGCACAGCCACTCGTAGGTCTTCCTGGTGCTATAGGCCTGCCAGAAGGCGTAAAATGGACCCACAACCTCCTCGTAGCTGCTGTGTGCGTGGCCAAAGTCCGGCGCCATCCCCAGACGGTCGTCCTCGTCCATGAACTCCATGTCCTCCAGGGCAATCTTCACAAAGACGTCGGTGTAGACGCGGTAGAAGCCCTGTTCGTCGTCGCCGTAGCCTTTGTAGCAGGAACTGGTGAAGAACTGGAACACGTCCAGGCAGTTCTCCGCGTACTCAGAGTTCTTGCCGCGCAGGATCTGCTCGCGGTGATTGTCGTACCAGGACCGCTCCTGTGGATCAGAAAGCACCTCGTATGCCTGCTGGATCAGCTGGAAGCGCTCCTTGGCCTCCGCCAGGCTGTCGGGATTCTTGTCCGGGTGCCAGCGCAGGGCCATTTTGCGGTACGCAGTTTTGATGTCCCCATCCTTGGCGTCTCGTTGGAGCTCGAGCTCCTCGTAGTAGCAGCGCATGTTTTCTTGTTCTAACAAATAATTTTGACAGCGCTCAGCTGGGAATTGGCAAGCGAAGTCTATTATCGATAACCCCTCACAAATGCGTGGATGGTGCCAGTGTTGAACAGCGCTGCAGCGAGAGATTCAATTCCGTAATAAGTAGCTTACTTTTGGGGCGAAAGCAATAAATCTGTAGTTTTACCGGGAAAATCTATTTTAAAACCGGAATCAACGCCATTGTTCCTGAACTTAAGCTATTCATGTATTATTCAAAAAGTAACGGTCAGTGGCATATCCTTAACGCGGTAGTCCTTGATACCTGTCGTCATTAGCTTTTTCCCCTTCGACGGCGACGGACGTTTTCCTTCCGTTGGTGTCCGCGCATCTTTTGTTCACTTAATCCTGTCGCACGCTTTTCACGCTACCACCGAAGTTTACGCATCGCATACCCATACACAGCTACAAAAATAAAAAGTCAAAGCGCGATAAATTCAAGTGAAAAGCGACATTTTTAGGCCAACACAACTTGCAGTTTTTCCAGAATCAATTGTGCTTTTTTCCTTATAATTTGCGAGAACAGTTTCAAATAATTTGCATTAAACACAAATATACCAATATACCGACTGGAACCGAAACTCGAATATTGCCAATCTGCCATAACAATTCAAACAAAGTGCCAAAATATCGTAAAGCATTCGACTCTGTACCCGAAAAGGGAAATAGCTCTACATAAAATTTACAGTTACGTGGGATTTACAGTTAGAGTTACACACAGACAACCCACACAGGCTCACCCACTCCTGCTCACACGCACACAAAGTTACTTCACCGCACAGCTTGAGTTCGTTGGGTGGTGGCGGAAGGGGAGGGGAGGGGATGACCCCAGTCCTTGAAGCATCTCGGCTTACGAACAACCCCCAACAACATTGGGTGCGTCGATACTCGGTCTGAACGTAACGGAGAACGGAAAAAAATAACCGTCAACAAAAAACAAACAAACACTGGAAGCCGACGCTGTCCGAGTGTGGGTCTCGTTTCTGGTATAGATTTACCGTTCTTTTGTGCATGTGTGTGTGTGTGAGCGCCACAAAAAAAGGAGGCGCAAAGGATATTATGCCGTTGTCAGCCGCATTTGCGAATAAGGTAATTTCGCATAAAATTCCAGCACAAGCCCCCTCCCACACAAACTATACAAAATGCTTGGCTTTTGTGCCGACATAAATGGATTTCCTTATCAGCGCAAAGAGGTCCCAGGAGTCCGCTTTGTTCTATTGTTGCAGCTGAAATGCATTTGCCACTCGCCTAATGACCTTTTCCCTTTCAGCTACTACAATCCGTCCACTTTGATTAAGACTAGATATACCTACCACCATGTTTGGATCCAAACTACGCTCCTGGATGGAGACGCACATCGTGCGTCCCCGCAAAAAGGGCAGCAAGCACAAGCAGGCCGCCTCGGAAGCGGGCAGTTCCTGCTCCAACCACTCCAAGAAGGCGGGCACCCTGCCCCCGCAGGGGGAGCAACTTGACCAGTCCGGTCCTGACCAGCAGCGGGAGTCACAGCATCGCTAGTCCGGTGCGACGACGTGAGGTGTCGCCCATCCAGTGCCACGTAAGTGGGAGCTTACGGGAGAGTTGACAAACTGCTTACGTCTGTCTTTTTTCCGTAGCCACCCAGCCGTCGCTATGGCTGGCAATCCCCTGACGAAGACTCGTACGTCATAACCTCGCCCAAGTCGGACAATCTGCTTTACGCCCCGCACTGCTATCAGTCCCACGTGCTCCAGCAGCAGCCATCGCATCACTTGAGCGTCCCAAACAGCAAGGACAACTCCTGCACCGACAAATCGCCCATCAGGGTGAACTGCTCCTCGTCATCCATATCGTCCTTGTCCTGGTCGACAGGATCGAAGGAGCCTTCTTTTGGTAAGCAAGCTGCTGTGAAGGAGCAGGCTTTAAATGGGGAGTACCACATTCCACCTGAGGAGGAGGTGGAGTACGAAGAGGTTGGCGCTCTGCTGCTGCGACCCCCGGCACTCGTTCCAGCGGACCAGCAGCGCCCGCAGTCCGAGAACTTAAGCTCTGTGCGACTGATCTATGAGGAGGAACCCAGGCAAAGCAACAACCATGTCCGATACGGTCGCTTGCTACCCTCCAAGCTGGTTCAGCTTGGCGAGTCCCTAGACAATTTGACACCTCCGATTCCACCCGCTCCGCCAGCAGTCTCTCGGATGCGAACTCCTCGGGGAATGCAGCGCAGCAATATTTTACCGGGACCCCGGCCCCACAGCTTGCCCTCGCCGGAAAGCGCCTACTCCACGGGATACTCCACCGATGGCACATCGCCGTGCGCCGCCAGCAACTACAATCCACCGGAGTACTACATCAATATGCGATCGGGAACCCACTATTTTCCAAAGAGCGTCAATTCGCTGGCCATCGAGGCGCAGCGCTACAAGTTTGGCCTGAACCGCATTGAGGAGATGTCGCCCATGGATCCACTGCCCAAGAGTAACTTTGCAAGTTGCAATCATGGCATTGAGTCGTCGCCCAGTCCACTGGCCTTGAGGCAGCAGCCAAAGATTTTTGAATGTAAGTTTGGGTGTTCTTAGCCGGCCCGTCGGCAAAATTAGCATTTAACCCACTGCTCGTTTATCCCCCTATTTGCAGCTCCCTCACCAAGACAGCGCTGTCGTATAAGAACAAATCCCTGGTACAACACGGGAGAGCACTTGCCAGCCTCCGCTGGCTCCACTCGCATTGAGCAGGATGCCACCAGCACCACCTCTACGACCTCGTCGGGCATTAAGTCGAGCAATGAGCTGGAAGTTCCGGCGGCCAAAACAACAGCAAACAAAGCAGGAAAAACAGCCACTTGTACACCAACCCCCAACGGCCGAAGCACTCCCAGCAAGTCGGCCAGAGTGGCGGGTGTGGGCACTTTTGGGGGTGGGGCTGTTGGCGCACCTGGAACTGGGGGCGCTTACGAGTCCGAGGGCTCTTCTTCGTCGACTGAAGTGGAAAATCTGCATGCACCACATACCATAAAACGACGACACCTGGAGCAAGCGGAGACGACAACAACTTCAGCTCCTGTGGCAGCTGGTGGAGCTGGGGCTACCACTACCTCCTTTGTGCTTAGTGATGACGAGGCCACCCTCAACGAGATGATTGGGAAGTTTGACGAAAGCTACATTTATGAGAAGGAGACTGACATACTTAGGTAAGCTGCTGTAGTCCTTAACTGCTTCCCAAGTGGTCGGCTCATTTTCCGTTGGTCTTTTAGCAGCGATTCGGATGTCACCGACTGCTGTGCTTCGGAGCTGGATACTGGACAGGACGCAGGCGATGAGTGCGACACGGATGAGTTATTGGACATTGACTTTATAGACACTTCATCCATGCAAGAGGTGGTACTTGACCGCCACGATCTGTCGCGCAATTTGGGCAGGTGCCACTACTATTCCAATCAACCCATTAGTCCCGGAATAAAGCGGAAGGCTTCAACACGCTCTCGACGCAAGAGTGGCCAGGAAACGGGTGAGAATTCCCAACAGCATCGACGTAAGCGGTTTTTCAAGACGCGCAAGAAGAGTAGCGAAAACCACGAAAAGCTTCCCTCATCACCGCTATGTGAGCCTCGCGGCTCTCGAAGTGTGGGAGGCACACCCGTCTGCTTGCGACGAAATTTGCTGGGTCGAAAGGAGAGGTAATAAAGATTCTTCGATTTTGTATATATGGTGTATACACATATGGTGTCTTATTTACAGGATCTACAAGACTTCACCTCTGTCAAACCGCTCTAATTCGCTGATATTTGGCAGTATCAATGAAAAAAACACACTTACCGTTGCAGAGAGCGAGAAGGCTCTTTTTAAGGCGGACTTGGAGGCTGATAGAAAGTACAAACAGCTCATCATGGAGGCCGAGTCCCTGCTTGAGTCCTTAAAAAACAGCTTGCAAAGGTGAGAAAAGGTTTTTTCTTTACATTCATAATAAATTAATTTTTCTCTTTTTAACAGTATCCCCAGGGACACACCAGTCGCCAGTCCGAGGCGCTTGAATCCTTTGGCTAACAAGCGCGTGGAGATGCTGAAGAACAGCGAAGTGGACTCCAAGAAACAGGCGCCGGCTCAAAACTCTCCTCCGCTGGAGCATGAGTTAGCCGCAGCGATCAATAGGCGCATAGAGATGCTAAAGTTTGAGACTTCTTCTGCTGCTTCGCCGCCCAACAGTCCGAAACTTGGACGCTGCAGCCCTCGCAAGACGCACCTGACAAACTTTATGAACCAAAATGCTCCGCCAGAGCTACCGCCACGCAAGATAAGCGGCAGCACTCTCACTGCTCCACTCTCACCTCAGCTGCAGCTAAATGGAAGGCGTCTGCAGGAAAGTCCCAAGGGCCATCGACGCACTATGATGGTGACTTCCACTTCCAGGACCACAACTACGGTGATCAGCTTCAACGGCAGCGATTCGGAGATGGAGTGCATTGCTGTGGAGGATATTGGCAATCACAACTACCTTCCGCAGCAGCATTCCAAGCCGAAAATCAAGCAGGAGGTCCCAATCAATACTAAACTGTTGGCAGAGTCGCAGATTAACAACAACTTCTATTGCCCGCATAGTGAGCCCTTAAAACGCAAAGTGTACAAGGGAAGCTCTTCGTTCGAGCGAATAAAGAAGAACTTTGACTTGGAATTGGGTGAGTACTTGAGACGTGTAGTGTTTCCGTTTCCTTTGTCTAACAAAAATAAAATACAGATGCAAACGGACGGAGCAAGTCCAACGAGCGTTCGCAAATTAAGCTTTCGGCCCCCGTGTCGGCCAAGAGCTCTATGCAAGACGTGACCGTTGACGAGGCCAAGGGCCAGGCAACGGCTGGTAGAAACTGCAAGCAGCAGCTCATACTGAACACCATTGTCGATCTAAAGCGCAGCTTGGAGCATCAAAGCCATCAGCTGAATGGCCTGAATGTCGAACAGAACTGAGTGAACAAACTACTAAGGCTAAGATCACTATCATACTTATTCATAACGCATTATTTAGACATAAAATAGCTCGTTAGGACCTAGGCTAACAGTCCAACCGAATCCCTCAGACTAGACACGAAAACTGAGCGCAATAACTTTCTTACTAATAAGAGAAGACGATTATTTACACATTTGGCCCAATACTTAAGGGCCGCAATTGGAAACATGGACTGGTGCAGAAAGTTATTAGGAAATATCTTTAGCATGTAGCAAATTGTTTTTGATGGAGTTTTTATATAATAATCGTAGACATAACCCAGATGTTTAATTTATTTGAAATGTGTTGAAATTTTTAATTTTTAAATGTTTAGTTTCGTAAAGTACGTTGATATATCATAGATCTTAGTTCAATCATATCAAACGGTTTTTATATTAAGCGTCATTCCGTTACTATAGATAAGTTTAAGTTTGTTGTTTGACTTTAAGAACACTATGTTTTAAAAACACTTCTCCATTTTTAAAGATATCCTAGAGTTGTAATTTTTGTTTAGTTTGGATGCGCCAAGCTAAACATGTGTTTAGAACACAAAATCCTTGGCGTCTCCAATGCAACTATCATACAACCATAGCTTGAATACGTTGATATTAATCACTATATTAAACTACATAAGTCAATAACTGGTAATATTTCTTAGTTTTTTATCGAGCGTGTTTGTGTGTGTGTGCGTTAATGTGGAACAAAAATTCATTCTCATTAATGCATTTCTTACATGAATTTTGCGTATACTTAGAACACTAAATTTATGGCTAGACTTGGTAGAACATTTTACTTAATCAGCATTATCTCTAAAGTATTCAAAAGTAGTGCTTTAAGTAAACCATATTACTATCCATCCAAAAGAAATTTTTTTAGCAAAATTGTTTGTAGATTAATGAAAAAATCATTGTTCGGTTTCCTTAGCTAAGTTGATAACGAAGATTGTGTTTTTAGCACTAGATATGGGATAAATCTAGTCTATATTGAATTATATTTCGATTGGTCAACATTAATTTAAAATATGTTGTATTGGTAAGGTTTTTAATGATTTCCAAACGGAGGTGAATTGGTTGTAATTTAAATTAATTGACTCAAGTTATTTTGAATTATGTATTGTGTTGTGTACTCAATTTATATGCATATAGGCTATGTAGAACCTACACAGAGAATACATAATTTAAGTCAATAATGTAACGTGATAATAAACTTAATGAAAACCCTAGACCAAAATCGAACAAGATCCAAATTTAAAGGGGATCCGCAGAGTAGTAAGTATAAAGTAATTGCATATATCGTAACAGTTTGTGGTTTATTGTTTCACACCTGTGTACTTTGTAGCTTTGCGTTCTTGTTTCTCATTGAAATTAAAATTGCAATTAGTTTTCGTTTTCTCTTACGTAGTGCCTGCTTTTAGAACCCCACGGCAGGAGGGGTAGTGGAGCGGTATGCTGTGTTAAATTTACTTAATTAGTTTCACCCGCGACGCGACACTTGAACATTGAACGGGCACGGACCGCTGGCCCTGCAAGCGAAAGACGCAAGCCGCGAATTCCAAAAATCGAACTCGATGTTGTGAACTTTAAATGGGCTGCCAATGCGTAGTTAACGGCTTGGGCCTGCAGCTGTCGTGGTAATTTATGCGCCCTAGATTCCAAATATTCAATTGGCTTTCCGATTAAAGCGACCTTAAGACAATCCAACGAGCTTTTGATATGATGACTTACAAACGGCAACTAAGGAAAGACTGCAGCAGACTCACTCCCAAGACGGGGACTTACATGTGTTCAGGATGGGCGAAAACCCAGTACCACGTGTGGTATGAGTGATATTAACAAAAACCCTATCAGCCGACACATACAATTATCGAACCCATGTATTTTAAACGTCAATAAAGGACCAATATTTTGAACTACCTCCTATCTTAACTGCTCTTTCGTGCGTGATCGACATCCCAGTCATCATGGAATTTCCAGAGACTCCGATCCAATCCCCGTTTCTTGTCAACTTGTTTATTATTGTGTCTGGCGGTAAAAATAGCCCCGCATTGTTCTAAAAATCCCCAGAAAAGCATCGGCAATGGAAAATTAGCAGACAGATCATGGACTGCCCTGGCCGGCCGTCCGCTGCCTCCGCAGCTGCTAATTATGCAAATGGAGGCAGGGAGCGGACGACGCGAGGCGAGGAACGAATGCCAGGCGGAATAACAATTGGCCAGGCCACGCTTGAAACATCAAATCGGTATTAAGTGGGCAAAAAACATGGCCCGAAAGAGCGGCCATTATATGGTTGGTGGCCCAGTGAAGGAGGCGCGACCTGATCTCCTTAGCTGGCTGCACTCGAGATGGGCCCTATATGGGCAAACTGGTTCGGCTTCGGCTTCCACAATCTGCCCGCAGTGACCGACCTCTGGCCAGGAGGCGGAGTGCATTTCGAAAGGCAGGGGCCGGTCCCCAAGCTGCATTTTTCGTTATTGCTTTGTTTTGCGCTAAGAAGTGTATGAAAGGTACTTTTCCAAGGAATGCTGCCAGTGAACGGAAGTCAGCAGGCAAAAAAGTAATATTTTGCAAGTTATTTAAACATTTTAAAGATGATTAGGTATTCAAGCATACACTTCTGTTTACAAAACGACAGGGTGTAGTTAATTTCTGAGAATATATTTTCTAAATTTTTCATTAATTTTGGGTCTAGGATGAGATTTTAACTAATACCCAATACCCACAATTCCAATTTCACAAATTAATTTTTAAGAACTCAGGGTGCTACTTAATTAGAAAACATATTTCTAAAGCATTTTAAGACTAGGATAGGATTCTCACCTACAACATTTTTTTAAGGATTTAAGGGATTTCAAGTTAGGGTATTGACATATGCGACTCCATGCTCCTCCCGTGGAGTGAGCAATTGAGTGCCGATCTGAGGCTGCAGTGCAGCTTTCGATCTCGAGCGATTAGCGCGCCGAAAGCTCAAAGATTTGAGGGGCAGGGGGCTAAGTTGTTGTCGTTTTTGTTAGCCATCATGTTGACTGTTGACTGTTGTGGTTGTGTGTTGTTGCTGCTTTTTAACGTCTTTGTCGATTATTGTTATTATTATTGAGATTCTTGTTGTTGTCGACGCTCTGGGTTTTTGGCCGTAAAATGTTACTTTAGTGTTGGCCTGGCCCGCCGGCCTCTGCCGGCGTCGCTGTGGCCGCGCAGTTGCGTCGCCGTAACCGCTGTTTTTAGCCATGAAGGTCATACCCAGGTGTGTGGCATTCAGATTCACCTGAGCCCGGACCGGGCCCGTCTGTCCGAGTCCGAGTCCGAATCCGAGTCGGGCCAAGCCGAGCTGCTAGCGCTCAGCTCCAAACAGGTGAAGCGGTGGGAGGCGGCGGGAGGGGTACGTTGTTGTTTTGGCAGTTATGAAACTAGTCCAATGACTCGCCGCCTGTGTGTGTGCAAGCCAGCTCCGAGCTTTTGCCTTTGCCTCCTCTTCTTGTAAGTATGTAGTTACCCACACTGGTGCATATAGGGCGTATGAGTGATCTGTGGAATGGGCTTTTTGGTAAATGAACACAACTTTGAACCAAATGCAAGTGGTTGCTTTTGGCTGGTTCTCAATGTTGCGTCAGCCACTTCTTCAGAGTTTCGCAAGGTGGGACAAATGTGCGCAATACCAAATCAATTGACGCCTCGACCAGAGAGGAAACGGGGACTGAACAGTCGCCAAGCCGAGTTGACAAAGGAAAATAGCCCTGTCATGCGGCTGTGTGCAAAAATTGGCTCATTCTGCTGCGTAGCTGATTGTCCGGTTCTAGTTTCCAGCATCTAATCGGGGGATTAGTGGGTTTCCATCAAGCCCTGATTAAAACAGTTGCCTGTATTTTCCGTTTTTGGCTAAACCTTTGTCTTTGTTACCGCGTAGCTCAATAAGTCTAGCTTAATAAATAAATTCTACGAAATCATTTTTTGACACTTAAAAGTTGAGGTATCAGTTACAAAATTGTTTTTAAAGCCATAAACCTTGTCAATGTAAGCCCTTGCTCCTCCTTCCCCTCCCCTTCAGCAACCTTTTCCGGGCTTGTACATTTCTTGCCTTAAAGTACCTCCGTTTTGAAAAGCCCCTGACGTCACGGCAGCGATTCGAACTTGGCCCACACATTCTGCGAATGTGAGTTCCCCTTTCTTGTGTGGAGTGGGTCAAGCTAATTAATTTCGAGGGTGCTCAATTAGCGCTTGCTCCCATTCAACCCGAGATGAAGTTGATCGCTGGACTTTGAGAGGCTCTCGGTGCACCCCCATGGGTGGGGGACTGGGGATTGGGGATTGGGAAGCTACCTGCGCAGAAAGTTCGTGAATGAATATCTTTACCGTGATTTAGCGCTCTCTGTAATGTCTGGCGTGTGAGCTCAAGCTCGGCTCTGGCCGTGTGTGAGTGTGGAATTTCGAGTTTTTGGACTTTGCACCAGTGGCTAGCCATGAACCGACGTCGCTGAGCTGGCCGCCAACACAGTCCGGGCCCCCGCCAATCCCCACCAGATCGTGAGCGTTGTTTGCGCCTCGCTACTCATCTATGGCGGCTCGAAGATGGGCTGTGGATGGGCGTGTGGACAGCGGACTCTAATTATTCAGTCAGCAATGTGACGCACCTGCTGACAGCATAATGCGGAATTCTCGGCAACCGATTTGTCTCCAGAACAGAATCGTAGCCCCATATCGGCAGGCCAGCATCCGCGAATGGAATCAGGAAGTCGGCTACTGGGGGAGGCGGCGGCGGCGGCCCTAACGGAAATTAATCAAAGTTTGATTTGGTTCCAGTCAAGATCTTTCAGCTTCCGCCTGCGTACGTCGATCTGGGGTCAAACGGAAGTGTTTCTCGATGCTTTTGGCCCTCTCATGCCAATCTCTGTTGGATCTGGTCGGAGTGCAGTTATTAATTAATTTCTCGTTTCGATTTGCATGCCGATTTATTTTCGGATCGCGACAGCGGCACGTGATAAAATTCGATTCCGAGCTTGTTTCAATGGCTGCTGCGATTAGTTCGGCTCAATGCTAAAGAACAGCAGCTTCAGCCTTGAGTACTCGGACCTTGGGCAGTACCGAAGTGCTTGACCAGTTACAAACGTCCCAAACTGCTGACTCACGCCAACTCCGACTTTCTTTTGTCGCCGCTGGCTTATGCTAATTCCGGACAACCGAATCTGGAGACGGTTCTTCTGCCCGGCTCAAGGTTCAGATGCTGCCGGAGCGGGCGGGTTCAATAAACGAAGCCGAAACAAAGCAGAATAGCCGGAGTATCGATCTGCGATGAGTTATGATACTTCCGTCTATCTCCGCCCCTGTCCGGGGTTAAGGCGAGCGGATAGCCAACAAGCCAACAACAAGCGGAAGCCGAAAGCGAGCTAGAACCGTAAACAAGTTTTGCCCCGCAGCAGCCAAACTCTCAGCCAATCCACCAGGCCAAAACAAATGTTCGAAACATAAAATGAGTCTTAAAGTGAGACTGGCGCAGTTTGCCCCCTCTCGGCCCCTCCTGCGATGCGGAAGCCTTAGCAAGGCGCTAATTGGTTGTCCGAGACGAGAAGAAGCAGAGCTTTCAGAAATCCCCCAGAATCCCAACCCTGTCCACATGCAGTGGGCCAGGAGGAGGAAGACCCTGAAGCTCAAGTGGAGTCTGCCGATAAGCACGAATCAAGTTCATGGCTTCTAAAAGACTGCTCGCAATTCTTGTCACAACGATGATAAGGCCACGTCCAAGAGCACAGCCAAAATAGAAACAGAAATAAACATTAACTAGCCGTCGAGCGGCCGCGGCGAAAAGCACAATTTACTTGGCCCAGATACATACTTACCACAATGGCCTGACATTCTAAAAGCAGATTACACATCGCAGTTCACCGAAGCATGATCGGATTTGAGACCGATGAAGAGCATACACTATTACGTCGCATTTGTTTGCAAATAGTGTTGATAGCTCTGATTCCGGGCACGTGTCCAAGAACCCGAGAGCCCAATTTCCTGGTCCTCCCCCGCCCTGAACTTGAGCAGAGAGTAGATATGGCCATGAGTCAGTTGCATGATCGAAAGTTTTTCGCGGTCATTGGCTATGAATCGGCTGGGCGGGGAATTATTTTGTAATTGGAGGAACGCCTTGCCTTAAGTACTTTATCTAAGCGTCGATAAGGTGGTTGCCTCACAGGCTTCACCTAAATTTGCTCCGAGGTAAAGTTTTTCCTTTTCCCCGAGTTACGCCCAATCATCATCACCAGAGGAGTAAAACCAGTGACTGTTATGATACGGCACGCGTTTGCTTGCATTAATACAACGGGAAGTAAGATTAGATAGGAAAGCTTCCTATTTGGATTGAATATTCCTGATTTGTAGCACGATAATTTGGTGAAATAAAATTTGCTTACGTATATTTAAAAAAGTGAGTCTACGGAAGTAGTCAAGTCAATTCTTCGTTTTCAAGAAGGATTAGATTAAATAACATTTATGTATTGCCAAGTATGTACGTGTTTTAAGAATAATAAAAAAAAACAATCGTCACATTGATCAGATATAACTATAAATATCCATTTAGATAAGATAGAGGACCTAGTCAGTTATTTATTTGCATGTAGGATAAGATAAAGGAGTTTTCGTTATGGAGGGGCGGGAAGCACATTATTTATCTAAGTATCGGGAGCCAAGATTAGGTTGAAGACATTTCTTATAGGTACTTTTGAGCACATTTTTATATTGAAAACAAGATAGGATACATATAGTTATAAAAAGGGGCAGTCCATTATACCACCTGCATACCTGCACTTTGCTCAAAAACCGAGTTCGCTTACCGTGAATTCACTGTAATCTATATAGCGCATTTACAATGGCCATTGCCACCTTTCAACCGTTCGACTCTACCGATCCAACCGGCCTTTGTACCCATCACACGAGCCACAACTCAAAATTTAGCTTCGTTGGCACTTTCTTTATCGTTTATTGTTACCAAGCCCCGAAAAACGGGACAGAGAGGGGGGTAACCAGAAGGGGAAAGAAGAAACGAGCAGGTGGAATATGTTTTCTAAGTAAAATTTATTTATTGTGTATAAATAATTCTCTTTTAGCTTTCGCACAAGCGCTTTTAACGTTAATAATTTACAGTTTGCTCTGCAGACTTCGATGCCGAACCAACGACATGCAGGGATTGAGTTTCGGTGGAACTGGGAAGGTCCCCATGCCACTTCCTTTAAAGCCCCTGGATATCGCTGGTCGGCTGCAAAGTGGAAACCAAACGAAACATAACGGCACAAATAGTTGGCTTAAACAATTACAATAACAATTGTGGAATATATAAATTTGCATACAGGCTAAAGTGAAGCAAGCCGTTTTCGCTCGCTACCGCTCCCACTTCACTTGTGTTCGTAATTGTTATTTAGTTAGAAATTAAATTTCTTGTACTTGTTGAACATTGTTTGCTTTAGTGTTGTATCTGCAGTTCCCATAGCTATCTCCAATACATATACGAAAATTAAATTGCAAAGAACCAGGGATATGTGGGTAAGGGCCACAGCTGCGCAATGGATAACATTTTGACTTGGCCGCAGTGGGGCCCCAACGGACACAGAAGGAATGATCGGAATAGATTTGATTGGCTTCTGTGTTTCGTTTTCTAATTTCGTTTTCCCTTAAACCCATTAGAGGGATACAACGTAGAGGTTACAATTTTTACAACATAACTCTTTTTTTGAAAAGCGCTGCTTTAACTACTATAACTACCAGTTGTTATTTATCATCCTCAGTTATACATTTATACAATCCTCATGCACACATACGATCCTCATATGTCTTACTTAGCACCCCCTCAAGTTACATATACATATACATTATCATATACACAGATATAGATATACAGATACAGTTATAGTTAAAGTTAGAAAAAGACCTCACACTTGGTTCTCTTGATACTAATGAGAGTAAGACCCGCCCGCTAATATGGTATGAAGTTAACCCCGCCCAGCTCGAAAGGAAGTGAAATTCTAGGTGTAGGTGTAGGATTAGGAGGCGTAGGAGAAGAGGGTCGAGAAGGCGTTTGGTTGGGCGTCCTAAACGGGCCCAATATCACTTTGGTATCTGGCGGTCAGGTAGTTGGCCGCCTCTGTCATTTGTTCCAGGCACTGGTACAGACCGTTCAGATGCCTCCGGCAGCGCTGCGCCAGCTCCGTGGCCTTGTCCCCGGAGCCCTGCTTTGACTTGGCCACGTCCACGATGTCGCTGCCGTCGCTGCTCTGGGCGTTGTCGCTCTTGTTGCCGTCCGACTCCAGACCCGAATCGTTCTCCTGCGAGATGTCCGAGTCCGAGTCGCTCATGTTGCTCACCGAGTTGGTGGACATCATCGAGGCGGTGGAGGTGCGGCGCACATGGCCCTTGACACTGCTTGAAGCGGTTGTGTTTTGTTGGCTGCCGCTGGACTCAGTCTTGCTCTCGCTGGGATTGCAATTCGAAGTGGGGTTGGATGAAGCGTTGGGCTGCTGCTGCTGGGGGTGCTGCTCGTCGTCTTCCTGGTTGGCGGTCCACAGAAGATCCTTTTTGAGAGAGTTCAGCATGTTGTACAGATTGAACAGCTCGGAGGCGCTGAGAAAGTCTTGCACGTTCTTCGAGTGCGCCGCCCCCCGCTTGCCCTGGGCACTGGAGCTCTGTGTCAGTTGGTTGGCGGTTGAGTCCTTGCCGGTGGCTGCGATGATGTCAGTGCTGTCGCCGATCTGCAAGAGAACCAAGCAAACGGGAGGAGCGGTAAGTACGGTTGCGTTCGAAGGGCTTGCCGCAGGGTGGGACTGAGCTTTAAGGGGCTTGTGGTACCAACCTGTCGATCCATGAGCCTGCAAGGCACCAGTATGGTGTCGTCCATAATGTTGACAGTCTTAACAAATTTCTCCATCACATTGACAATGCTGTCTTTGGAAAACTGCTGCTCATCGTGACGGGCGATGCGGCGCAGGCAGTTCCTGAAAAAGCAGAACAGTCGGAAGATGAGATTGGGCCAGCAAACCGCAAACAGAAAACCAGTGGAGCGTGTGCAGGGGAACCAGTTTGGACAATAGACAGCGTGATTAGGGACCAGCGACTGGCCGTTCTACAGCGTCGTTAAGTCTGCCGCGATCAGACTTCCGCCACTCGAAGTCTTCTTTCGCTGGGTGGGCCTCGCCGCTGGTCAACGTGGCGTATGATAGATATGAATTGGTTTGTATGCAAATCAACGATTCGCTGACGTCTCAAATTCAATTTGTATAAAATAGAAAACCTGTTGGTGCTTTTGTACCTGACAGTGCTCGTGCGGCTCTTAAAACAAAGCCCAGACGACCGGACGGACAGCAAGATTTCTATTTTGGTTTTTAAAGCCAATTTAACCCGGCCACGTTCTGGTGGAAGAGGAGTAGATGGAGGTGGGCGCGCGGAGGGCAAAGCCCCGACTAGGCTCACCACATTCCAAGTAATGGTTATACAATCCTGGCCGGTCTCATTAACTTTAATTTCACGAAGATCGAGTAACATCGTCAGGTCAAGCCCCATAAAGCGCGCTAACCATTAACCCCCCGGGTTTTGAAGTTTGTTTTTGGTGTCTGGAGCTAAAGCGGTCAAAGTCTAGAGTCGGCACGGCTTATCGCTGCCAGACGGTTCCCAGACGGAGCTGGAGTTGCGTATCTCCCGTGCCTGCCGTTTAATGCGACTAGGTTGCCCAGCCCGGAATGTAGCCAGCCAGTGCGAGGCCGCGTGATCGCAGCTAGTTGACAAAATGAGCGTCGAGCGAACTGATAAATTTAGTTTTAGTGACTGCGCCATTCAAAGACCTCTACCCTACAGTTCCGCCGCTGTGGCCGCCCGCTCCCGCTGCCCTGGCGAACAAACTTAGACAATCTAGATATCGATGGCTGAAGTGTAATGCGGGGCTACCGGGGGTGGGGGTGGCCACGCGAGTGCTGCGTGCTCCGAGCTCCGTTGACCGACATCGGCCCACTAGGGGCCAGAACCAGATCTAGATCAAGAAGCAGAACATTATACGGGTGTCAAGGTTTTTTTCCTCTGTCACGACGGCGGAGGATTCCCAGCCAGCCACTCAGTGACCAATTAAGCTAATTGCGTGGCATTCCGATCATGGAAATCAGCGTAGGAATGCGCAAACAATTACCATCCTATCAACGCTTTTCGCATGGACACTCGACCATAATAGATTGCTTGATTGTTGTCTCATGAAACTCTAAACAATCACCTCAATTTAATTTCAATTATTGTTATTTGTCTCCCCTGACCACGACACCACGACCCTGGCTTATATGTATGGATGGTTCTAATCAGGTGCGCTTGAGTGCTGGCCACGCGCCAGATGCCTTGGAAGCGCTGTTGACCTTTCCTAGCGGGCACAGCAATTCTTCTTCATTGATCTCCGCCTCAACCGCCGCTCCCAAGAACCCACAAACGCCGGTTCGGGTAACACGCCACACGCCGCCAGCCAATCGAATCGTGAGCACACCAGCTGACAGCTCCCCGCTCCCAAACTCCCCGGTCCCCGTTCCCCGTTTCCCGTTCCCGGTGTGAGAATTGGGCTAAGCCCGGCCAGCGTCACGCGACATGCGCGAAAAGATGGAAGAAGGAGAAAAGGGCAAGGGAAGGTGCGGTACATCGCATACAACGCCGAAATCAGGCGACTTTTTCATTGAACTGCAGCTGGTGGGTGGGTGGTGCTGGGCCAGCTTCATGTGGCAAGCGAAGCGCCTCTCTTACGGGCTCTCTTCGGTCCGTGAGTTTTCTCTTTGCTGCCGAGATGTGGCGTGATGTTGCCCAGAAACTGTACGATGGTTGGACCAAAAATAAGAGTCGCCTCCATCAGCTGAGCATGATGAATGAATCGCTGGCTATGCCATGTTTTTGTGGTATTTCTCGTATTTGCAATGTTGGGCAATGGCATATACATACACACGAAGTCAACAGTCGCAGTCTTTGAACCGAATTGACCAACATTTGGTTTGCGCTTTGGCTCCGACCTCCAGCATAATCGATATTTGATACGCCAGCAAATTAGATATTCTTCCAACTCGGTACAAGTACTCGGTGGCCGGGTTTGGGTTTGTTTACTCAGCGCCCGTTGGCGGTCGTAAGTTGCCGTTCAAGGCGACACCTGCCTAAAAAACGAGCGACACACTGCGAGGTAAATCAGAGAATTTTCTTCGATTTAAGCGGCCCAAGGAGGCCGAATAGTGGCTACCTGGCTATCTAGCCCCGATGAGTAATGATTTTTTACCAATAACTAGCGAACAAGTGTCAGTTCATAGACGGAACTAAGGGGAAGGTGCTATACAGGTATACAGATAATGCCTTATCGCTCATCCAAAAGCTGGGCCTCTGATTTGCCTCCGTTGGCTCACTCGAAACATTTAGCAAACAAACAGTGAAAAAACGCCAACATATTTCTCTTTCTGTATGGGTGTACAATATATAGCCGATTGTGTCATATTAGCGGACGGCGCTGGCTTGGTTTTTTCTTTCGTGTTTGAATTGGCCGGGCCGTCCGTCCCGCCGTCCACCTAAAAATCGTACGATAAATTTCTTGTATCTCGTTTTTTCGCTTTGTCGGTGCAAACGAAAGAGAAAACGGACGCGGGGTGCGGTTGGATTTGGTTTTGGTTTGGATTCAATTTGGGAGTGAGTCGACGAAAGAGAGCGCGCGATTCAGATTCAGGGGCGGATCGGTGAGGCATCGGGAACGGGGGGATCAATTTAACATCACTTTGGGCAAATTAAACTTAAACGCTTTAACTAGCGGACTCGGACTCGGACTTACCGACTCGTCTCCAGCTTGGTGAGGTCTGTGTATCCACTCATGATGGCTCTGTTTCTGATTCTGTTTTTCCAATGATGATGTACAACTGCTACTGACCCGCTGGCACAAGTACAATTGAAGTGAGAAATTATCTTTGATTTCGGCCGCACCAACACTCGCGCACTTTCACTCGCGTTCGGAATGTTCCTGGCTGGGATTACGAAATTTCCACAGGTGATTTGCTTGGTTGGTTGAGCTTAGTTAGTTTGGTTTGGAGTATTGGAGTAGCTGCTGCCCCGGCGGAACTGCTCTGACTAGTGCGCTGCCTCCAAGAAGTCGCTGCTGTTTTATGCCAAAAATTTGCATGCACGCACCGAGCTCGATAAGACCACGACTTTGGCCGTCGATCTTGTACGATCCTATTAAAATATGTAGGAATTCTAAACAGTCAGCACGCGCACCGCCAATTCGATTCGATTTGATTTAATTTTATTTGATTGCGACGACCACGACGCAGCCAACGAAGAGATTTTCCAAAAATTACAGAGAGGAGAGCGTTGCGAGTTGCTTATATAGGGTGTGGGACGACCAGGGATACTCAACTTCGATAGGACTATCGATATCGAAACAACCTATGACTTATCAGCTGTTCTTGGAGTATAGAAAGTCGATTTCCAACACTAATCGCCTAACGAACAAACGCAACTCTGAAAGCGTCAATTGAATATAACGCTTTCGTTGTCCTGAACATTACTGCTTAAATGTGTCAGGAAAATGGAAAATTTGCCAATGGAAATAGACGACAGTGCGCCGCCGATTCACGAGGCGTTGATCAACTACGCAGCAACAACTTGCCGCTTGTTTTACATACACGACGCTTCCGCTTGGAAGGAATGGACCACGAATACCGAGTATTTCCAGGATCTCTCTGCCGACGAAGTGTGTCACGTATTCCTGACTGAAGTTCTACCAAATTTGGAGACTTATGATCTATCGGAGAGCATCAAGAACCGCTTCAAGCTCTTAGAAATTCACCCACTCTTCCGACGCGTTGCCCAAGGCTATCAGTATACTCCCGATCGCGAACTAGCATCTCGCTTTGTTCTGCAAAAGTACCGTGACTACTGTCTGATTGGCGATATTGAGAAACCCCAGGTACATATATTCCTTACACATCCATAAATTCACTTAGCGGACCTCAAACATGCAACGACATGTTTGCCCCTATATGTAAATCACTCATGTAAATAATGTGCAAACATGTCATGCATACATACATATGTAGCTATTTTAATATAAAATGTCAATATTTATTACATACCAAATTAGTTTTTAGTTGCTCCTACATCAGTAGTAAAAATATGATTCCATATCGTATTAATTTTTTATAGGAAAGTCAGCCAAGACGTGGATCCCACACCGTGCTTTTGGACGACGAAGGAGATGAACCCAAGACCTGTGTTGGATACAAAAGCAAATTAAGTCAGGAGTTGGCCGCTATCGGCTCGGCCATTTTGTCTACCGATCTGGAGCTTGCCAATGGACAAATGCTCGATGTGGCTGAGATACATCGCCGTTTGAGATGTGCAAAGCAGAATTTCGAGGACAAGGCCATACTTGCTCCATTACGTACAGATATTGACGACATGATAAACAAATTGACGGTCTTCGACGAGCTAAAAGCTAAATTTTGTCGGGTAGTAAGTGATTGTAAGAAATATGCTTAACATCAGTTCAGATGTGAAAGATGTTTTGGGCGTCAGTTAAATAAATGCCTTTAATTACTTGCGGTTAATGGTAAGCCAAAGTTTTCCTCGAAACTAAAACATCGTGAAATCTTTTAAGGATTAAAAAAAAGGAAAAATGACTAAAACTTTTGTATAAACTGTATAACTTAAGTAGACACTTTAAATGTTTTAAGAAAACCGATTTTATGTATACCATTCATCACTTATATGTTATTTACATTACTCAACTGCTGTTTTAATAAAATAAATGGAATTCTCTCGACATTAAATTATTAAAAAATTTGTCACTCACAACTAGAGTACCTCCAATTCTTGAATATTTCAAATATGTTTACTGTTCATTCGTTAAGAAATCTCATTTTGTATACTTGATTTACTTCATTAAATGGCAGTACCAAAAATCTATCTCAATTTTGAATTCTAGTAATGGTAAATACAGCTAAAAATGAATCATTTCCAAACCCATGCAGCTCTTACAAATATACAAAATTCTATAAAACCATTTTGATTTGCTTAAAAGCAATGAAGATTTGTTGATTTTTTAACTTAACACCAGCTCAGACGTCGGCGAAGTTCTGCTTGTCAATGTCAAATCGAGTTTTTGGACTTCCGCAACTTTCAACATACAAATCGTCCAAGCTTTTTATAAATTGCATCAAGGAGTGGCAAGAACGCGGAGCTCGGGGGGCAAGGATACGTTATCCGTGTACAGGAAGGATGCGAGTGCTTTTACGACTTAGGAGCAGCCGAAGTCTAGTGCCAATAGCCACTGTAACGACTACCTGAACATTATAATTATGATATAACTTCTATATACCACAAAAATATTCAATTCCAATGGAAAGTGATATGAGTCCCCAGAATTTAAGGTCGGGGCGCCATTTCAGGAAAACGAAATAACATCTAACTTGGTTAGAATCTATGGCGGCTTAGATTTGAACGTTACAAATATTACTTGCGTAAAACATCTTAACACATTTCAGACCTGCTAACAAAAAGTGAGGCAATGAAAAGGTTTCCTAGGATGCTAAAGAACTGTTTTAATGCCCTAGCGAAGTCTTGTCATAGTTTTCTGCCATTAAGAAGCGGGGGCGTTTCACGTTTGTACAAAATCATTTCGGCCAAACCAAAGTTGTTTTATTCAGATGACAAACAGTACTATCAATATGGTGCACCTCGACTAGCGAGGCTGGACTGCTTAGTGACCCGCGGTGGCGGCCTTGGCGGCGATCTCGTCTTCCTTGGCGTGCAGGGCGATGAGCTCCTGCTTCTTGGTGGCGATGCGCTCCTCGCGGCGCTTGCGAGCCTCGCGCACCTTCTGCCGGCGGGCCTCGGCCTGGTCGGCCAACATCTTGCTGCGCTGCTTCTCGGCCTTCTTCTTGTGGATGTACTCCATGAGGACGCGCTTGTTCTTGAACACGTTACCCTTGCACTTCATGTACAGGTCGTGGTACAGGTGCCGGTCGATCTTCTTGCTGTCGCGGTACTTCTTGAGCAGGCGGCGCAGGACGCGCTGGCGCTGCATCCACACCAGCTTGGTGGGCATGCGGGCGTTCGCCGTACCCTTGCGCTTTCCGAATCCGCAGTGGCGACCTTTGCGGCGTGCCTCAGTGTTCTTGCGCACACGGTAGCGGGAGTGAACCACGACGGGCTTCTTGATAATCAGACCATCCTTGATCAGCTTGCGGATGTTCTGACCTGCAATTGGGAGTGATAGAAGATTGGGTCTTGTCTTCGTTATCTGGTAGTCGGCTTTACTTACGCGAGTTTGTGTTGGCGATCTCGTTGATCTCATTGGGGTCCAACCAGACCTTTTTCTTGCCGCATCGCAGCACGGAGGCTGCGAGCCTCTTCTGGAGCTTAAGAGAACTGCAATTAAGGGGTACTTGTTAGTCGGTCTATTCGAAACCAGCGTGTTGCGCTGTGCGCGTGTGTGTGTGTGTGGGTAAGAGGCGCACGTTTAGTTATTTCACAATTGCCGCCGAAAACTAAGTTGCACTCGGCCACCCTGGCCGCCGCAGTGGCACGCCCCCGCCCCAGCACACTTTGCACATATTTTGGCACCGCAAATGCGCCATGGCGCTCGTATTTACAAACTCAATTATACCTCATGCTGTCGACCCTTGCTAGTCGTGGCTGGGAAAGAAAGAAAAATTTGACAGCCGGAAGTCAGCACGAATTTCTAGAGGTGGCTGGCTATCGATGTATCGATAACAAGCTGTGAAAGTCTGGCAACGCCTGGGTACAATCTAGTTGGCCAAAAGTGGCAAGAATAATTTGAAAGTTTTATAAACAATATTGAAAAATGCATTACGCGCTTTAAGGCATTTTGCACTTCTTAAATCACAATTAATTACTATCATTCAAGAATTACGTTTTCAAAACGATTACAGAGGCTTGATATTTTTCCCTGGTCCTGCTGCGGTCACACTGAACTGCTGTGCAATAACAAAATATTTTTTTTACTGCACCCGCTAAAAGAACAATATTTGCGATGCAGCATACGCTTAGACGCTGCCTGGGCATGGCTCGATCCTCCCTGACGCGTCTGCAGCCCGGGGCCATCATGGCCGCCTCTAGGATACAGGATACGGGCGCCACCTCAGGATTCAGAAACAAACAGCCGGCCAGGCGGTCTTACGCCTCGCTGCCGCAGGAGCAGGATAAGAAGGAGCAGGAGGCCAGGGAGAGCCCCAACCGACTGCCCCGCCTTATGGACTTCCCTGAGATCGTGTGGCCCTCGGCACTGAACACCCTCAAGAACTGGATCACCATCCAGTTCATCATCCGCCCCTACTTCGACAGCGAGTTCCAGCTAAAGGACTTTATATACGGCGCCAAGCAAGCCCTGCAGGTGGGTCATTGGGCATTCCGGATATATAGTATGCTCCTCTAACTCGTAACTCAACGTAATTTCCGCAAGGTGGTGTCCTCAAGACTGATGGGCGGCGACCTGGACTCGCTAGACAAGCTAGTCTCCCCCGAAGCGATCGCGGAGCTGCGGCCCGTAATTCAGAAGCTGTCGATGACGCAGCGCAGGCAGCTGGAGATCAAGGAGAGCGACATCTACCTCAGCTTCCCATACCAGGTGGGCATAATGTTCGACGAGGCCAACGACAAGCTGCAGAAGCGCTTCGTCGAGATCACCATGGTGTTCCACGTGATGCGCGGCCTGTCCGAGATGCGAGAGCGCGGCGAGGAGATTCCCTGGAACATGGGGTAAGTTTTGGTTGCTTTTTGGTCCTGCCCAAAGTTAATCCCCTCCTCCCTCCTCATTGATTTGCAGGACGCTGCCCGAGTACCAGGACAAGGTGTTCATCTGCAACTACCGCTTCGTGAAGGAATTCACTGCCGGACAACAATCAGACTGGACCATCAATGTTGCCAACCAGTTTCGGGCCATCGACCTGATCAATGAAACCAAATAACACCTGGCCACAACACAGCCTTCGTTCGCCGCCTCCTAGCCGTTTTTAGTCACCACCCTCGTTGGAATAAAAGTTTCGTTTGCCGCATTTAGGTATAAAAAACTAAAATCTTTACTGTGGATTTCTGATTTAAATTAGGTTCATGTGAAATGAGTGCATGTAACTGTTAGCCGGTAGCTGGTAGCTGGTAGCTGTGGATGAGGAGCTACTGAAAGCTTAGTGGCCCTCGTGCTTGGCCCTGTAGATGCCCTTTGCGTCGTACTTGTCCAGCAGCAGTTTCCACTCTGCGGGCTTGTTGGTGCGCAGAAAGTTGATCACCTTCTGCGAGTTGCGGCGCTGGGTTTCGGTGCACTTGGAGCAGTCGGACTGCAGGGCGTCGGGCAGGAGGCGCTTCAGCTCGCGGCCCTCCGGCGTGCACGGACCCTTCTCCATCAGGCACTTGAGGTAGTTGTTCAGCACCCGGTTGTTGCCCAGGACATCGTCCACGTTGACGTTGTCGAACTTGTTGGTGTACTGCTTCTCGGGAGCGGCGGCTGCCAGACCGGCAATCACGCAAAACACAATGGCTAGCGAGGCTTTCATGTTGACGGATATTCTGCAAGGAGAGAGGATATTTTCGGGTGAGCGAACAAAACCAAAACACAGGTGTCTAGTGCTATATCTGTTTGCCAATTAAACGGCGTCGCCCAGTCTCAGCATTTCTAACTTTCAGGCGCAGGCCGAGAGAATCATCCGAGACGCAACCCACTTTTTTCATGCATTATTTATGGCCCTTGGCATATATATCGCATATGCATACTAATTGGGTATCGTTTGGTTTTAATGTTTTATAAAGAAGATTTCACAATTTCACGACCACGTCGCCCTAGTCGCTTTCGACTTCTATATGGCCAATATTCAAATCCGTGCAGGCCAGTGGTCAGTTGCTCTGGTTTATGCGGTTTATGCAATAGGCTGATACGAATTCAGTAGCGCGATTTTTCGTTGGGGCGATCCCGGTCGGACTAAGCACGGCCAAATGGCTTACTCACTTCTCTTCCGGAGGTTTTTGATGGCCTGCTGGTAGTTGTGGCGCGGACGAAGGTGCAGCTTGGATTGCGAGTAGTTAGCCTGTTGGCCTGGCTTTTATACCAGGAGCTTTAACGGCCTCTACACTGAGCGCAATTGGCAGCTCTCTGGCGGCTGGAGCTTTTGCAGGCGGGGAGGTGGCGGCGGCTTTGACCAGAGTCGCAGCACAGTGTATACTAAAAGCTGACAAACCGAACCGGATTTTCGATGTCTGACTTAAGGTTTTTTCAGCTGAATTTCGGCAAGCGGTCCGAGAGCCGGCCAAGCGGTTCAAAGGGTGGAATGGAATGGAATGGGAGTTTTATTACAGATTTATCTCTCACACCCCGATCGTTTGTTTACCCATTCACGTACGAAATTCGTAGGAAAAGCATTGACGTACGTGAAAATTGAAATTTACATACATGTTGATTTTGGCAGGCAGTCGGTCTTAGTTGCTCCGAGCTTGAGAGCTTGAGTTCGAGTTCGGTTTCCAGCTCTTTCCTGACTTGGTAGTGCCAACGTTGTTGCCACTGTGTTGTAATCACTTTTATGCATTTCCATTTCCCTTTTAATTATCTTTGGCGTCATGAATCGCACGCACCAGTCTAGACTTAACCAGATTTCGAAAGCTCTTCAATCGTGTGCGATTGGGTTTTGTTTTGTTTTGGCGCAGCCGCAGCCCGATCGATTCCAACTGGTCTGGTCCGAGCAATTGGGATTTACCCTGCCAAGTGGACATTTCGGATTCGGACGTTTTTCATTGCTACACTACTAGACGTTTTTCAGCCAGCCACGGCGGTCGTCCGCACTTGGGACAGAGCTCGCTAATGCAGCCCAGTTCAAGCTGATAATTCTAGTCTGGTGGGGCCAACAGTAATTGGCCGTAAAGCCAAAATACACTTTATACCCTCGTATAATTATGAGCATTTTTACGACTCTGACGCGGGCGATTCTACTGGCGATCAGCTCTGCTCGGTCTGGACTAGGGAGGTCAATAAATCAAAAGCGTTGACTGTTGACTCTCCACCTGTGGCGTAACTCTCGTGCCAATTATACAAACAACTTTCGGCTTGTCCACGGTGATTAATATTTAAATTGGGGCATCCTTAGCCCCGAGCGCTGGGGGTATCGATTTATGCAAATCGAGAGAGCTTGTAAAGGAAAAAAACTCCGTGGCCCGGTGGCTTACCTTGAAGTCGGGCAGGGCATCAGCTTCGCAGCCAGGGTAGATCATGAGACATGTGCAAAAGTCAGGTTCAGGAAGGAGAAGTAAACAAGGCAAAACAAAAGTAAACAAACCGCAAAATCCACAACAACGGCGGCGGTGAGGCTGAAGAAATATTAACAATAAAATAAAAAGGTAAATGCACAGATTGAATAAAGCGCAAAATAAATCTTCGGCTCGGTACGTGACCAAGTTTTCAGTGTTTACGCCGCACGGCTTAAGAGGCGGGGCGAATCAAACAGTGAGCCGCGACCTCAAACCGCCGACCGCCATATCGCCAAGGGATGCAGTGGGGCCGCGGGTGGAGGCCCTGGGCCTAGTCGTCTGGTTGGCTGACAGATAAGGTGAAATGAGGCACATTCAATTTTCCTCTTAATCGTATATTACGTAATGGCGAACTACTGATACTGATAGTGCATCGGCAGCACACCTCTAGCCTAAATCTAAATCTTGTATACATATATACACACGGGACCACTCTGAGGAGTAAAGCAGATCTTTAGCAGATCACTACTTAACAGCCACAGCCAGGGAGAGATTAGCTGCCGGGAACTTGGTCTCCAGCGCAGTGACCGTGCCCATATCGCCACAGCAAACCTTGCGGAAGAGACCCACATAACCGATGCCGCCGCAGGCCACTCGGATGGCCTTCAGGACGCTCCACATGGCCACAAGCAGGAAGAGCCCCATGCAGTACGGCTGCATGTGTTGCACCACGTTCACGTTGATCCACATCAGGGCGGTAACGAATCCGGGCAGCTGGCCCATTTCCTGAAAGGGTTTTGAGCGTTAGCACATGACTTCGGCCTTAAAGGCACCAACGACTGCTACTTACAAACTCATACCAGAAGCTGGGAATCATCATGTGGCTGAACCTCGTCAACTTTGAACTAAACCATCTGAGATCGGGAATAGGGATGTTAGACTGGAAGCGGTACCTCTCCATGACCGGAATGCCCGTGACCGGCTCCAACAGAATGTATGGCTCGTGGTCCTCGGCATTGGGAGTGTATCCCTCGTAGTGCTCGCTCCAGTTGTAGCCGCTCCCGTAGAAGTGCGGCATCGAGAACGCCGAGGGGGCATCGTCTTTGGGGAAGATCATTTTAGTGGGTTACTACTTGTATGTACTTTGCCGTGCATGGTTAAGAACGAAGTCACGATTACGTACTTATCACACACTGGGATACGTCAAACATCCCGTCGGGCAACTTGATCCCGTAGCTGGTGCTCAAGCATGCCGGGGGCGTCTGGTTGACCTTGAGCAGCGTGTAGCGAAAGGCGTCCAGCCCATTATATCGCTCCTGGCGCTGGTAGGTGAGCGGAAGAACACGGCAGGACTCGATCGCTACTATGTCCAGCGGTGTGTCAGGCTGGATGAAGGGCGGGTAAAGGGAGTTGTCCAGGGCGCCGGTCACGTTGAACGGACACTGGTCAGGTTTGTACCGTTTGGTGTGCGGTAGCTGCTCCCGGATGATGACCTCGTCGTTAAGCGTTTCGATGCGGAAGAAGTTCTCAATGCCGCGCTCCGGGCCTATGTTCACCGTGTAGATCTCCTCTTTGTCCTTGAGAGCCTGCGCGGAGGGATTCGTAAGGGTCAAAGAGGAAAGATAGTAGCTTTGTCGACTTGTGACTTACATTGTGCAGAACTGCAACATTGGCTCTCATGTTGGACATTTTGGAGAGCGCCTGCAGCAGAGGTCGGGTGAACTCCCACAGAAAGTAGTAGATGGTGTCGGTGATGAACATATCCTCCATCATAAAGGTGGCATCGAAACCAAAGGCTGAGAGCGGGGCCATGTGCTTGAGCTTCGTTGCTGCGCCCAACATCACGTTATTGGTGGACGTGATGGTCCAGTTGAGGACGTCGGGCGCGACGCTCTCCTCCGGCAGGAACTCCACTGAGTGGTAGCGGTGCTTACTGTACTTAACGTTTGTCGCGTTTCTTTCCAATATGTCGTTAAAGCCCACTATTTTGTAGACAATGGGTCCGATCTCCTGCACCTTAAGCCGCTTGTCGCGTCCGCTCCGGAACTCCTCGGCATTGGTCACATTGAAGACATAGTTCTTTAGCTTCCCGAACGGCGAGTTTATCCAGCTGTCCATGGTGGGCATCTCCTGGCGGAAGCGTACGTGCTCCCTGGCGATCAGGATGGGATATTCCACACCACAAGACACCACAAACAGATAGACACTCAGCGCCGCAAGGATGAGGCAGAACACTATCTTTACCCACTGAACGCACTTCATTTTGGGGCCGAGGAAGACTTTAACGGAACCCAGAGACAGGCGTGATTCGCGTCCGATCGGGAGAAAACACGCGATCCGTTTGAGTCGATTTCTAAACGCTTTCGGCAATTGCTTTGCAATCACTAATCACCAGCCTCCTCCGCCCTCCATCTGATCCTCTTGCCTAAACGAAATGAAAACAAAGTTTATAAAACCAAATAGCAGAAAGGCTATCAGCAAAGGCCCAATAGCTGATTCCGCTTATAATCGCCGTATGCCGACTCCGACTTTGGGGAATAGCAGCGATAACGACGGAATTCTGACCCGAGCATAGGCATTGCCCATAACACAGATTGGCCTCGGGCGTAGACTTCTACGCACTGCTGCACTGCCTCCATGAATTTCACCTCTCTTTCATCACACTCCAGAGCGACCCCAGCCCAGCAGATTAAAGAAGGCAATTGAAAAGGCGACGACCCTGTCCTGGGGTTCCGGCAAAGGTTGCCTTATCAGGAACAGACAGAGCAGTCTGCTCTTATCAGTGCCGCGGGCCGCCAAACGTGCAACGAAACAAATGACTCGCCATTAAAGTTTGGCTTCAGCTGGTCTGTCTGATCTTGCACAAGTATTTATAGACAACGCAATGCCTATGCTACCAAATCCGGTCTGGCCCACTTCGATGAAAAAATTGGTAGTTAAATTAATTTTAAATAAATAATTTTAGTTTTATGTGTGCCCTTATATTATGTCGATTTAATTGATCACTTAAAGTAAAATTTAATCAGTGTCGAAACTTGACATCTAATTAACTTGAAAGTATTGACATGGCAATTGCTAACAAGATTTTGTAGAAGTCTTAACTATTCGGGATTCATTTTTTATGGAGCTTTAATTGCTAATTTATGTTTACATTTTATTGCCTATGACAAACAGAAACAACTCAATTTGGTTTACCCTTGTCTAGGGTGTTATACATTGAGTCAAAAGTTAGCAACGCATTGAAGAAAACATTTTCAACCTTATAAGTTATTCTAGATTATCATCACCTGGCGAGTTGATCTAGCTATGCCTGCCTGTCCGAACTTTTCAACTAAGTTTCTCTTTCCTAATGCTATCTAAATAAAACTTAATCTAAAACTTAATTGCATACTTTTGGGAATATAAAGAAACCAACTTAAATGCTGAACTTGAATTTACTTAACAAGTTTTGAAGAACAAGGAAGCTATATAAATGAGAACAAAAGTTATCTACAGGAACTTTGGTTTAAATTTTAAAATTTGTAAATCTACATTTAAATGAATTCTTACCAATCGATTATATTCAACACAAGAATATATTATCATTTTTGCATACATTTCTAATATAAGTCTCTGTTAGGATTGCCACCTTTTTTAGAAACAAGTTAACTTCCATACAAAAAATTAAATCACCTGAATGTTTTAAAAAAATAATGGCAATCAGTTTTCTTGAGTATCACTATCATATTTATTTACGGTACGTTAAGATGGTTAAGTGACTAAAAAATTAAATTAAGCAGGAATTAATTTATAATCGTAGAAATAAAAAACTTTTATTACTTGAACATAAAAACGGAAAATAAAATCATAGTACTAATTGTTAACCCCGGGTTATCGGGTTATATTATATTTTGAACTAATAAATCGCTAATTTTTGTTTACTTGCAAGTGTTCAATAATGGCAATCAATTAAATTAATTTCTGAAGTGCAAGACCGAATTGTTTGCCATATAGGAATCCATTTGAGAGCCAGCAATCCCTGGACGATTGTCTTACCATGATGGGTCAGTTTTTAAAGCTTATATGGATTCGGGGTAAATTATGGCCAATGTCTAATTAAAATAATATCGTAGTTTATTGTACACATTAATGAATATAAATTGTACATTCGATTGATAGAATTATGTATTTATAGTATAGAAATTTCCTATGCGGAGCTTGTCCAACATTTGGTCTAATGAAGCACATTTGTATTCGAGGACGGAACTTTGTTTTATTTGAGAAACGTTTCGAGTTTTGTGATTGTGATTGATTGTGTGGACATAAAATTTCATTTTCAACGGGGTAATAGAAAGCAAGTACGGGATCGGCTTCTGTTTTGGTATAACAAGTCGAAGTCTAAGTCAAAGCTTTGAGCCTTAAAGCGATCACGACTGTTTCATAAGACTACATATCAAAATTTTCATAACGCTTACTTACAACGATAACCTACATACAATACAATAGATACAGATACACATAAAAATACATACAAGTCTTCCCAGCTCCATTTCTTCTAAACTACAGAGACAACATTCCCCATTGGGTGAGGTGAGGGACTATAATGGGAATAGGGGTAATGGGATTGGTGATTGGGGGATGGAAGTGGGAAGGGCTAGTCCCAGTTCCTAGCTAAGGCCTACACTAAATTAAGACACCCAGAGACCCTCGGACTGCGACCAGACTCCGACTAGAGCGCTTAGTATCTGGCGGGTTGGTTATCCTTGTTCTGCTTCTTGTTCATGTCGACCTGGGCAGTGGCCAGGTAGTTGGAGCCCTCCAGGTGCAGGGTGCTCTGTCGGTGCGAGTTGCGGATCAGGCAGAAGGTCGACAGCAGCAGCAGGATCACGCCCAGGGCGCAGAGGCCCACGATGAGCGCCACGCGGATCTTGGGCGGCACCTGCTCGGCAAAGCGCATCAGGTCAGTGACCTCGTCGGGCAGGTTGTCGATTCCCTCCTCGAACCACAGAATGGGGAAAATAATGTCCGGGAAGTTGGCCACCTGCTTGATGTCAAACACCTGGCTGACTGCCAGATTGATCTGGATACGGGCGCGCACTCGCAGGGTGGTTCCCATTTTCTGTCAATACAGATTTGATTAAAATAAACCTAAAGAATGCATGTTGGTGTCTTACAGGCTGGACGTCGAAGAAGAACTGGTGCTTTTCCTTCATTGGCGGCGAAATACCTTCCACTTGCGTCCTCAGACTTTCGTCGGCCAGGTAGAAATGCGGGAAACTCAGCATGATGGGGGAATCTGTAGAAAACTTTATGTCAGAGCTTGATTGAAGTCAGCCTCAATGATTCCTCCTCACCGTATTGACACAAGGAGACGTTGAAGAGTCCGTTCGGGGAGCACGAGGGCTTGCCTGCGGGGCAGAAGCACATGTTCTCCGGGTGGCTATCGACATCGGCGAACACCCACTCGGGCGGGGTGAAGCGGTAGCCGGGAACCTCGTTCGAGGTCATCACCTCCTTCTCGAACACCAGGGGCAACAGGCGGCACAGATCCTTGTCGTACACATGCAGGATACGGTCCTGGTCAATGTGTGGGGGAAAGATGGAGCCATCGGTGCCCGCTAGGGTGTTGCACGCGTCCGTGGTCCAGTGCGGCAGATGGGTGCGGCCGTTGAAGTTGTCGATGATGCCGTACTTATGAATGTCGTCAACGCCGGTGTTGACGGTGACGCGGTCGGAACTGGTACCGTTTTTGCCATACAGCAGTCCAAACTCCTCGTAGGGCAGCTTCTGCTCCTTGGGCACCACGTCCTTGGCCAGCTTAAGCAGCGGGTCCTCGTAGCCCCAGAGCAGTTGCCCCACGGACACCTGGACGAACGGCTTGATCTTCAGAATGTCCATGATGCTGGCCATGGCCAGACGCAGGAATCTGCACCAGACAAGACAAGATCAGGGTTATCAAGAGAGGAGTTGCAGGGCGGTGATGTACTTACCGGGCAGCGTGCTTGCTCTGAGAGGTAGCACTCAGCATGGGAATGTTGGGCACAATAACCACGTCGTCTTCGGGCCCCACCGAGAGATCTTCGCGGAACGAGTAGATCTTGCGCAGATTGTAGCTCAGCGTGCCATTGTCATTCTCCACGATGTTTACCTTTTCCCAGGTCTCGCTGTAGATGGGGTTCATATCATCCGATATGCCATATTTGTTCGGAGTGAAGATCACTTACCTGTAAACGTAGGGGCCCACCTCATCAACAATGGCCTTGGAGCCGTTGCTGAGGAAGTCGTCCGCGTTGGTCACATTGTAGATATATAGACTGATTCGGGGCTCCACCGGCGGCTTGGCCCACCAGCCAAATGTCTTGGCGCCGGGACGCAAGGCCACCATGCGGTCCACAACTGCATCGATTAGCACGGAGAATTCACAGGCCACTACGATTCCGCCAATTATCAGCGCCGACGCCACGACGATCGTAATCCCTGAAAACCAAAGCGAATTGTTGAACAATTGTTCACCGAATGCATAAATTAGACGATAAGTGGGATGAGTCAATTTGGTATTGAATGGGAAAACGTGGAAAGTGTATTTGAGTTGCAACTCAACTGAAACTGCTCGATAGCAGTGTTCGGGATGTGACATAAATGTTTATACACCGCTGATGGAGCAACTAAAATGAATCACTGACCCTTTGACCTTTAGCTCCCAGTTGTACAATCACCCATTATCTATTTATAAGCCCAATCAGTTGTGATTGAATAATTGCAAGTAAATTATAGATGCTGAAACGCCAGAACCGGAAAGACTGCTTAAAACTATAACCGGATCCGGGATATCTCTGGCAAAAGACCTTCGAAAAGTTACAATGCGGAATGTATGTCTCATAAATAAAGTAAGGGTAAGTAGGAATGCCTCGAACATCCAGTTTATCCTATACGTACATCGCAGTTAAATATTTCCATTCGCATACCAGACTAACCAGCATTGAAACAAAACAAGAACGAGGCACGTGGAGTTATAACACATATGCGAACGCTAGATTAATTGCCTCGCTCAAGTACTTGTAATTCTGCCTCCCATTGCGTTGTGTATAAATAGTTTGATAAGCAAGACGGACTTACATTTGGTGAATTCTTGATATTTGCACTCCCCAGACTAAGCCTATCTTAACTATTTCATACTTACACCATTTTCTGAGATAAGTGCTGGAGAGTTTTGTGCAAAACTTGTGTTTGGGACCGTTCATGTTGACGTATTCGCGTTGGGGTTTTAAGGTGCTGGAAAGTCAAGAGCTGACCGCCTTGCAGTTGTTAACTAAAAATGCAAAACAAAATGATATATAAATGATATAGCGTTGTTTTTTATGAGGGAGACCTAGAGATACACGGACAG